GACTCAAGCATATAGCACTATAGGACCCTTAAAACAGTATTCCCCCAATGCGGCCTAAGCCTTTGGTTTCACAAGTCTCCAGTACCATAGAATGGCTGTGGATCGTGGGCCAAGATGAGGTACTGAGTACTTCCAACTTTCCATGTAGTCCTCCGTTTCCGGTCTGAGGGGTTGGGCATATACTTACTACAACCTTAACCGTATAGGCAATATATCTAATATATCTAATAATATATATCGGCAGTTGAAAGTTGAATGCCTAGTTCGCAGCAAGTTCGCATTCTAATTAGAATCCAAGAGGCAACCCCATATTCAGATCCAGCCTAGACGTTGGAACCGTTTTAATTTCCACTGTGCGCCTCGATCTGGTTCACTTCCCTGTTCCATCTCCGGCTACTCCACCGTCTCACATAGAGTATAATTGCCACGGCAGTTAATTTACCATGCCATATATTTAATTTAAAGGATATATCTGACATGCAACGTGGAGTTTACTTTAGGGTTAATATATATAAACCCTGGAAATTCATTAAAAGAGTATAGGTACATTGATATTGCACAATTACTTGATAGTAACGGTAGATTATGATTAGAATTATATATATCACTATACTGTCCGAAATGACCAAAAAGTCACATCATTCCCGGCTATACAGCCCGATTCCAACTTTTGGGACCAAGGAATATCTCCCGGGATAGAATTTGCTCCACGGTTCTGGGTCCGATTGCATCACAGCGGACTCTAGATCCGCAACCCTTGCATATTTGGTCTCGGTCGCGTGGAGCGTTGAGCCATGTGTTCCGTGAGAGATCGGGGAATTGACGTCCGAAATCCCAAAGTGCTCTGTAGATTCACAAGTTCCGTAGATACTTTTATAGAATCCAGAGTTCACTCGGCCAAGGGCTGATTCTGGAAAACCTCCCGGTGGAAAGGATTAGGTTGGTTGAGAGTAAAATGCATATGGTGAGTTTCACCATAGCCCAACAGACCTCTCTCACGAAGTCAGCGACCGGCGCCGAGACTGAGTCGCAGTAGTGCAGCCGGCCAGCGGCTGTGTCATCTCGGAACAATTCCACAAAAATGACGAGCGATATCTCTGCTCCTCCCGCGTGAGACGGACCTGTTTCCGCGCGAAACTCGAAGGCTTCAGGGGGATTGTGCAGGAGGCAGATCGACCGTAGACAGGCATGGGGTTCTTTGCGAGCGACGGGTTCACCCTCACCGGGTTATCGAGTGTCGCGCTGAGCTCGTAACACTGACGAACGAGCTGCTGCACACCGTCCGTCAGACGGGAAGCGCGCTCCTCGATATCCGGCCAGAAAGCATCGCCCCAAAAGGGGTCTTCGCAGACTGCAGTCTCGAGGGCGTTCAGCCAGCACTGGAAGCCGGAGCGGGCGCCTGCGAGTTGCGAGGCGACGGTGACGAATCGAATTGTCGGCTCAGAGTGTAGCACGTGCTGGACGATGCAGGCTGGACAGCGGGCTGTGAGGTACCAGTCGTGTTCTTCTGTGAGGATGCAGTTGAGCCAGGCGAAGGCGCTGCGGGCTTCGCCGCGGAATGCACGTTCGGGTTCGGCGCCTTTTTGGGTTGGGAGGGTGCGGGCTGCGATGCGCTCGGCTTGGTGGTTGATTAGGAAGAGGGGGACGAGGAGGGTGTGGATGATATCGCGATGGAGACGGAAGGTTTCTTGTTCGGTGGCGGTGCAGGAGTGTCGGTGGCCGGTGCAGAAGCTTGGTCGTTCCATACCGCATTCTTGTCGACGAAGTTGTTCGCGCATTACTCGGAAGGCTTCATTGCGTTCTAGCTCGACCTGTTGGTGTCGGGAGATGTGGAATGGGGAGGCCATTGTGGGTTATGTTTTCCGGGTATATCTGAGTCGGAGATGGAGGTTATAGAACCATGTCGAGATATAAAAACCATAGGGTAAGAGATGAATTCCCTAGAAAAAAATAAAGGGCCGGATCCGGGCTAGATATTATATTTCCCCCTTTGCGGAAACGTCATCAAGAGACTCTCCCGTTTCGGGTGCCAAGTCCAAAGGAAAGCCCAGACGATCCCAATGGAAGACTCCACTAGCTGACGAACACTCTACGTATGGCAATGATGATTGGTGGATATGTCGGAATGAAGTGGAGGAGTGGAGATTGGAGAGAGTCTGGACTGTTGCACTTTTGTTAAGGGACTTTTATAGATCTGCTATTAAAGTAACATAACGCAATGTAGATAGACGTGACATGATTCTACTACCTACTACCTACACACTTTTTACCTTCCCATCTTCTATATCAAAATAGTCGAGAAATACTCACAAAAATAGCTCTTATCTCGCAAGGACCTCGCTCTAGCCCCCGTGGCGACCGCCGAAAACCGCCCAGTGGGGTAACGTGGCAGCGAATTTTAAAAGATTCAATCGTATAGCGTGATTGTTAGCGTACGGGTTATTTGATGCATTAGGGGTTCATGCTTGATATTCTGCCCAACGTGTCTCGTGAACAAAGAGAATTTGGAAAAAAAATTCTAATTTGCCGCCAGGTTTTAAAAGGACTATCTTTCCCCTAACGAGAGTGGATATAACATCCAGAACAGCAGTGATTGACAGGGTTTGAGATGGGGAATACATGTCCGACATACAACATACATAATGATAGTACATGTACTCCGTATACGGAGTACCAATGTAGTTTATAAACATGTCTCAACTTGAAGCTTGCGAGTATTTTTATACGGTGATATTTATAGTATAGGGGTTGTGGAACTCGGTAGATTCCGGACAGGGGGTACAATATTTGATTTTGTCCAGAGTACGGAGTACAACACGGAGTACACACGTTTAATTTTAATATTTGGAGACTGCACATCTTCTACCTACTTGAGTAGATATCGGAGTAGTCCGTCTAGATACTGTGTGTGATACATGGGAACTAGGGCTGGGCCCCAGGGACAACAACAATAAACAATCAACCATCAACATCAACATGAACATGAACATCAACATCAACATTTAATAAGTATCTCAGTATCCATTATGTCTAACATTACGAAGTACTTTATATACCATTGAGAGGTTCAAAACAAGAATGTAAATAAGGAATGAACGCTAGAGAGACCCTGCAGATTTGGTTGCTACAGTCCCAAATCAAGGAACAGCCATTTTGTGTTTCAGCTCTTTCCCTTTAAAATTGCATTTGCACTTTCTTTCAGGTGTCAAAGGACATCTGGACATTTCATTTCTCTTCAAGTCATTGCTTTATTCCATTTTCACCTGTTACTTTCACATTAATCATTAATCATGTTTTCATCCCTGGCATTGGTACCGTTGCTACTCGCTGGCTTACAGGCCACCACAGTCACCGCAATCTCGCCCATTTCGGCTGTCGGGAACAAGTTCTTCTACGAGAACGGAACACAGTTCTACATCAAGGGTACCTAGATTCCTACAGTCCGTATATCTTGCCTCACTGACTCGAATAGGCATTGCTTATCAGCTTACCCCAAGTGACCCGCTTATCGACACTGCCCAATGCAAGCGGGATATCGCCCGGATGTCCGAGCTGGGCACCAATGCGATCCGTGTGTACCACGTGGATCCCCACGGTGATCACAAGGGCTGTATGTCGGCACTGGCGGATGCTGGTATGGTTGATTCCAATTCCCAGGGTCTAGATGCATATTGATGCGTTGTCTAGGAATCCACCTGTTCGTCGATTTGGATACCTTCAATACTCAGATCGAACAGGTAGGTCCACTTTCCCCTCATGTGGACCCCAGATACTGACGATCATAGACCGAGCCTCACTGGAATCAGACCCAGTTTGATGCCTTCAAGGCGGTGCTCGATGAATTCCAAAAGTTCGACAACACGGCCGGTGTTTTGGTCGGAAACGAGGTCCTCACCACGGCCGATGGCTCGGCCGCTGCTCCCTACGTCTTGGCGGCTGCTCGCGATATCAAGGCCTACCGTGATAAGAAGGGCTATCGCGACATTCCCGTTGGTTACTCTGCGGCCGATATTGCCGATCTGAGACCCATGCTTCAGAATTACATGGCCTGTTACAAGGATGCAGCCGACCGCTTGGACTTTTACTCGCTGAACGCCTACGAGTGGTGTGGTTCGTCCAGCTATGAAAAGTCCGGATACAATATTCTGCAGAAGAACGCCACCGATTACCCCATCCCTATCTTCTTCTCCGAGACCGGCTGCAACACCCCCTCACCTCGCACCTTTGAGGACCAGGCTGCCATCTTTGGTGATCACATGTCTGATACTTGGTCTGGATCCATCATCTATGAGTGGATTGAGGAGACCAATGACTATGGATTGATCAGCTATGGTCCCTCTGTCGACGCTGCGACTGCGACTGCCAGCTCCATCGAGGACGGCTTCACCCGCAGTGGCACCCCGACACCTGTGTCACCTGATTTCAACAACCTCAAGTCTCAGTGGGCTACTCTGAACCCGACCGGTGTTGCGCTTTCCGACTACCGGAAGAGCGCGTCTAGCCTCACCGCCATCGAGTGCCCTGCCTCGACCTCTGGTGGGTGGGCAATTGACCCAAGCTCGCCGCTTCCTACCTTGGGACAGACCTATACCAAGGGCTCTCATTCCACGACGACCGGTAAGAACATCAATAAGGATCAGGCAACCGGATCTCCCTCTGCATCGGCAACAAAGGAAGGCGCTGCTCACGCTGTGACTGTCGGCTCGCCAGCTACTGAGCGCCTGCTCGCTGGATCCTTGGTGCTGTCTGGTCTGTTGGGTGCTGTTGCCCTCTGGCTGTGATTTATTGTTTTTCTTCTTCCCTGACCCTTGTCGGTCCATTGTATTGATATGCATCACACATTTGGGATAGACGAGTTCGGCTGAGCCACTGCATGATATATTGGAGTCGGCGTGCTGTTTGTATACAGATGTTATCTCAAGTCTGTCTTTCACGAAGCATGAAGTGTACACAAGAAACGAATTATTAGTGATTGAATTATCATGACATTATCGTACATCTTATTTAAGCGTCAAACCTTCCATCCCAGTAATGTTCATATCCAACTCTGGCAGATACAGGTGAGGCAAGGCCTGCTCATGTATATCAGGCTCTTCAAACTCAACATCCTCAATATCGAGATCAAAAACATGTCCATCTTCAACATTACTCTCACTCTCACTCCCACCCCCAAACCCAAAATCAAACTCCGAAACAGACTCCGAAACAGACCCGGACTCAGAAGCCCCCACAAACCCAACATCCATCTCTCGAATATCCTCCAACCCACCCTCCTTCCTCCCCTTCCCCTTCCCACAATGCAAAACCCCTTTCCCCCCAGACCCCCTCTCAACAGCCTCCGCGAAACCCCTCCGAACCCTCTTCGCAGTCGGTCTCTTCCCCCCTCAAAATCAAGCATAGCCCGAACAACAATCAACATCTTCGGCACACCCCAGAAAACACTATCCGATCGTCTATCCCGTCGACACCGTTTCAACGCATCACCCTCTAACAACGCAATCCACGATTGAACCTGCACGGCATTCTTCGAAAGATGGAAGGATGCATCTGCTATCCCGCCTCCGCGTCCTGCGGATCTGTTTCTGGCGCTGCGGTGCGTTGCAAATGAGGAGAGGGTTCTTTTGTGGAGGGTTGTTAGGATGTCGAGGGTTGTTGCTGCGAGGGAGAATATATCTGCCGGGGCATTTTGATTTGGGGATTGGATTTGGGATTTTGTTGGGGCGGAGCTGGAGGAGGGGATGATTGTTGTGAAGGATGTTAGGGATTGCGTTGATTTTGAATGGCGGAGGGGTGGGGAGATTGGGGATGTTTGGGTTGATTGTGTTGTTGATGAGGAGGATGTTGATGTTGACATTATTGATGGTGGTCTTAGGATTTTTGTTTTTCTAGACCAGAATGATGTGAGACGGTGCTTTTTTGGTTGGGGGGATGTTGCTGTTGCGTCTGTGTAGATTGATGATGCTGTTGAGGAGGCTCCTGAGGATGATGAGGATGATGAGAAGGCGAGGGAGAAATGGGATGGAGAGTTTGGTAGGCCTATTCGGATGACTGTTCGTTTTGAGGATGCGGAGTTTGGTCTTGGTTCTGCGGAACTGCTTTCGTTTAGGGGGGATAGGGCTAGACGGGTTTGTTTTTGTCTTCGCTTTGTACGTCCTCCTGAGGGAAGGATTGTTTGTGTTGGTTGTGGTTGTTTTTGGATCGGGGCTGTGGGACGAGTCCAGCGCTCTGGTGCAGAGTAATCGTATGCTTCGAGGTCGTTGACGTGTGGTGGGGTTAGGAGGGAGTCGAGAGCTTGGAATTGACCGAGACAGATGTGGAAGTTTGCGTCGATGAAGATGTTGGATGGGCGGATTGCGCCGTGGGAGTGGCCGCGTGCATGTAGCCAGCAGACTGCCGATGCCAGACAGTGTGGCCAGGTGATTAGGATCTGGCGCCGTTGTTCTTTTTCTAGTCGTTTGAAGGACACCGGTTCGTCTGTTAGGAAGCTGTGGAGATTTCGATCTGCGGTTGCACCTGTGAACAGCACCGAGACACTGTCGTCTTTTAGATAGGAAGCGTAGACGGAGACGATATGCTCGTGCGATAGTCTTTTCAGGCTGCGGATCTCAGCGAGAACCTCATCCGCCGAGAAGAAATACGGTGCGCCGCCGACTTGCACTTGGGTGCGCATGTAGACTCGACAGACCGAGCCAGCGAGAACAACCCTATCGACCGTATCATCACGGCCATGTATTCCACTGGTATTTGTGCGGACCGCTTCGACGGGAACACCCTCATTCTCTGTATAGACGACATGTTCTCCCTCTGGTATACCACGAACGAGGAAACGCCATTGTGCATGAAAGAAAGTCGTCTCGAGGGCGATGTCTTCTCCGTCTGGTGACAAGTGTAGTAAATCGACACTATGTTGTGCGACGGGTAGATCATCATCGTCGCATGATTCATCTACTAGCGCGAAGATCCGATCGGGTATACCGATAGCATCGAGGATCATAAAGACACGGCCTGCTTTTGTGAGGATCCATTCCATGTACGTCCCGCTGGTTAATCCTTCGCCCCAGTCTGGTAATTCGAAAAGCCGGGGGATATTCTCTGGTCGGAGACGACTGAGGATATATTTTGTGTTGAGGGTTGATTTGATGCGCTCCTCGGGCCACCATAGGGAGCTGTGTTCGTGCGCCATTGGATTTGTGGAAACATTGGAAGAGAGGAGAGGAATATATAATGTAGTATATCAGGTCAATGCGGCTGTCAATGGTCCTCCACTTTAAAGGAATAATGGATGCCTACTGGTGGATAGCGTATCTGGACCGCAAGGAGAGATATTATGGAGAATCTGATTTTAGAGTTGAACAAAGTACTTACAATTATACTAGTAGTTAGTAGTTAATTTAGTTGAAATATATCATAAACTCATTGTTCTCAGCCAATCTAGGGCTAGAGGCTTATCTCTGAAAGATAACATGTCGACTGTCATATGCGTAGATCGATTTATTGAAATTCGGGCAAATGCGGTTGCAAGGAGTTCAAAGTTCAATAATTGTATTCCAGATAAATACTGTGCATATGTATCTATCCGCTGCATATGTCAGATCCTTGAGGATCTCAATTCATTTCTTTGTTTTTAGCAGTAAGGACCGGAGAAAGCCGCATTGTGGCGTTAATGAAATCGCCGTTGTTACGCCGTAGATAGCCCTTGTACCAACTCAAGAAATACCACCGTTTTGGCCCCACAATCTCATTTTCCAGTCTGGAAGGATCACTAGAATTAGATGGTTAACGCGGCTAATCATTGCGGTATAAATGGGCCAGTCGCATGGGGAGTTGAATTATGAGCCAAGACACTCGACTTACTCGACTTCCTCATAATGGTATGCCTGGAGACATCGAGGAAACGATTTTTAGATAGATAGTGTTTTTGCTTTTACATATGGTGAAGAGCTGAGAATGTTTGGGTCTGTCCAATTCAGCTCGGAATTTGTCAGAACAAAAGTCCCGTATCGGTAAGAGGCCGATATCCCGGAGAAGTGTACGGAGTAATGTGATCCAACTTCAACCTGGAACTATACATATACCTACTCATTTTCAAGTCTATAGTATCAAAGCTGAGCCTTGACCTGAATGTTAATTTTACACAGAAACTAAACATGCCAACACAGACTAAAATAGTTCGACCTCTTATCACTCTCATCTATAGCCTCGCATTGGGAAACAAGAGAGACAGCCCGGTCCTAACATGTCTGTCTTGCTCCTTCCAGTTTGGTATTGGATATCTCCCCCCATCACTCTCAGCTTGAACTTCATCCTCCCCTTCTCATAATTATCACCCCATCAAATCAAGTCCCCCAAAATGATTGTGATCACCGGTGGAGCCGGCTTTGTCGGTTCAAACATCGTCAAGGAGTTGAACAACCGTGGTGTGACCAACATCGTGGTGGTCGACGATATGACAGATGGATCCAAGTTCCACAACCTGGTCAGCTGCAAGGTGGCCGACTTCATCGACGCGACAGCCTTCCGTGAATCTATTCGGACCAAAACCTTTCATCACCGTCCCCGCATCATCTTCCACTACGGTGCAATCTCGTCCATCACCGAAACCAACGGCAAGAAAATGCTCGACGCCAACTTCACCTACTCCAAGGAACTCTTCCAGTGGTGCAAAAACCAGGGTGTCCGCTTCATCTACGCCTCGTCCGCTGCTGTGTATGGAAACAAAACCACCTTCACCGAGGGAGACGCCCAGGAGGCTCCCCTGAACGTCTATGGATACTCCAAGATGCTATTTGATGAATATGTCGTCAAAAACACCGACGCCCGCTCCCCCCAATTTGCGGGACTGCGCCTTTTCAACGTCTACGGACCCGGCGAACAGCACCGAGATGCGGTCCCTAGTACCGTCTACCAATTTTACGAAAAACGGAAATCATTCAAAGCCATTGAACTATTCGGTGAATACGCCGGAGTCGAAGCGGGACAACAGAAGCGCGACTTTGTCCACGTCGAGGACGTCGCCCGTCTGAACTGTTGGTTCCTTGACCACCCGGAAATCAGCGGTATCTACAATGTCGGCACTGGTGTTGCTAGCAGCTTCCACGATGTCGCCATGGAAGTCGCTAAGTATTTCGGCGACCCCGAGGGTTACATCAAGTTCATTCCCTTCCCAGCCGAACTGAAAGGCAGGTACCAGAGCTTCACCTGTGCTGATATCTCGAAGCTCCGTCGGGCTGGCTCTGTGCTGCGTTTCCGAAACATCAAGGAAGGGATTAAGGATTACATGGAGTGGCTTGAAAATAATGAAGCCTTAGATCGCTAATCGTAGCGACATCTAACAGCTTCGAGAATGTGGTCAAGTTTCCACTCTGTGACAGCCTCTATTCGAGACGACATGGGTATGTTTACAGAAATCTCTTCGTATTTGGGTCTCCAAATATACTTTATTTACAATCAAAGGGAAAAAAATGTGAAAATGACAAAAGGACCAAAAAAATTCAAACGGTCAACCGGTGTGGCTGGATTGAGATTGCGTTTCTACAAGGTCAACTAGGTAGCCAGAATTTTCTACAATGGAACAGATTTCAAATATCTTCTAGACAGTTGTGTCCTTGCCTTTTTACCTCGGCATCTCCGCCCCACTAAATCTTTTCGCGGGGTAATTATTTGTCTTGATCTTGACATTACGCTCATTTCATGGCATCAACAACTTTAACAGAGAGGTCTCTGCCTGCAGGCCAACTCGAACTGGAGGAACCACAAGATAACGTGGAATTCATCAACCAACAACTCGAGCCAACGGACCATGGACCTGCTGCTTGGAAACTACTGGGAACAGCATTCGTCTTTGAATCGCTGCTATGGGGTGCGCACAGCTCAGAGTTAACACACTACAAACAATAACAACTTCCAGGCTTCCCACTATCATTCGGAGTCTTCCAAAATTATTACTCAGAGCTCCCCCAATTTGCCGGCAACCCATACATCTCCGTAGTAGGCACCGTCGCCTCAGGAATCTCCTACCTAGGAGCCCCCTTCACCGCACCCTTCATCAAGCGTTTCCAAAAGTACCAGCGCCAGATGATCTGGATAGGATGTACGTTAACATCATCAAACCACCATCTTCGCATCCACTCATTCTCACAGGGCCAATATGCATAATCGCACTAATAACCGGATCCTTCGCTTCAACCCTCGAAACCCTCATCCTAACCCAAGGCGTAGCCTACGGCCTCGGCTTCCTAATTTTCTACTATCCAATCCTCAACATGGTAAATGAATACTGGGTCGCCCGTCGCGGGATGGCATACGGACTCCTCTGCAGCGCATCAGGCGTCTCCGGCGCCGTAATGCCCTTCATAATGGAAAAACTATTAAACAAATACGGGTATAAAACAACACTACGAATCGTCGCGGTTGCGCTATTCCTATTAACCGGTCCATTAATACCATTCCTAAAAGGCCGTCTACCAGTCTCACGATATACAGCTACAACAACGACTCGATCAGACTGGAGGTTCCTTCGAACACCTCTGTTCTGGGTATACTCCGGTTCAAACGTGATGCAAGGACTTGGATATTTCTTTCCTTCGTTGTATCTACCTTCATACGCACGGTCGATGGGGATGAGTGGTACGATGGGAGCGTTACTTCTTGCGTTGATGAGTGTATCGCAAGTGGCGGGACAGTTTACGTTTGGGGTTTTGTCTGATAGGAAGGTTTCTGTTAATCTGCTTATTGCTGTTTCGACTGTTGTTTCGGCTGTGGCTTCGTTTGCGTTGTGGGGATTTGCTCATTCGATCGCGCCTTTGGTGGTTTTTGCTTTGGTTTATGGGTTCTTCGGAGCTGGGTATGTTGCCATGTGGGCGAGGATGTCGACTTCTGTTAGTGCGGATCCCATGGCTATGTCGATGATCTTTAGTTTGTTTTGTTTTGGGAAGGGGATTGGGAATGTCTTGACGGGTCCGCTTAGTGCGAACTTGATTTCGAGGGTTATTGTCTTGGAGAGTTATGGGTTGACGAAGTATATGGCTGTTGTTATTTTCACCGGGGCTTGTATGGCGCTCAGTGGTGTTATCGTGGGCTCATGGTCCATAGGGAAGAGGATGAGGTTTCTTCTGTGACAGAGAGTAAGTAGAACTGCATGGGCTAGTTTCCAATTGGTCTATGTCTCAATTCGGGACTCTGCATACGGGAATCTTCATCTCAATATCTACCAATTTCCTTTGTTTGCTGACATACCGACCCATTATATAAACACATCATCCTCCTTTTCACTCCTTCTCTTGTATTCTCCCTTTCAATCATCACCATACCTTTCTACATATCCAGAATTTATCACTTTGATAAGATCTTTGCCCCGCCGGATGTGAAACATCTTCGAGACAAAGAAATGAGACATCGAGTTGTGATAGATTGTTCTCGTCAATCTGGTATGCGAAGAAGCACGCGGATGAACAATCCCCAAAGCCAAGCAATATAAGGATCTGATTCTGCCCTCCTATAGGGAGGTGGTCTCTAAGTAAATATTTTGGTGGCTATGGATCAAATCCTCATGTTACTTCACTCGGGGAAATGTTCATCTGCGTGATTTTTTGCGTACCAGATTGACGGGAACAATTTGTCACAGCTCATTGTCACCATCTCGGGTGTCTGAGGCTCCCCACTTGACTACGTTGATGCAAACTCAAGCCCGTGAAGTCCAATCTCGCATGGTTATGGTTCTTGATGCTGCAGCAGATACTCCCTGGAATGGCGTCGTCTATACCGCTCTTTCTCCCTTATTGTTTGTTGGCCCCTGGGGTATGTTCCGGCACTGCACTTTCGGCTTCCCTGTGACTATATAATTTCTCTCAGGCGCATCGCCCTTTGAACGCTCTGTTCTCTCCAAGTCACCTGGGGAACATGATTTCCAGGACCTGTCCCCTCCTATATCCAGCCGTCGACTCCACTGGGCACGGCACCACCTCACCTTAGCGTCGATACTGTCCACGCTTTTCGAGTTCAGTCAAAACTAGGCATCCTATTGCGTCTATAATCATATTCCCTTATGGCGGCGCCGGGTTCTGGACCTCCTGCACTCGCGCTGTCAAGTTTGATGAGTGCGTGCCGCCTTGTGTGTGTGTGATAAAGAAATCCGGCCGGTTCGCTCGTCACCTACGGGTACTGATTATCTCCCTTTACCTCCATTGAAACTTCGTATCCCGGTTAACCTTTCACACCTCAAGTACGAGGAGGAATAGCCCTTCGAAATTGGAAAAATCTGATGTAGCCAAAGACTCTACAAGGAAGAGAACTCCGTAAATTATAGAACTTACAATATGAGAAGCAAATTCTTAAAAAAAAGCGAAGTCTATCGCGTTAGATTAGGGAGTGAGTAAATAAAATACAAAGAAGTCCCTTTAAGACCAACGATCTGAGTCAATTCCCAGCCAATAATTCCCATAAAAAGGAAGAACCACTCCAGGGCCAGGAAGACAAGCACGAAGCAAAAACATGAAATCAATCCGCATGTGCATATTTGTAGAAAGAAAAAGGAAAAGATGTACCCGTAGGTTAGTGTGCTAGAAATACGAATTTACATGATCAAGCTGAAGAAAGCAGCGAGAGAGGTAAGCACCAGACTGGATGCGATCGACAGACTCGAGGCCGAGTTGAAGACCGGGGATGCACTTGGTGATGGGCGTCCACTGGCGTACGCGTACCCGCTCGAGGTCATCCAGGACGCCGATGCGCGGGCGGGAACATGGCCGGTTTGTGCTGGGGAGGCGCCGCTGGGACCGGCCGGGACCAGACCGACGGTTGGGACGGCGCCGGAGCTAGATCCGGTGTTTGTGACAAAGCTGACCTGCGGGACGGTGACGGTGTAGGTCGAATAGGTGATTGTTGTGCAGGGGAGGGCGGGGGCGGAGGTGATGGGGACGACGGCGCTGGCGGTGATGCTGGCGCCAGCGACGCTGGATGTTGGTGCGGGAGGAGCGACTGTTGGAACCAGGGTGATTGTTGAGGGGATGGCGGTTACGATACCCGGGTTCTGGGGGACCCAGGCTGCGCAGATACCTGTGAAGTAGGAGAGAGCAGATTGGATCTCTTCTTTGGAGGCGCCCCAGGCTTGGATGCAGGAGATGACTTTGCTGGTGAATTCGCTGTTGGGACAGAAGCATGAAGCATCGCTGTTTGATGTGCACTTGGGGGCGAGAGTGAGCCAGGTGTTGATGCACTGGGGCACGGTGTTGGGGCAGGGAGCCGAGGGAGCTGGGGGAGCTGAGCTCGATACCGGGGAAACACCGCTGGGGACTGCCGGGGTGTTGCTGGCTGTAGAATGAGAGTGAGTCTCGGTGCCAGCAGTGGCGGTAGTGACAGTAGTAGAGCACTTGGTACAGATGACTGAGACGGAGGTCATGGTCACTGTGGAAACTGTGTTGGATGTGGTGACGAAGGTGGAAGAACCTGAAGTGACGGTGTTGGTCACGGGGCAGGTAGTCTCGGTCACATAAGTCACAACCGTGGTAGTGGCACCCTCGGGGATAGTTTGTGTAGAGGTGACACCAACGCTAGATGGCACGATACTGGTGATAACAGGGCCCGTAGGAGGAGTGGTGGCGGTGACGCCTGTTTCAGAGGGAGCGGGAGTGCTTCCGGCAGCGACAGAGCTGGGAAGGTAGGGGATGGAGGTCGAGGTCAAGGTAACAGTTGACACCGTGTTAGATGTCGTAACGAAAGTCGACGAACCAGAAGTTATGGTGGCAGTCACAGGACAAGTGGTCTCAGTTACATAAGTTATAACCGTGGCAGTCGACCCTTGGGGAACCGTAGGTGTGGTCTCAGCGCCGACGCTGGAGGGGATCGAGCTAGTGACAGCTGGACCACTGGGGATGGGACTAGAGACCTCTGCAGATGAGGAAGAGACAGGGCTTACTCCCTCGGAAGTCCCAGATGGGGCCGAGCTCGAAGCGTCGGGGGTACCAGATGGTCCAGTGGTAGAAACGACAGTGGTCGAAGCGATGGGGGTATCGGTACCAGATGGGGCCGGGCTCGAAGCGTCGGGGGTACCAGAAGGCCCAGTGGTAGAGATGACAGTGGTCGAGGTCACGGGAGTACCGGTACCAGACGGGGCAACAGTGCTCTGACCAGCAGCGGAGGTTGCGGTAGCGGAGCACCGAGTGCAAATCGTAGAGACAGTAGTCATGGTAACAGTTGAGATGGTGCTCGAGGTAGTCACGAAAGTAGATGAACCGGAGGTGATGGTGTTAGTCACCGGGCAAGTGGTCACAGTCTCGTAAGTAACGACAGTGGTAGTGACATCACCAGGAGCGGGAGTAGTTCCAGCAGGAGATGAAGGTGCAGGTGACGAGGTCACGCCAGGAGCCGAGGAGGTACCAACCGTAGTGGAAGCACCTGAAGTGCCAGTAGGGGGAGTTGATCCGACCGACGTGGAAACAGCTGAAGTGCCAGTAGGGGGAGCTGACTCGGTCGTTGTAGAAGTAGCTGTAGTGTCACTAGGGGGAGTTGATCCAGCGGGTGAGCTAACGGGCAAGACGCCGCTTGGGCTTGGGCTTGCAGGCAGAGATGTGGTGGCAGCAGCTGTAGTCTCAGTGACGGGACACACAGTAGTCGAGACAGCGACGGTTGAAGTCACTACAACGGTAGAGTCTGCTGGGCAGCTAACAACCTCGGGAGCACAACTAGTGATAGTAACTAAGCTGGTGGAGTACACCGTCGAGGTAGTCATCCTGACAGGAGTGGTGATCGCCGGGGTCGAAAGCCCGGCAGTAGTGGACGAAGGTCCGACCGTAGTGGAGGAAACAGGAATCACCGGAGTCGATGCGGTGGGATTTCCAGGTCCAGTTCCAGCGGGAGTCTCACTTGTAGTGGAGGAAATAGAACCCGAAATTGACGATGTCGATGTGCCACTGGAAGGAGGAACACCAGCCGATGAGCTTCCAGGAAGAACACCGCTTGGGCTTGGGCCTGCAGGCAGAGATGTGGTGACAGCAGCTGTAGTCTCAGTGACAGGGCACACAGTAGTCGAGACAGCAACAGTCGAAGTCACTACAACAGTCGAGTCTGCCGGGCAGCTAATAACCTCAGGCGCACAGCTAGTGATAGTAACTAAGCTGGTGGAGTACACCGTCGAGGTAGTCATCCTGACAGGAGTGGTGATCGCCGGGGTTGAAGGCCCGGCAGTAGTAGAAGAAACAGGAGGAATCAACGGGGTCGATGCGGTGGGAGTTCCAGTTCCAGCGGGAGTCTCACCAATGCTAGAGGAAATAGAAGAAGACCCTATAATCGAAGAAGTGGATGTATCACTAGAAGGAGGAACACCAGCTAATGAGCTTCCAGGAAGAACACCGCTGGGGCTTGGGCCTATAGGCAGAGACGTGGTGACAGCAGCTGTAGTCTCAGTGACAGGGCACACAGTAGTCGAGACAGCAATAGTCGAAGTCACTACAACAGTCGAGTCTGCCGGGCAGCTAATAACCTCAGGCGCACAGCTAGTGATAGTAACCAAGCTGGTGGAGTATACCGTCGAGGTAGTCATCCTGACAGGAGTGGTGATCGCCGGGGTTGAAGGCCCGGCAGTAGTAGAAGAAACAGGAGGAATCAACGGGGTCGATACGGTGGGAGTTCCAGTTCCAGCGGGAGTCTCACTTGTGCCAGAGGAAATAGAAGAAGATCCTATTATCGAAGAAGTGGATGTATCACTGGAAGGAGGAATACCAGCTGATGAGCTTCCAGGGAGGACACCGCTTGGGCTAGGTACGGCAGGCTCAGATGGCGAGTTTGTGGCGGCAGGGGTTGTTTCAGTGACAGGGCAGACCGTGGTGGAAAGAGCGATGGTGGAGGTTATCACAGTGGTTGAACCTGATCCAGCAGGGCAATCAGTGACAGTCGGAGCACAGCTAGTGACAGTGATCAGACTGGTTGTGAATACAGTCGATGTAGTCATCCGAACAGGTGTGATGATGACTGGACCGACAGAAGAGCCGGACACAGAAAGCGTAGGCACACCGATAGAGCTGGAGCCAGCAGACGCATATGTGCTGACCGGCGGGGTGGTGACTGGAGCGACAGAAGATCCTGGGACTGAAAGTGTAGGCACAATGGTAGAGCTGGAGCCGACAGTCACAGAGGAGCTGGTGACAGAGAGCAAAGGCACAGCGGTGGAGCTGGAATCAGCCGGCAGAGATGAACCCGAGGTAGAGACCGAAGGGCCAGCGGCAGAGCTAGAAAGTGCAGGCACGCCGGCAGAGCTAGAGAGCGAAGACACATCGATAGAGCTGGAGAGCGAAGGCACATCGATAGAGCTGGAGAGCGAAGGCACATCGATAGAGCTAGGGAGCGAAGGCACATCGATAGAGCTGGAGCCAGCAGGCACTGACTCAAATGGAACTCTGGCAACAGGAGTAATAGTAGCAGTGATACCAGGGACAGGCGCAGTGGTTGTGGAACCAGGGGTGCAGTCAAAGCCAACGCTGTAGATACCGAAACCGCAACTCTCATGTTTACTATCGGCAGGAAGCTCGAAGTGAACAGACTTAGCACCACCACACTGGTCGTTGTTGACCACAGTACCAGCCGAGTTGCAGGAAGCGGTGTTCTTGCAAGTCGATCCATCGGGCATGGTGTAGATAATGTGCAAATCGGTATCCTTCTCGGTAGCAACGTGGAAGTTGGTCACAGAGAAGCCGGTCTCATCCGTGCCGCATGCGAACGATGGAGGCGAGGAACCGGAGCTCTGGGAGTCGGAGCTACCTTTGGAGACGGTACCGGAGATACATTTCTGGGTCTATAGCCATGGTCAGCATGTACAGATGAAAGATGGAGATGCATCACTTACGCCACGCTTGCCAAGGCTGGAACCAAAGCCATTGCCGCAAGTGAAACCGGAGAAGGAGAAGCCGCCATAGTCGGAGAATGAGCCAGGAGCAAGGTCAGTCCAGCTGAAACCCTTGTGCTGGTAGTCATTACACTTGTTAGGAGATCTACCCGGGCTGGAGTAGAATTTCTCGGAACCCCAGGACTAAAAGCATTGTTAGCATGTATATCAAAGGCAACAAGAGAGGGGTTGAGGCATACCGCTCCGGTGGCCTGGCCAGAGGCCAGAAGAGAGAAAAACGCAATAATCAAAGTGACCTTCATTGTAGAGGGATATCGACAACGAGTGACTGGAAAGTGGGACGCGAAAGGAAGATAGAATGGAAGGGAAAAAATGAAGAGAGGAGGATGAAAGAAACAAAAATGGACTGATATAAAGATCTGGGCTAGATAGGCTGCGATATAGAAAGCTAGGCCTCAATGGATATAGGTCCAATTGTAGGGATGTAGGCAGCAAAGCAGGCGATTTCTATTAGTATTGTTGACGGGCGACAAGGAAAAAAGTCTCAATGAAACCGAACCAATATCAAACGAAAGAGGGTGGGACAAGGAAATGCGTATCCCTGAACGAGTGTCTTTGGTTGGAGAACCAAGATGGCCAAAAAGCCAAAAGTAAATCAAACAATGACGAGAATGAAAGATGTCCAGGATCTGGGAAGTGTCGCGGTCTTTAAACAATCGACCCAGGCTATGCCATGAACTTCTGCAGACAAAGAGCTCGGCTGCAGCTAGCAAGCATTTTTCTGCTTACCCAAGTACCCTGGCGTCAATCCAAGTAAGACATTTCGTCAGAAAAAGCGAATATCTTTCCAATCGGCAGGAATCTGGAGGTGCAGATGAAACGGTAGTGGCTGAAAAGAGTAGCGAGCTTGAGATCCATGTAGAGTTCGGCGCCGATTAGTGCATGATGGACCTGAAGAGGCTGGAAACGAGCCAGTCAGGACTTGCAGACTGGGGCCATTGACCAGGGCGCCTGTGGGGAGTTCCAATCCCATCCAGCAACAATTCATCGTGGGGTGTGACTATGAGATCGGTCGACATTAATTGACCAGCCAATGGGAATGTTCGAGTAAAAATAGTATGAACATTACGCGCTTGATCGGCACGGAAACTTGCATATGGCCGAGGGGAGACGTCTTCAGGGTCAAGATCAGGGTACAAGGATCCACGTGAGTCGCATCTCCCCAAATATTCTACTGGCTTGAACTTCCCATTGACACAACCGAGTTGCTGTTATAGATTCAAAACAAAGATTTCTTCGAATAATGCGACCGAGAAGAAAAAATCCTTTAGCGTCTCGCCCATTGGTTTAGCGCCCTTCTACGTGCATGTCCTGTATGTACTTATTATGTTCGTCGAAGATCTTTGCGCCTTCGAAGCGCCGGGGTCGACGAATCAGCGCACGGCTATGGGGTAGTACTTTGGGGCCAACGGTACTGCTTTCGTGTTGTCACGCAAAACCGACTTTTTATTTCTTAATTTTTTTTTCCTCCAGGGGTCACTCCTGGAGGGTCAAACAGTGCAGGTGGCGGGTACCTGAAAGCTCCGTCTCACCTTGACCCTCGATTTATATGGATACTAAAAAAAGACCAGCGCCAAACCTGTCTACAATATAGAGCATAGCTCGAGTTTCTCGTTTGGGAGCGTCAGACTTCTTGGCTCTAGACAGGTAACTGATTCAATTTCCGGGTTAAGTCTAACATCTGGCTTAGTATCTACTCCTTAACTATTCAAGGAACAGGCATTGTATGACTTCGGCTTTGACGCATAAAAGTCCCGGTGTTCCGTATTTCTTTCAACCATGTCCCCACTAGTCTTCTAATTCTATTGTTTTTAGATTCTGGGAATAAAAACAAAAACAAAAATCTCCCTGTCTCGGCGCATCGGACGATGGCTTTGTCTGCAGAGTTGAATCCGGGTTAACGTGAAACGCTCAACTAAATATACCCACAAATGAGATTTTAGCGCCTGGGGAATACTACGCTGTACCCCTTTGGAACGGGGTCTAGACAGTATCAATTTTTAGTAAAGTCTCGAGGTCTTAATATAAATGTATTTGCCTCAAAGTTACCTGGAGAAATAATTAATCTGGTGCAAGTGTGCGCCTAGATTGCATTTTTATTGATTTCCTGCCTATGCAGTTGGTCGTCCAACATCAAGGCTTGTCTAGATATCCTACTTGTACTTGGTATTTAATCTGGAGCAATGTGATTTCTCGTAGATAATTTGTGCTAAACATATAATTAGACGTACGGCAGCCAATAGTCCTAACTAAAAGCTCTTATCATACCGAGGACGGATATATAAATAACCACTTGTAGGACATGTCAGTGATTATGTGTCGAGTTTGACTGTATAGTGGGAACTGGTGGCAACTCAATACGAAAAATGTAGCTTTCAACTTCATCTAGGATAGCCTAGACACTCAAAGTCTCGTGGGCTTCTTTGATTGGTAGTCTATGTACTCCGCTCGTAGGTTGCGTGCATGGATCCATATCACTTCGGAAGATGAGAAAGTACAACCCTTATCTCAAAACGAAGCATCCTTACCTTGCAATATAATATCCAGGTCAACAGATATGAAGTTGATTGAGTTAGCTTTCTCTGATAGACTAAACATTTGAAGTATTCTAGATGTATGTGAAAACTGCGGTAAGCATACGAAGCCCTTGAATACGCTAGATCCAATGACATGAGCTCTTACACTAAAGACTTTACATCTTACCCGTCGTTGGATGCATACATACTTGCAAGGCTGCAAGTCCAACAGAAAAACGGAAGCGATGTTCATCACAGATATCAAATTGAATATATACGATGCCTCAACTAGCGGTGAACAGCATGAGCCGCGAAATGAGCCCCTCGATCTAGTCCCACTTCACCCTCCCGCGACAACCTCCAAAGATATATACATCAAACATGGAAGACGCCCTCCGCCCAAGCACAAAATCATTCGAATACACCCTTCGCGCAAGCTACCAACTATGGTCAAGCCATTTCAACACCAGTGATAGCCGCCTTCCGTTGGAGTGTATCGACCTCAAATCCCTTCTCAAAGACACGCCTGCATTTCTCGCCGATGGATTAATTCCACCAGACAAAGCATTCTCATTTGCGTGTGCTAAAACCCGTGGCAATCTTGAAATAAAGGGGCAGTCAAGATGGCGGACATCCAGGCCTGGTGCGAACTGCATTACCCCACCTAAGGTCATGCCGTCGATGCTTGATCTGGGTGTTGCAGAAGCCCGGAAGATCAATCTCTCTAAGGACGCCCCTCTGTCGGAATGGCCCGGTGTGCGTGGTATCTCTGGTTATGATGATGGTAACTACATCGCCGTCTTGTTCCTAGCTTGGTCATACATCCTATCGGCAAAATGGGCAGAGTTGCTAGACCGCTCCGACACGCACCACTGTTCAACGAAGTACTCATCTACACATCAAGAGCCTGACGAGTCATATCAATCGGAGGTGATAGAGATCGATTTGCCTGCAGACGCAAACGAAGCCGAGATCGTTTGGTGGAACGCTGTATTCTCTGGAACACCAGCATGGGATATATCCGTGGAATACGAGTCCGACAAATTCGTCTCGCCATGGGCTGTCTCATTAGCCGGAGCGATATCAATGCGCGCGAAACAAGGAATCCATCACCAGTCTTCAACATATGACCCTCCATCATCAACAAAAGCCATACAATACCTCACCCGCTTCTGCAACCACCACCACATCTACGCCCAATGCACAGCAGCACTATCAGCATCATTTTTCACACGCGACGTCTTCCTCCGCAATGATCCTACCCTCCCAATCCCCAAACCCTCCAAAATCCCCTCCTCCCACTCAATCCAAACAAGCCCGCAATCCATCACCTCTCTAATCTCCTCCCACGAAAACCTCCTACCATACTACATGACTCTAAGCAACAAGATGTGGCTCACAACAATACCAGCAATGAAAAGCATCTTCCTCAACCCAGCAATCCCCTGCAATCTAGCCAGCGCCTGGACAAACGCGACCTTTGCAATGATAAACCCAATCGCAAAAGCAAACAACATTCCGCGTCTCCTGAACGGCCTCTCAGCACGCGAACCACGCGTCGCCAGTCTGTGGCTCGGCGCGGCACTCATGGGCACGAGTAGCATATACCTGAATCACAGCGAGCAGGGGTTGATGGCACCTGTACTGGAAGCCGAGGCGTGGATGGGGGTTACGAGTACGTTTTTGACACAGTCGCCTGGGATCTATGATAAAGATGTGGATTTCGTGCTGCGCGAGGATGAGTGTAGACTGCTTTTTCTTGCGACGGCTAGTGATGGGGACTATAATCATGGGTATCTTACGGTATGGCCGTGGAAACCGTTTGGGAGTACCAAGGTGTGTGATACGGATATTCTGCTTCGAGAGCATTTGGGTTGTGGATGTCATGTTTTGGGATATGAGAATTGGGCTTGGGAGCTTGGGGATGGGTCGAGGGTTGAGGATACGGGGGTATCGGCGAGGTTTTCCTGGCTTTCGAGCTCTACGTCTTTGTCTGTGTCTCCGTCTGCGACTGGTTCTATGTGTTTGTCATGTCCGAAACCAGAGGTTACTTCTACGGATCTTCCCGCTATACCGAAGGGTTGTGAGTATGATTTGTACTCAGATTGTAGATCCACTAATCCGACACGGGGTATATTTGGATGGCTTCGAATGGATGGATTTCCAGCGAATGAAAAGGGAATATATCAGCATTCGTGGGTTGTGGTTGGGGAAGACTCGGACGAGGAGGTGGATGAACATGAGCCTGATGGTTCGACGGCTGGTGCTCGAGCTGGAAGAGTCGAGGATTGGCTTGGTGGTGTCGGTAATGCTGAGGTAGTAGTCGAGGTCGAAACTGAGGACTGTCGGTAATACTGCCTAGATCGAGCTTTTAGATCCATGAATCAAGACATGCTTTCATGAGACTCCCGTATCATTAGGCCGGGCGCTCCAAATGTGCTATAGTAGAAGTCGTCCTCTGTGTCCGTGGTGCAGATCATCTTGATGTCGAGGGCGACTTCAGACATGATGAAATGGAACAAAGGCAATTAAGCAATTGCGGACCTTGGAAGATCACTTAAATAAGGTTTAGGTGGGTCCGGGTATGTGGGGGGTTACATCACCTTGAAGTCTGAGCTTCGTGAGAGCATTGACAGCTAATTAATGAAGAGAATGTAATAAATGTAATAAATGTTTCGAATGTTTTTGATTTTGTTAAAGGTAAAATGTAAAGCAACTTAGTCCATCACTCGTTAAAACGCAAACCCGCAAATTTTCAACTCCACAAATCCAAAGGTATCACCAGCCCCCGCGACAGGCGAGGGAGAAAAATAGCCAGTCAGTAGATATGACATGATAATGGAAAGAAAAAAAATGAAAATGAACGAATGGTAAGATAATCAAATCTCATAAACGGATCGCTTTTGGGTTCTGAGAACCATCATCGATCTTTCGCAAGCCAACTCAACAGCATAGTAGATCTACCTCAATCATTAGAGGAGTAGACTGGTTTCCACGTGTTAATGGCAAGATGCAATACGACCAGAGCGAAGAGCCTGTATGCTCAGCGCGAGGTCGATATGGTCAAAGGCACAAGACCCCAATAGTCGAGTCTGCCAGTGACTAGAAACAGATAGAATAAATTGCGGCCGTGGTTATCATATGATCTTGGTGGAAATCCAAAAGTCGTGCAATCGTGAGACCTCAGAGAGGTACTGTGATGGGGTGCTGAGAGCGACGTTGCTGAGCATCCATCAGCTTGCGTCGCACAGCCTCGCCACCTGCAACGCTGTTCGATTTGCGCTTGCGGGTGGGAGTTCGCTGGTCGTTGTTCTTGGCGTGCCTGAATACACTGGCAGGACGCGCGGGGGAGTTCGCAGGCATGAACTCGCGATGCTGAGGGAGGCGGAGGAGCGCCTGGTAGCGGTTGTGGTTGCGACGGAAGGCAGTGACAATACCCTTGTCCAGGTGATTGAGGAAGCGCTCTTCGTTGTTTTGCGACTCAGACTTGCGGGTGGGGGTAGGTGTGCCCATGGATTTGGCAAAGGGAGCGGCCATCGGGGAGACCTGGATATCCTCATCGAACTGCTTGTCCATGTCCTCATCCTCATCGGAGGATCCATTGCCAAAGTCAATGAAGTCGTCGACGTTAAGAGCAGACTCTGGGTCATCTTCTTCGTCTTCTTCGAAAGAGCTGTCGATGGTGAAGTCCTGGGAAGGATAGAATGCCTCAGGAGGACCCATGACCTGGCCTCCCGGGGTGAGATCGTTGCCAAGAGCGGTCATCATGAGGTTGGCACTTGAAGCCAGCATTGGGCTGAAGTCAAGCTGATTAGGTGAGGCGAGGGCATCGGTATCGCTCTCGTCAACCAAGTGAAGTGTAGTCTGGCGAGGGCTGGTGTTGGCAGTTCCGGGCATACTGTTGGCGGCAGAGTCCAGCCAGTCGTGACGAGAAGAGGCATACGCGGGAATGATGACGAGATGCTTCCCAGTGCAGTCGACCAAGGCTACTGGCTTGTGGGGGTCTGCTACGAAGGTTCCCATGATAGGCCCACGACGGCGGGGCATACAGTCACTCTTCTCGTCCACTGGGGCCAAGGAGTCGGAGGAGTCCCGGCGAAGAAGGGATCGAGGGTGGGTGATAGTTGCTGGTGGGGGGAGGTCCTCGTCTGTGGTGTCACCATCGTCGCCTTTTCAAAGGGGTTAGCAAAAGTCAAAACGCAACACGAATGACCAATTATCATACTTTCGTAACCACTCAAGCTGCCTTCGGAAGATCCTTCGGACTCAACATGGTAGATGCTTCCATGGCCGTAGTCGGCGTCGCCGAACATCTCTTCCGATTGCCGGCGGGTATTTCTCTGGTAATTTTCATTGTCGTTTTCGATCATACGACGCAACTGTGGGTCCAAGCTGTCCTGTTGTAGGAAGTCACCGGGTATATCGTCGTCACTGTGGGAATCACTATCAGAGGACGAATCAGATCGCTCCTCGAAGTGAACTCGTCGGGCGACTGGTGTCTCAGCGGCTTCACTGGTCACCTGAGGCTCTCCAAAGGTATCCATGGCACTGTAAAGGTGCTCTTCATCGAAGAAAGATGCAGCCGGTAGGAACATGTGATCGTCGAAGGAGTTGATAGCCCACTGATCATCGGCAAATCCAGCGCTGGGCACAGGACGATGGGTTTTCTCAGACTCCACGATCATCATTTCTTCCATCTTCTCAACGTCCTGATCTTCATCTTCGGCATCTGTGATGTAGTCTACACCGGCATACACATCATCTGAGCTATCATCCGAGTCATTGTCATTGGCATCACTGCTGTCACTGCTGTCGTCGTTGATGATACGTCTTCTCTTGTTGATTGCGGATTGGCGCCCCGCCTTATTGTCTCGGCGACGACCATAAGACGGGGCCCGGACTGCTGGTTCTTGCTCGTCATCCGCATCTTCTTCTGAATCATCTGCCTCGTCGCTCAGATCCCCGAGGGATGAGACTGAAGAAACACTTGAGACCGATGATGATGAAGCCCTCCGTTTCCTATCGGATGGCTGGGCATTGGCTAACTTTCGAGACTGATTGGCCTTTGGTGACATATCAAGATTCCGCATGATGTTGGACTCGGGGGTTGAGGGGCGGGGGTGAGAGTTCTTGGCGGAGCTCTTAGGAGCCCGCTTGGAGGAGTATGTACTCTGAGGCATGTTGTAAAACAGAGAAGGAAGGAGGAATAGGGGTTGGTTTGTCGGTTGGGACTGGTTTGGTCCTTGCTTTTTGTGGTTCAAATGGTCCGGCCCGTTCAAGGTTGATCCAGTGATGGGATGAAGGAAGAGAGGAGTAGATCTTCCTTGGGTGAGAGGATGGTCGTAGGTCGGTCCAAAAATAGGGACACGTTAAGGGATAAGTCGAAAGGAGGTGGGACGGAGTGGAGGAAATCGGAGAAGCGGAGTGGAGGGGAGGAGTCCAAGTTTTCTTTTTTTTCGTAGCCACGAAAGCACCCGCAGTCCGTTGCGGACGCTATAGTGCTCCTTCTGGAAGTTTGCTAGGGGGCAATTCCAACGCCTTCACAGGAGGCGTCGAAAGAGGAATAAATATCGTCAAGTAGAATTGAAGATCGGAGCTGCAGGACTGGGGAGCCGGCAGGGACAGGCTCCCCAGCGAGGCATTTACAGCTCAACGAAGGCCATTTGGCTGGAATTCTTGACGATATGTAGTGGATATGTAGTTACTGTATTGAAGGGTTTCAATAAGTTCTGAGAAATCCGGAGTTGATCAGTTTGAGAATGCTATGAGAAAGGGAAGAAGATGAAGGATGATGGGTCGTTTTTTCCCCCCAGTGGGGGACACTTCTGATTGGCTGCAGAACACGACCGCCTATTCGTTGGCGCCGCTCACCGACTCTTTTACACCAATCAACGATCGCCCAAAGTCGCAATGGGAAAGTCATGGACTTTTGATGTCCACTTGGGCCATTTACATTAAAATTAGTTACATTTGAGGTTATAGTGGTATTGGGTTCTATTTGCTCTATATTAGGATGTCTTCAATTCTTCCTTTTGAGGAATATATCCCGGCCCGAGTCGAATCCGAACAAAATAAAATCGTCATTTAAACATCCTCGGCATAATTCTCCCCGGCAAAATTTCAAACTCCAATTACAGCTTGACTCAACCTTTGACTTGCTGACAACGGCATATCAGAAAATCAATCTGGTTAAACTAAAACATACCCGGTGCAGTGGCTGACCCGTGCCCAAGTGGCATGCATGATGATTCATCCGGGAGTTTTTATTTATGACACATCCTGAGATGAATCATATTTGCTTCGTATTTGGACTTGATTTGACCCAAATTTTCACTGAGGCCTAATTGGTTCGAACCATAGATCCGGCATTTGAGTGGCAAAGCGCTCTACTCTATTCCGATCGGCTTGGCAATTTTTCCCGTGTGCCGGGAACCTGCAGGCCTTTCTTGATTTTTGCCCCCAATGGCCTAAACTACCTGAAATGGCTTAAAAAAAGATTAGTGGCGGTAAAAGACACCGAGGCTGGCGTTTAACATGCATGAGAAACCCTCTTATCTTTTTCCTATCGGTGAGGGGACTCTATAGCCCCTTGGAATGTACGTTCTAATGTACGTTCTACTATACATTGCGGAGAATCATCGGGGATGTAGAATGGAAGATCTTTCCGATTCTTTTTTACATTCTTGCCCCCTCCAGAATTGTCACCTGATACTCGGAAGCATGCAAGATCATCTCCTTGCCCCGCAGTGGCTGCTATGGGAAATTTTCTACTTCCCAACACCAATCAGATCCTTCAGGGGAAAACAATATTTCCCTGCGCTAACATCTTTTCAGTTGAGGCGGATCATTCACCGTGATATCAATCCTCCACCTGGCCACTTCGATGATCTTCCAGAGGTCTCTGCAACCTCCCCCACTTCTTCATTCTTTCCATACACGTATACTTTACGTGATATTAGTGTTGAAACTTAAATTCCGACACAGTAGGGGTAGATCAAAGCCATGTATACATAGTTGAATACTTTGACATAGACTTGACGACCTATATGGAGTACCATACGGAAGGCGGAATATAGTGTAGGGAGCACCATCTCATACAATATAAACTGCTTCATATATCTAAATTTATACCCCTCAAAAACTGGTTTATTTCACTTTTTGGCCCCATATTATGTACTAAAATAGTTAGATCATACAGCTACATATATATGTCACACCATTTTCGATGAGAAACCGAAGTGATCTGCTAGATTTTATACTACTCTAACCGACCCCCGCATTGATCACCAACAGCGCCAGTTTCCACAAGCACACCCATTCAATTATCAAATTAGTCACAAGGCCAAAGCGATACAAAACGACCCGGGACCGCTCTATGACTTCCAATAGAAGTAGCAAAGTATAGCCCAACTTCTGCACATTTTTTGTCCAACTCCTCCAGCCTGCGCATAGTCTCCACGGAACTCTCCTCAACCTCTGAAGGACCCCAACCTTCAAGTCCCAAGGAAGTAAGACGTGGCAGACAATTTGAATTCACCAAGCGTGCGAGTTGATCGACGGCCCAATCGAGTAGCTCACTGTGGCAGTGACACAGATACAAAGTCTCAAGGGACGGCGGCAAAAGCGCCACGAGGTCTTGTGTGGGCTCATAATATTCGTCAAGCCTGGCAAGCATTGAGATAGAAATATGTAGATATTTCATCATATTGAAATCGGCAAACGATCCCATCCATCCATCATCTTCTTCTTCCGGATCCTGGTATGATTCGCCACAGAGCCAGAGCGCCTCTAGTGTTGACTTGTGAAGGGATATAGATTCTCGAAGGGGAGCCGATACAAAATCGGGTCCATCTGAGACCATTGACCCGCCAATGTTCAAGCGGAATGTCTTGAGAGCCTTGCAAGATTCAATCCAGACACCGAATCCACACTCAGTGTTGGTCATGTCGAGATCGATATCTGTGACTCCCGAGAAGGCTGTAATGCGGCCCTCTTCACGACTGGAGTCGACCATCGAGGATCCTCCAATCCTGCGCATCGCTGGGAATTTGAAGAAAGGTTCCATGCAGCTTGCATGGATGCCGTATTCCGAGTCAGACCATTCCACGAAAGCGTCGGCGAGTCGACGAAATACTGTGGCATCCTCCCTGGCAGCCTTTACGAACATAGCATCAACATATTCTGACCCGTACGAGTAGCATATGCTGATTTGTCTTAAGCCTTTCAGCTGGGGGAGGAGCAAAGCTAACCAAGCATCGGTGTTTCCGCGCCGCAGTTCATCGTAGGGCTGCGTGGACCAACATGTACCGGCGACAAGGCTGTTGATCAGTTCCTCATCATATTCGAATTCACAGTCGATGTGCTCGGTGTCATCCTCGGTGTCCCAACTCTCCAAGCGTAAAGCTCGCACGGCATTCGCCAATTCTGGCTGTCGGGCGATTGAATTGAAAAATTGACTGACTTGACCAATAGTATGATTGCTAACATCACAAAGAACGACCCGGGAGTAGAGAGTTGGTAGCAGAACTGTGTACAGTCGACGACATGATCGAACTAGGGAATATCGATCATGCTGGAAACCCAGCTCTTCCCCAATGAGACAAAGAGTCTCCTCTGGGAGGTCCAGCAACATGATGGAACTAGTAAGGGTTCTTGCAAAAGCAAAGAGATGGTTAGTTGTATTTATGTCGGCGAGGAAGTTGCCGTGTTTGCCCATGGACGCTAGGAACACGAGGTGGGGGCGAGATTTATTTGCAGCATGATAGAAGGCCCAACCACGAGCACATTCAATGGATATCGAGAGAATACGGGTGTTGGTGTTATCACCAAAATAGTGAGCACTAAGAAGCAAGAGAAAGTAACGCGGGATATTTGGGAGAGGAAACAAGTGGAGACTGCCAAGACCAACTGTGCAAAGGACCTATCAGAAGGAAAACTATGAAAAGGAAAGCGGTTAACTACATGAAATCTGACGTTTGTACCCCATAAGGCGGAATAACATTAATTAGATTAAAATAACATAAATTCAAGTCTCTAGATGCGTGGGCATAATCCCCGAGACGAGAGGTTTCATTTAGCAGTCCCACCATTCTGGGTCAAACCGAAGATTCCTTGGTTGATTAGATCAACAACCATGGTTCCGTCCATCGAAATAAGATTAAGCATCACTGGTGGACAAAACAGACAAAAAGGGGGATCAAGTGCCAGGATAAGGAGCGACATTACTAGGCACAGGCTCTGTCTTGGCTCGACCAAACATAGACAACCGAGATTTCGACCGGGAAGGAACTGCCGCTGGCCGGGTACTTTGTTGAGTGCTTTGTTGGCTTTCGCTCTCCACTTCGGTGGGGGCAGCAGATTCGACCGGAGCTGCGCGGGCCTCCTCTACCTTTCTCACGCCTTCGCGTATTTCATCGGACGAAGCACCTGGTGGTGCGGTCGTCGTCAGAGTCTCAGTAGGGCGAATTAAACCCTCGGAAGTATCTTCATTGAGCTTGGCGATCTCTTCTTCCGTCACCAGCCGCTCATTCTCCAAACGGACTTCGCGTCCGCGTTTGTGGCAGTACCACAGCACAAAGAGAAGGACTGAGGACGCGGTAGTTAGAAAAAGTACTTAGGCACTTAGTGTGGTTTCACTTACTGAACAATGCTAGAGACCAGAGCACATTCATACCCATAACAGCAGGGAATCGAGCTCGCAGGAATGCCATAATGGATCGCAGCATTCCTACTAGAGCAGCTGGCTTCGACACAAGCTCCTTCAGACTTGGCACATTGAGTCCCATCTTCTCTGCAGCTGCAGCAGCCTTGCCCACGTTCTCCATGTTGACACCGCTCTTGCCAGCGCGGTCGGCAGCCACCGCCAGCATCTCTGGAGCCAAGGTCTCGGTCCAACGCTCGGGAAGTTTCTCGATCAACTTTTGCATGGGACCAGGCAGCTTCGTATAGGTTTCTTGTAGTTGGCGATTCCCGTTGGTGAGCAGCATCTCCAAGTCATGATAGGCAGTTGGGACTCCGTTGATTAGATCTTTGAAAATGAGCTTAAACTTTCGTAAAAGCTCTTGTGTCTCCTCGCTGATCGAAAATACACGGTTGTTATCCGCTGCCAGGTTCAATCGCTCCAGAATATCCGTCATATCCTCGGCATCTTTATCTATATCTGCGTCTTTTCCGTCTGATGTGGCCGGAGGAGTCGCGGTTTCGACTTCCGATTTGCTTGCATCGTGGGCATCTTTGTCCTATTTGCGCAAACTCCAATGTTAGTACATACTTCCTGATGCCAGGATCCGAAACTGAACACAGTTATGACCAACCTTCTCCGCGTTTTTCTTCCAAAACATCGCACTCCACCGTTTCTTCTTCTGCGAAGGCTTTGTGACCTCCGATTTTGGTGTCTCTGACCTTGACAATGTTGGTTGAGAGCTCCTCCGTTCTTGTCTACCCTCCTCGCCAAGCTCCTTTCCCAACTCCTCCCCAGGAGAGGTAGGTAGAGGGATGTTTTCGGCTCGTTCACTTATCGCAGGTTGCAGAGACGCCCCAGCAGGACTTCCAGTTTGATTTTGCTCATTCTGCTCTGCAGACTCCAGCTTGGCGGTGACTTCGCGTAGGTAGGCTTCATCTTCCGGTGTCAGGACAGGCTTGGGCGCGCTGGTCATTTGCGACGAACGCCGTAGGTTTTTTATTTGGTTGAGATATTGCATGGCCATATTGGAGACACTCAAAATACTGAGGACGGCAATATGGACTTTAAACCTTTTGTTTCGCTCAAGAGGCGTAGAGGATAACAAAAAAAAGTAGGCTGAAACAAGACGGGCGCGTACTGAAGGCAAGGGGACGCGCGCGCTATAGGATTTAGTGATATATCGACTTTCCCAAGCGACTAGGTGATATGTCAGATGGAATGATTCAATCAGAAGATGTTGTTGTAGTTACCTAAGTTGCATGCCAACACCAAGCTTTTGTTTGGCTCACATGCGCACTCCGTTCCTCGTGATGATATCACCGGTGGCTTGGCATCCCCCGCATGTGCCACCGCATCACTAGCACCGCCATAGCACCGCCATAGCACCGCCACATGTGCTCTATCTATGTACAACATTCGGAGTACTTAGCTCGAACATGAACACTATTTTGAATTACGACAAGAGCTCAACCCTCATTCGTTGCTTCATGCTTCCTTCCTATTGCATTTGTATATTTGCCTAAGTCCTCTATTTTATGTATATCTCGTTTACTGAGGGGTGTTTATTTGTTTATATATCTACTTACTTGCGCAACTCGCTACTATAATTTAGAGTGATAAAATATGTAATATAGGGACGTATGAATTACGCTATGTGATTAGCTTTTCCGTCTTCAGTTTAGCGCCTTAATACATCGTTCTGTATGCTCCGGAGTCCGCCTTCTGTTTCTCCGGCATAAAAAGCTCGCCATGCCCTTTTGACCTCTTGTCCCTCTCTTTAACTTCCCTTCAACTCCTCTATTTTGCACTCATCGCCACCCCATCTCTTTTTATCTTGCTTCCACCGACGATTGCGGCTTGTCTTTCATTCTGAGGCGCTGTCACTTTCATTCTACTAGAGATGCCGCTCGAATCCGACGTTGTGCCTGCAGTGATACAGGCCGCAGCGCTATGATGGTCGTCTCATGTCGATACTTCTTCTTTCCGAAGAGTATAGTGACTGTGCATGCTACAAAGCTATCTAGGCCCCCCTGTGTCAATGCGCCTTGTTTGTCCTTGGTTCCGCCTCTCTCCCTATCCTGTAAACTTCTGGTATACTCTCGACACCGGGTATCACGCCCTATACTCTCCATTTAAGGCTACATTGTACACCTCTGGTGTCACAGCATGGTTGAAGATTTCCATGGCCATGAATGCCGTGACGTCTAGTTGTCGTCATCCCTGTTCTCGCTATGTTCCTGGAGCGTTCAGACATTTTCACAGAACGACAGAGGTTGGATGGATCCACAAAGCCGATTATCCAAGAATAGAGGGCATCTTGGAAGCCTTACCCAAACCGACCAAACAGCAGGGACTTGACTTTTGGAGCAATGATCCAGCTAAGCGGAACAAGTATACTTCTTACCGGTAGTAAATCGGTCCCCTACCGGTCTACTACCGGTAGCTATACCTTATTATATTTTAGAAGCTATATAGTAAGCTAGTTCCTTACCGGTCCCCTACCGGTAAGAAGCATATACCTAGGTAGTATAATACTCTTCTTAGTTTTATAGGTGCGTGTTAATAATAGCGGACGTAATTTAAAAATTACGATACGCTTTAGAACGCTAATCGGATACGGCCTTCCCCGATTCGGACTAGTACAACTGTCGGTGGGACCTGTATCCTCCTCTGTCACCCGAGGCCACCGGTCTAGTAAATTCATCAATCACGTGACACTTTCTTATCTTATCTCTACTAGTACTCCATGCCTAAATGCCATCGAAGTACTCCGTACAGATGGTTGAACTTAGGTAAATGATGGATCTGCCGCCTCAAAAAATCGCATCACCGCCATTGCTACCACCGGGTACCCCATGATAAAATCGTGCAATCCAGTTTTCAAAATTTCTTCGCGAATAACCCCGTTCCCCGTTTTCCATTCCATCATGGACCCAGCAGCTCCCAGCTCTGCTTTCGAGTCGAGCTTCTTTTGTTCAAGGTCGTCATAACTGATCCCGGCTGGCATCGAAGCATTGACCGCATGCCAAAATACAAGCTGAGAATGGTGCCATGGAATGTCAAAGTCATCCTCGGCATGGATTATCGTTATTCGGTATTTCTCTCCGTTCATCTCGTTAGCGCGGATATATTGCGCAATACAATCCTTGCTCAGCCATTTGTCTCGAATGAATCGCTGAAGATATTTGAAGAGGAAAGGGAACCTCGCAACCGGCGACAAGATTGGCACCGTACCCGCAACTCGATAAGTTGAGACCAATGTCGCGACGTCCACGAATGGTGCAACCAGAACCGTGCCTGCGAAGACTATTGGTGGATTTTGTATAGCAAGATGCTTGGATACAGCGATGCTCACGGCCGTGCCCATCGATTGACCAAATATCAAAATTCGAGATGGAGGGATTCCTACAACATTGATTGCCCAGTCTACCACAACGAGAGCATCGACGACGAGCCCGGATTCAGATGGCGACCCGGTACTCTTGCCAAATCCTCGGTAATCAAATGTCAGAACATGGATTTTTCCAGGATTCCCCGCTGACAGCGCACGGTAATTCGGGACCCGGTATCTTGAGGCGACGGCTCCGCCAGCGCCGTGCATGTGAAGAATCAAACGAGCATCGGGGTCCTCTCGCAATAATTGAAATGCCAGTCGAGACTTGATATCGGACACCAAGCCTACAGGATCTCTAATAAGAGGTATTTGATGCTTGCGATATAATTCTATGGGAAGAATATGCCAAGCGTACAGGCGTTCACCGTCCGGCGTTTTGATGAAGAACGGAGTGACTTGGTTCCTCAGGAACCCAAAGATTTCGGGGACATTGAGGTCTTTTAACCGTGTCATCCGAAATGCGTGGAGGTAAACGACATGTGATTGGAAGCTTGATGTGGTGAGTAACCCTAGGAGGATCGCATATAACCCAACCACAACAGCGACTGGTATTGACGCATATTTAAAGAATAAACAAGCTATCTCGCCCGCTGTCATGGTGAGTCGAAAAGCAATGGAGTGATATTGTTGCGACATGGCAGAGGGGATGTCCTGAATTGAGGGCTGGGGTTGCACGCTAAATAGTGACATGCAGCCACAATCCTGTTGAAATATGCATGGTGCGGGTGAAACATTGCTTGTTGTTATTTAGTGCAAGTATAGTGGGCTTGAGAGCGAGATGTTGGATATATACCATTCACACTAGTAAGACCTGTCCTGTAACCGTCACTAAATTGGGGTGGGTTATTTTGTAAGGATCCGCCCACTCTGGTAACACTATGGGGTCGGTACTGTTCATGTTCCTAGATATCAGTGGTCCTTTTGTGCTTATTGAGATAATGGGTGAGATATGAAAAGCGTTAAGAAGAGTAAGATAATACATTATCCATGCTAGCTAGCAATAATATTTGATAGGGTGCTGCCTATCTAGCCATGGCAAAATATACCTGTTTACTCTAGGGACATCCACACCATCGATGCCGATCGTGCCCTTTCGCGTTTCAACAAGCGCCAGCAAGGTGAGCAGTAATGTAGATCTGCCAGCCCCATTTCGATCGCAGATGGCAATGCTCTCCCCGGGTTCAATTTCAAAAGAGACACCATGCAAACTCCAGATCGGGCTTTCTGGTTCTGAAGTATAGCTAGGCCACAAGTCGTCAAACTTGACCATTCCGGATGCGGGCCAGGAGCTTGGAACATCTACAGGGGAATCCACCTCCGGTTCGAGCGGGTGCTTCTTTTGAAAGCTACAATCCGTGCAATGGCTCCCAAAGAAACCTCGAGGCAGGTCCAGGAGTTAAAGAGCGAGGTTAGAGTATCACTTAGCGTGGTGAAATTCAGGAATGCAACGCCGATAGCGCCGAAAGTTGTTTTTATTCCGGATCCCCACGGCCATACCGGCCACAACCACAGCAAGACCGGCCACGAATATATCTAAGATAAGCTGTAGCCAGCGTTGTATGGCATAAAGAACATAGAACGGCTCTTGCGATCTGTCCAGGCCCTTGCGAAATTCCTGTTGCCAGGTGTCCTGCCAACCATGGGCGCGGATAGTCTCCAGCCCTGTGCATCTCTCGAGGACCTTGGTATGAAAGCTTACTTTTGACTGCAATGTGTGCTGACACAGTTGTTTTGACATGCTACATGAGGAAAAGAACAATTATCACAGCTGGTAGCACGGCAAGGGCATACACTCCCATAGCTTTATCGTGGTGTTCAACATATGGATAGGTAATTCCATATCGACCATCACGAGGTCTTGAGTGAACTGATTGAGCAGGTCCCTGAGTGCGTGGTGCTGGTGAAATAGAATATCGAATTTAAGACGGTCTTGAGTAGTTGACGGTGAAACCCAACTCCAGATGCAGGGACACCCTTTAGCATCAAATGACTACAACCCAGTTAACTTGAAAAGAACAATTTGGGGTGATATAAAATAGAGGAAATTAGTACCAACCCCAGCCAGATTGCTACCACGAGGAGTGGCAGGACCTGCAACATAGTGTATAATCCCAGCTAGTAGCCAACATTGTGAGAGCCCTTCTGGCGGTCTTCGGACCACCACTGTGCCTAATGCTGATAGTTTTAGAGGTTGGGAGGTTGGTGGATATTATTCTAACGGATGGCTCGATGAACACCAACGGACCACTGAAGGCTGGAGCACTGAATGTTGCACTATAGTTTTGCCATCTCATTTCCGTTTGAGAAAAGAGGGGGAGAGGTCAGGTATAGGAATCAAACGGGTGAAAGTATACTCCGTGCCGCAATCGGGACCAAAACGTGATCTCGGGATTATAACTCGCATATAGATTCCGCTCTCCGCTGCTGCATTAGTGGCTGCGTATTTTAATTTACTTGACATCCTGCACCCGATTAGACTCGGAACCCCGCAAAGCCAAGCACCTCGGTCTCCAACTGCCGAACCCTGAACTACCGGTGGCTTCGATTTCCCCGTCTACTTTCATACTGAAAGACGCCATGCCAAGCTCCGTCGGGTATATACCCTTCACCAAAAGAACCAATGGCCCGTCCCTGCATCGGGATCACTCGAAGGTCACGCTACGTTCATATTCAGACTACAGCACTGTCACATGGCATACCAGGAACCTCAAAGTATATTTGTTCCTACTGATCTCTTATATCGAAGAAGGGATATCGAATACTTAACCAGGAATCGTAAGAGACGACGTTTGCGGATAAACTTTGGGAACCCAAGAAGAGCCTAGTTCAGGCCGATCTATTCCCACACACCCCTTCATGATTGTTGGTGGAATATAGCGACGATCTTCATCAATTTGAGTGTTGATCAGGTCCAAGCTTTGATATATACCGAACTTGAGAGGCCGAGGTTGTTCTAAGCTGACTCATTTTCGGCATCCCCACATTTCCCCGCAAATATTCTTTCGTCAGCCAATGCAGCCCCCGATTCGACGGACTTGGCATTGGCTCTTCCTGACTTGCCAAGTCCAAGCTTGGGTGATATATTTTTTGCAGGACTTCATTTATGTATTTCGAAACAAAAGTGGTCTTCGTGGCTATTGATTCTACTGAACGAGGCTTGAAGGCACATATTCTGTCTCACCCTTTTTGCATATGGAGAATAAGTAAGTCCTTAAAGTCTATGGGTAGTACGTGAGCTCGCTGGCGCTATTATCACCAGATTAGAAACCCCGGAAATCTTAGGACGGAGATTTCCCCAACGGTGTATCTGTACATCCACCATGCATGATGACTGCTTGGCTCCATAATCTCAATTACCTATTTGAGATACTACCTCCGACGCAGCCCCCTGGTGCGGTGTCCGCTATCCTCGGCATATAGTGTACAATATCGTGACAATGTCGATAGGGATAGGTCTGAGGGATATCTGAAGTATTTAAAGAGCAAGCTTACCCGTAACTGTTTTCTTTCTTTTCATCCAAACGCAACGATCCAGCAGTCCTTCTGAGTATCTCAAAAGCTTTCTCCAAAATTCTGATATCTTGTTTCAACATGTTGTTCAACTACCAATCTTTGCTCGTGGGAGTCTCCTTGATCTCGCAAGCCCTAGCTGCACCTCTTTTGGAGTCGAGGGCAACTTCTGGTACGTCAATTCATCAACCCATCTTTCAATTAGGCACTTCTAACATTCCCTCAAGACCCCTCTGCTTTCCCTGATCTGCAACGTGCAGCGAAGCTCTCTTCTGCTGCCTACAGCGGTTGCATCGGAAAAGCCTTTGATGTCACTATCACCAAGAGGATCTATGACCTCCTGACCGACACCAACGTAGGCATAGTATTTTCTCTATATGCCAGCAAATAATTAACATCAATAGGGATTCGTTGGATACTCCACCGAAAAGAAGAAGATCTCGGTCGTCATGAGGGGCTCGACTACCAGTATGGACAAATCAATCCATATTATCACTAGCCCACCGTGCTAATTGATCTAGTTGCCGACATTTTGAATGACATTGACACTACGCTCGTCACCCCCTCGCTCTCGGGTGTGACATTCCCTTCTGGCGTGAAGATCATGAAAGGTCTTAACAAGCCTTGGTCCGCTGTACACGACGAAGTCATTGCTGAAGTCAAATCGCTCGTCGCGAAGTACCCGGATTACACTTTGGAGGCAACTGGACATTCCCTAGGCGGTGCGCTCACATACATTGCCCACGTTGCACTGGCGCAGAACTTCCCCGGCAAGGGACTCACTAGCAATGCACTTGCTGCCTTCCCCATCGGCAATGAAGCATGGGCCAACTTTGCTGGCTCACAGGCCGGTACTTTGAACCGTGGAAATAACATTGCTGACGGTGTTCCAGTAAGTCATGGGTGGATTTGAAATGCTATATTAAAGTGGCTAACCATAAAACGCAGAACATGTACGTGAGCGGGCTCTTCAACTTCAAGCACTACGGAACCGTGAGTTATTCTATCGATGCCATTGTATATCAATGTTCAATAGCTTACCCAATGCACAGGAATACTACAGCTCTGGATTGAAGCTCACCTGCGTAAAGTGCGAGGGGCAGCGCGACAGAGACTGCTCTGCCGGCAATGGTATGTACAGTGTCACTGTCGGTCACTTCTCAAGCTTTGGTGTTACAATGATGGCTGCTGGTTGCGGCCTGCTTTGAGTACCAGATGTGGATACAACGGAGCGATCTTCGACGCAGATCGCTTATTTTGGTAACAAAACGATCTCAGATGATTTATATCTCGCTGGCGAGGAAAATAGATCATTTGATGTTTATATAGTTGTTGATAGTTATTTGTGTCAATTGGATGGTTGGTCATTCAACATGATCGATATCAAGCAAATACTATATATCATTCGACGCCAATTCCATTCCATCATAAGTAAGAACATAGATAAGCCGTACACTCTTGGCAAAAATGCTGTGTATATTTCCATTTCGGATTTAGCGCATATCTACACTAACCAGTGTGACGTGAGAATTTAGCGCCTTACACAGCCCCTCGAGGTTACTCAAAGAACCAGCCACAATTTCATCTGAGCCTCAATTAGCAGGTGACTTTCTAGTCACATTTGATATCACCTGACCTCCTCCTTTATAAGCCCCCTCTTCACTTTTTCCTTTCTTCTTTTTTCTTTCCTTCCACGCCTGCCGGAGTCGACTGTTCGCTGCGAGATTCATTTCAGATTCTCAAATGCCAAGTAATCCCAGGACTGCGTATTCCTCGTCTTTTAACTAAGACTCGGGGGAATCGTTTCTGTGGGGAGCTTCCAAGACTCGCATGCTTCGTGTGCATGACTAGCAGCGTCAATTCGTCCTTCTTTCGACCAACTCGTATCATTCATTCTGATAACTACAAATATATCTCGTCATTTTTGATCATCTTCTATGGGCATATATCGGCAATAGGCTTCCTTTGCACCGTTATGTTCAAGCGCTCTTTCGTATCTAAGGACCGGGCGGGTAAAACCGTCAAGGTTGCCAAGAAGAAGTACGACGAGCTAGTCAAGGAGAAGATGAAGCAGAAAGCGGAAAGTCCCACAATGGGAAGGTGTGTTTTTTTATTACAAATGCGGACCTGCGCACTCTAAATATCGACATCTATTTTATGTGCTGATAATGTATACCTATAGTCCCCTTACCAGCCCTATCATTACGATAATTGTTGGGCGGGACCAACGTCTCTTCGCTGCCCATGAAGATGTCCTATCTGTGTCGCCGTTCTTTAGTGCTGCTCTGAAAGAGCAGTTTCTCGAAGACGGTGCAAAACAACTGACTCTGCCTGACGAGTGAGACAACCCTGCCTATTTCGATTGAACAAACACTTAATCTCGAAACAGAGAACCCGAGGTTCTGTCGTGTATTCTCGAGTTTCTGTACAAGGATGACTACTTTCCGCGCCTGTTGCAAGGAAAACAAAGAAACTCTTGGTCACTCGAGAACGCCCAGGATATCACTCAAACTGGTGGCCGAGGGTCGAGTGAGCCGACAATGTTCCACACTGGAGTGGGGGATCTCATTCTCCGAGACACGGCGGTGTACTGTGCTGCTGAGAAGTACGGCTTGGAAGAACTCAAGCGCCTTGCTCTCCGAAAGCAAGGTCTTCAGAGTGGTATTCCAGCCGACGTGATCTTGCGATCCGCTCGATATGCATATGACAACACACCCGAGTCCGATTCTCGACTGCGCGCTCATTACCTGGCTCTTATCATCCGCAGTCGTAAGACTTTCAAGAGCAGCGGAACCTTGCAGATGGAGATGGAAGAAGGGGGCAAGTTGTTCTTCGACCTGTTCGTGGCAATGTGCAACCACATGGACGACCTTTCGGAGCTGCGGTACGATTCAATTTCTCCTTCTCCGTCGCCCTAGCTCTCTGCATGCCCCTATGTTACTGCTGACTGCTTTTTCAATCCCGAGACCCGAGTGCTTACACTCGTATCTACTAGCATCAAGCGATCGCCGAGGTTTTTCTAACCGGTTGTAATATTGTCTATGTACTGGATCGAGCGACTTAGATTTTGAAATTGAACAAGGGAGACGTGGACCTTTTGCACCAGAATGGCACATTGACAACGAGCTTAAACTGGTCTGCGTTTCTGCTTTGACAGCAACTTGACCTTCGCTTCTATCGAGGTTGGCCGCCATTTTGGTTCGAAGAACCGACCTTATTCGCCTTTAATCGGATCCACGGCGTATCTTGGCTTGCGTTCAACCACTCTACACTCCTTGAGATTGAGCTTTTTTGTCACAGTCTTTGATAATCTGCACTTAGTATGCTGATCTTGTTTGTGACAGTGGTTATGCTTTTGCTCTAATCCGGCGATGTTTTGTTAATCGCTTAACCTGCTCTTGGGCAACGCGTCTATATGGTGATGAGAAAACAGAAATGAAAAAAATTCGGCCACCTCAAACAAGCAAACTGTAGAAATATCTATTACGTACATAGTTATATCGTATCATTGCAAGCATTTGCGCACCCTGCAGCGAATCGTGGGTAGACTTTAGGGTTTGAACCGCCAGACCTGTCCTATAATAATTTACCACGCCCTTCTTTTTCATAAATTTGACTTGGTGTCGTGAATGAAGATCTGCCTAATTTGATATTTGTGCTTTCTATGAAAGCTGTCATTCGGAAATTTCGTACAACCATTCTTGGTATGTGTCCTGTATACAAAGGTTTGTACCCCGAATGCCTTCTGAAGTACTGTAGACTCCCCCGGAGAAATGCTTCACATCACGTCAAGAACTGCGGTTATTGATGCATGTAATTTACATCGCAGGGCATTTAATCATCCAGCCGCCATGGGGGAAATGAGGCAAATCTATATGCAATAAAAGCCCCCTCGAAAGAACCTTAGAACTGCAGGTCAAGTCAGTATTCTCCCCTATATCAATTGGAAGGCATACATTATATTCCTGCCTCCGGTCACTACTTGCCAATATAGTTATATTCGAGGCCCCCAGATGAAACTCGGAACTTCGAGACCACCTGGGCAATACCCAAATTTAGGGATCTTATTGTCACAACGAGATGATAAATTTAGCCCCATGGACAATTCTAGTGCATAAAAACTTCATTATCACGATAGGCTTCATCAATTGTACATTGAATCGCAGTCAAGAGAAAAATGTCTACTTGCTACGACACGAAACTTTGACTCGTCGCTTACACCAGCGCATTAGTAAAGCCCCGGAGATCGACGTTATTTCCTCGTTGATGCAAATTTCACCAGCGCTCCATCTTTCCCCGTATCCTAGCAAAAATGGCCCTAGGTAAGTTTTCTATGCCTTATTGCTTGCTCATTCACGTCGCAGCACGGCACACCTGAATAACTATACGCGACTTTTCAACCATTCAATCCTCGCCCAAAAGCTCATTTACTTTCCTTTCACAAATCATTGATCATACTCTCTGGGGGATCTGTTGCATCTACCTTCATATCAATTGCACAAAACACCTGGACTTCGCGGATCGCATCTCCCCGCCACTATACTCTCTATTTCAGCCCCAGTGACCCCAGTATCGTATTTCGGATTAATCGCCTGCTACAACTCAAAATACGATCATTCGCAGCCTCACTTCCCTTTGTATTGGGAAATTGATCCAATTGAGCGAATCATATTTTACTCACACTGACAATCACTTCCAGCTTTCGGTGACCAAGGTCGGCTGTCCTCGGCGCCAAAGAGCAGTGGACTCACACATAATTCTATGCACGAAAGCTCAACCAATATGGGTCCGAGAACGTACCTCACCACTGGCCTGAGACATCTACCCAAGCCCCGCGTGCTGGAGCCTGGCGAAGCCCTTATTGTTCGGTACAAGAATTCCCTACGGCAGTACAAATCCGACGTGTGGATTGGCGTCGTTCTTCCGGACAAATTCGGCCCAAGCCGACACATCAATCGCCGCCCTGTTGGTGCACAGCCAACCGAGGGTCCTTGGGTGACGCACCTGAAAGACCGCATCTATTCCATGTATCTTCCGGGCCGAAATATGTAGTAAGTTTGGTCTCTTTTTTCATACCCAAAAAAGACCCCCGAAGTTGTGTGTTTATCGATGTATACGTGTGACCATTGGTTTTGCTGCATAACTGTTGAACTATTTGTGCATGTTGTTCTATGAATATTTGAAACTAAAATGTATGAAGCAAATGGGTCGGACTCCAGGATCTCTTTGTTCTGAACGAAAAGACCATCAATGTTCTCCGGCGTGCCCAGAGAGAGCCAGATGCCAAGATCTGGGATGATATTCTGGAAATCGTTCGAAGTGAGCCTGGGCTGGAGTTCTGGAAGAACATGTCTCTTCAGGAGCTCGGTACCAAGGGCAAACGGGGGAAGGCACTCCGTCTCGTTCTGCCAAGTGGTCATGAGGGCCTTGTCTCCTGTGGAGAAAGCCATGCTGACTCCGAGTCAGAGGAAGAGGATGATGATGATGATGATGAACATAACAGCCCATCAGATCACGTGGAGCCTGCTACTGCTGCTGCTGCTGCACCTGGCTCATCTAATGGGCAAGCAAATATCAGATCATTTTCTGACTCTCGTGCTGCACAAAGCGTTCAGCCCAGGCAGCCAATGGTGTTCCCAGATGTCAAGCCAGCTGGACCTGCATCTGAACTGCTTCCTTTCGCAGACAGAGAGAGCTCTAGCCTAAACGCAACCCAGAAATTTCAGCCACGTCCTCCTCTGATGCCTCCCAACTCTTCTCTCCCAAACTCATCGGCAGTCGTTACACCACCAACCACAGTCACGCAAAATATGGTACCCAAGGTCGAGAATGAGACTAAGTTCGTTGAGTTCTGATTTCCACTCTCAATACGCAGGCACTAACATATTTTAAACATACAGTGCCAACCTTGCAGCTGTGACATCACAGCCACCTGTTTCAGAGTTCTCAATTTTTGACCTCACCCTCACCCAGGCTCTAAAGCACGTCTTCCTGAACCAGCGTGAAGCCACCCAAATCAAAGATGTGTTTCTAGGCACCGTGGCTCTCGAGAGACAGCCCGAATATCTGCCGATTCGCGAATACTTGGCCGATGGCGAATTCCACCCTCGCCTGATAACCCTCAAGAACTCCGGATTCTCTCATCCCACTCCATTCCCAGCCCTGGATCCCAACGGCACGACTACTTTCCGCCTAGTTGGTGACCAGATGGGGATTGGTCAGAACTTCAAACTGAACGGTGTGGGCAACAGCCTAGATTTGGAAAATGTCATTCTTGGCCTCGGAAGAGTCTACCTCCAAGCCCGCCGTTTTGGCTTGATGGATCTGGTTTATCGAATTACATTCAAACTTCAAGTCGCCTGGAACTGCTACCCGGAATTATACCAAACCAAACCCCTCCTCGAGGTTGCTTCTCTTGCTTTCGCTGGCCGCATCGGGTTTGATGAGGCTGACTGCGACTATCTCCAGTCATGGCTTATTCATTTCATTTCCGAGGCCTCAGATTTACTCACATACAACGCTAGCGAACAGTTCTGGTCGTTGTTACGAAATCACCCAAAACTTCAAGAAAAGGTTCTCAATCTTCGCACACTGGCCCACGTCCATAACCCAGAGCTGTATGGGAATACCCGCGCGCTCCTCGAGAGCCGCGGTCTTGGAACCCTATGATATACACTCTGATCGACCAGGAACACCGCAAAGAGCTGTGTTTCCCATAAAGTCATCTCAGAATGTTGAGCGCATGAGCTTTCTCCCCTTTGCTTGCTTGTTTCTTTTCGTTTTCGTTTTCCTCCAGTTTCAATCTGGGCTTATTTACAGTCTTTATCATTCAGCTTTTTATTTGCATTTTCTCATGGGCTTTTCAGCATTTCATCTTGCACAATACAAGGAGTTGCATTTCAATTGTTTCACTTCTTTTACCCCCGTCCTCGTATGGTGGAAATGGGGAGACCGTGCAAGCTCATAGTTAGCGTTTATTAACGCCGGTATTCTTATCCACCATATCTCATTGAAGTCGTATCCAACAGTCGTAGTGATAGCCGTTTCCACATAACCAGTAGTTTCAGGGCCACATGAAGCTTGATTTTTGCAAGTCATCCCGAGAAGCGCATCTCAACCCACAATTAAGGATACGAGTATAGTATTCAGAGCTCGCGCACCTTAGTCGTACCCGGCCACGAACACGCACTTGACTGCGCAAACGTCCTTATTACAGGACGTACAACTAAAAGTATTTTTTTGTTTAGAAAATAAATCAATTCGTTATGTCAACTCGCAGGTTAATCGATAGTGAAAACGACCCAGATATGCATCAAAGTATGATGGTGCACCAGTGCAAACCATCGCTAAAGGGAACCCGAATCTCACGCCTGGAGTGAAAAAAAGATGAAAACGATTGGAAGGAATGGAACAAATGCGAATCGATTCTCAGAAGAGATCCACCGCGCAGATTGACATAGAAACAGAAGGATCGGAAGGAAACCAGTTGCAGCATAAAAGAGAGAACAAAGCAGTTGGTATTTGATAATTCACAATAGTGCAAGATTCGCAACACAAGGTGAAACGACTGGCACGAAGGGTAGACGAGTTTAGGCGTCATCATCAGTGTCCTCGGGCTTGACTGGCTTCAGAGGAGACTCAGTAGCGTCCTCGACAGACTCCTCCGCAGACTCCTTGGCATCGTCTTCAACGACCTCAGTAGCATCCACGATGGGCTCATCGGCAATTTCGGCAGAAGCATCCTCGGGACCACCTTCAGACATCACGGCGGTGCCATTGGCAGATTTCTCAGTGGAGACTTCAGCGGGCTCCTCGGCAGCCTGGTCAGCGGACTCATCGGTGACCTTTGCGGCAACTGGCTTGCGACCTTTGGCCTTGGGCTTCTCTTTAATAGTCTCGGGGGCTTCCGCAACCCCCTCGGTAGGTTCCCGAGTAGGCTTGATGGCAGCGGGCTTGCGGGTACGAGTTTGCTTAGGCTTGGTCTCAGAGGTGGCATTGTTGTCGTTGGTCTTGTTGCTGGCACTGCGGGTGCGTTTGGGCTTCTCGGTCGATTTATCCGGCTGCTCATCCTTGGAAACATCAGATCCGCTGGTCTTGGCTTCCTTAGTAGCCTTTGAGCCCTTCTTGCCATTTGCACCATTGACAGCCTTGCTACGAGTGGTAGACTTCTCGGTCTGTCCATTAGCAGGGCCAGTCTCGTTGTCGGCAGAGGAGAGATCCTTGTCGACCGGAGAAACATCGTTGTTGACATCCTTCTTGGCATGGGTTGCACGAGTTGGGCGAGTTGGGCGCTTCTTGGTCTCAGTGGCGGTCTCGTCTGAAACCTTCTTTGGCTGATCCTCGTCGGCATGGTCAAGGTCTTCCGATTCGTTGTCGGTAGTAATAGCCTTAGAGGTAGCGGCTGTGGTAGCACGAGTGGAACGCTTGGGGCGCTCGTCCTTAGGCTCATTGTCGGTAGAGGCAATTTTATCCTCGAGGGTCTTCTTGCCACGAGTAGCACGCTTCTTTGGTTCGACAGTTATCTCAGTGTCAGCATCAGCACCTTCGTCTTCGGAAACCTTCTTTGTACGACGGCCACCCTTCTTGGGCTCGACCTTGCCCTCAGTCTCAGCATCGGGACTCTCTACATCCGAAATCTTCTTTGGACAGCCAGAACCACGCTTCTTGGGATCGGCCTTGACATCTGTCTCAACGGCAGTCTTCTTGGGGGGGCGGCCAGGCTTCTTCGCCACCTTGGGCTCAGCCTCAACGATGGCAGCATCAGCAATGGCATCATCATTGTCGGTAGCCTTCTTGGTACGAGTTTTCTTCTTCTTGGCGGGCTCCTCATCTGTATGCTCAGGATCGGTCAGAGCATGCTTCTTGGCGGGAGAGGACTGCTCAGCTTCCTCGGACTGCGAGTCACATTAGTATCTCATATGATATGGGGATAGAAAATGGAATTCACGCACCTCATCGGCCTTGGCCTTGGCCTTGCTGTTCTTGGTACGCATGCCGACATGTCCAGGGCGGTTGCACGCAGCATCCTAGGAAATGTTAGTCGGTTGATCCACAGTTGGACCCCTTCCCGAGGGAAATGTCCCAAATTTCCAGGTCGAGGAAGGTGAACTTACGCCTTTCCACTCGTCGTCTTCGATGTGACCCACTTCGATGGCCTTGCGAATCTTGTCTTGGAGATCCTCGTTCAGCTCATCAAAGCCATCAATGCGAGAGAAGTCAATCTCATCAGAGACTCCAGTGATGTCATTCTTGACGTTCTGAATTTGCTTGGGGGTAAAGCAACCCCTGAAGGAGGTCAGTATTTGAACTCATTTGATCAATGATAGAAGCCATGAATGATGTTTAAAACAAAACACGTATCTTCACAAGGCTAGACTCACCAGTGACGCCAGGACCAGCTTTGGAAGCCCGGGCCATCAATCCAGGTGCCAACACGAAATTCACCCTTCGTGATCTTGACCTTCTCTTTGTTACAGTCCGGGGCTTTGCAGCCAGCACGGCCCTGGGAGGCAATCTCTGATCACGAAGTTAGCTGTGATGTCATAAAAGCTGTTGCGATCCGTTGGACTCAGGAAGAGTGGGTAATTTTCCCAAAAATGCCAAAATACACAAAGCAGATGTCTGTGAATTAGGGCATGATGTCACATGTTCAGTTGTGTACCCAGGCATTCTCACTTGGTGCAATAGACATGCATACATCCATTGACCTCGAGAACACCAGTCGGTAGACATAGAACTATGATATGAAATCACTCACCGAAGCGGTATGGCATTTTGACTGATGTAGTCAATGCAAGTAGTGGAAAAAACGGAGGTGTGTGTGTGAGGTTCACGATGGTGAAGTGAACTTAGGTAGGTAATACCGGCACACAGATATGCGGGTTACTAGTGAATAAAGCAATGCGCAACAAAGAGAAAAAAAAACTGCTTGTACAAAGTGATCGCAGTCCGAAACGTGCTAGGAAAGTTTAGAAATTGAGGTTGTTGTAAGAGCAAAACGAAGAGAGGGAATGCCACACAGTATTTAAAGGGGATAGCTTCAAGAAAGTCGTATGCCGTCGAGTTCTATCCGAGTATTGAATGCTCTTTCATTTTACTCAATAATGAATGAGATGAACTCTCGTATGGTATTTTTTTTTCGAAGAACAATAATAATGTGGAACAAAGAAATGTCCTTTTGTTATGCTCCCCTGTTTGAACAAGATACATTTTCTAGCCAATCAGGATACTTCTCAATGCATAATTCACACTGTGTGTTTTCAATATTTTTTGTCAATGAGTTCATTACAATTATTCATTGAATTGGCTTAAATACCAGATCTAAAAGGGTCAGATATTTTGGTTTACTTCTGCTTGATGGCGAGACGGTACATAATGGTAAGACCTTGCTGTTTAGTGCTCACCTCTTGCCGATTTTTGATTACTTAAGCTGAACAATGCGTTGTTTATGTTTCACCCAAGGGGTATAATATCCACGACTCCCCCATATTTCACCTTCCGTACCCCATCTCGCCGTTCTCAGCTCTCAACTCTCATCTGACATTCGCAATCTCGCAATCAACAACACTTGATAGTTTGTCCTCAACACCATGGAGCCTCTCAGGGACTCAATCAAGCAGGTGGATGCAAATACATGGCTTATCGGTCCTCTAAAACTCCATCGTTCAAAAGGCTATTCTGATACCTCGACCTGGTATGACCAAATCGACGATCTAAATTACAATGTCACCTGCGCGCCTGTTCCCCGCCTCCAGCCCTCCCCCTCCCCTTGTCATCGGATGAACCAAAATTCAAATTGGTCTACGATTGTGGACATAGCTCTGCAGTATGGTCTATAGGAAATAGTGCCTTTTGCAAGGTCAAACTACGCGTAGTTGGCACAACATCAGAAGCTGCAACATTAGCGTTTGTTCATAGGCAGCGGCCTAGTTTCGACGTTCTTAAGGTCTTACACCAAGCAGAACATGATGGCCGGTCTTACCTATTTTTGAGTAGAGTTCAAGGCCGAACTCTTGGAGACGCGTGGTCTACACTAAGTGAGAAATGGCGAAATCACTATATAAACGGTATAGTGAGCATCTGCAAGTTCCTCGAGCGTTCGGAAAACAATACCCTTTGTGGGGTGGATGGGAAAAATGTACTCGAGCCGTTTCTTATTTAAATACGGAGCGAAGGACGACTTTTCTCCCCACAACCTCCAACAATCGTGTGAATTGATAGGTATAGACTGCTCAAATTTTGTATTTTACCATGCTGATCTCGCCCCGGGGAATATCATAGTCGAAGATATCCCGGAGACCGGTACTATCGGTATTATTGACTGGGAGGTCGCTGGCTTCTTTCCAAGAGGATGGATTCGAACAAAGTTTCGAATAAACAGTGGACTGGACCTTCCGGATTCAGTTACGGGTACCCCGGTGGAGTGGAGATCGGGTGTTCAAAAAATGCTTGAGGCTCATGGGTTCGAAGACTACTCTCCGCAATTCGTCTCATGGTGGCATTGAGTAAAACTTCTTATAACCTTCTGGACCCTCGGCATACGCCAAGATATAACTCAGATAGCTAGAAGATCTGGCGGGTAAATTTATAGTCATGGGAAAGCAACACTATTAGGGCATCGCAATATCTCACAGCGCAAGCATTTGGCAAGAAGCGCCCTGGCCCATGGCCTGGAGATGTTGATAGGAGTAGATTGTATGATTCTATCATGATATCTGGATCTTTCAGTGTCAATTTCACAACTCTTAGCATTATATTAAGATGAGTTCTATGAGTATCAGTCATGAGAATCTCACAAAAGGTGGAAAAGGCCTATGGATGGATAGGTATAGTATTCCAAGCTTATACATGGAAACAAGTGGCATTCTACACCTACATACTTCATGGCAGAGGCCAATTTGGATATCAATAAAACGGAATCCGGTTTCAGCATCACTTTTTTAGCTTAAATATCACAGAAATAACTATATAGGGTAAAAACATGGAAGAAAATGTCTAGAAAGGGTGATCTGCCATGTGCTTATGCCGCTAACCAAAGGCGGTTAGCTCATTCCGACGCTTGAAGGTTGCCCAAGTCTACATCTTAAGCTTGTTACTACCTACTACTCGCCTTTCTCGCTACATTCGAGTAATCAACAAAACACACACTGGCAATTTCCTATTGAAAAAGGGGAGCCTGTTACACTACCAGTCGGAGAAGACACCAATTCCTCCCACACGCGCAACCCCACCGATTCTACGCGGTCGCATCACCTCCCCTCAACCCAACACGCACAAAATGTCCGAACCAGGCCCAGAATCCATTCCGACAAGCGCAGATCCACGCAGCAAGCGGCCAACAAAACGACGGGCCGTGACACCGCATTCCGAAGTCGCCAACGAGATCCAGACCCTCTTCAAAGACCCAAGCAAAGAGCTGCAACTACCCAGTGCCCTGAAACCGCGCACCGTGGCGTCTCTCTCGGCGCCACCAGAGATTGTCACTAATGTGCAGGGATCGTCGGCCGGTGCAGGCTCTGGCGAATTCCACGTGTACAAGGCCAGTCGGCGGCGGGAATATGAGCGACTGCGGTTGATGCAGTCTGAGGTGGATAATGAGAAGAGTGATGAGAATTGGGAGAAAGAGCGGGAGGAGGCGAAGCGCAAGGATGATGAGAAGACGGAGAAGAATCGGAGGAGGAGGGAGAAGAAGAAGAATGCGCGTGGGAAGAAGGGTGGTGATCAGAAAGATAGTGCTCCTGTGAAGGCCGCGGCTGCCCCGGGCTCTATGGTTACTATGCAAGACCAGGATGGGAGCGCTGCGGATGGTCAAGTGGCACAGCAGGAAGTTCCTGGTGTCATTTTCCACGATGAGGACTAGTGGAGGCAGTCAAATGCTGGCTGTGTACGATACGAATATATACCCATCTGGATTTGTTTTTTTTTTTCTTTTTCTTTTTGTGAATCTAAGAAATTCATACAGAAGGAAGACAGCCAAGAGGCGAATCGTGTAACATTATGTACGGACCTCGAGTCCAACTATCATTTTTCTTTTTCGTCTATCAATCATTCGTCGCCGCCACCGCCGCCGCCGCCAGCGATCTGTTGAGCGGACTTTCCACTGCAAATGTCGTCGACACGGAGGAGGAGACATGCGGACTAGAGATAAATATGTTAGTGAAATGTAGTGCGCATGGAAAAAGAGTCGGGAGCTTACCTCGACCGCAGTCTTGATGCTCTGAAGCTTGACGGCTTCGGGCTCCCAAACACCGTACTCCTTCATATCAACCAAGTTGCCAGTCTCGCCATCGAGACCCCAGGTGTGGTGGCCCTCGACGTGCTTGGCACGCAGACTGGTAAGCACACGGATAGGGCTGGAACCGGCGTTCTGGGCCAATGTGCGGGGGATGACCTCCATAGCGTCGGCAACAGCCTTGTATGGCCACTGCTGGACACCCTCGACGGAGCGGGCAAGCTGGCTGAGCTTCACGGAGACAGCCATTTCAGTAGCACCACCACCGGGAGACAGACGAGGGTGGAAGATAACGTTGCGAGCAACGGACATGGCATCCTGCAAGTTGCGCTCAACCTCGTTAAGGATATCCTTGGAGGGGCCGCGCAGCAGGATTGTGCAGGCCTTCGGGGACTTGCACTTGCGCATGAATGTGAAGTACTCATCGCCAATCTTCTCAATCTCGAACAGTCCGCACCCGGTACCAATATCGGACTCCTGGATGTCATCAACACGGTTGACGATGGTAGCGCCACTGGCACGGGCAATACGGTTGTTGTCGGTCTTTCGCACACGACGGAGGGCTGTGATGTTGGCCTTCACCAGGAAGTGCTGTGCAAGATCTAGTAAAGCTCGGTGGTTAGAACATGCAATGAAATCACCCTAATCAGACCGATTTCTTACCGGAAACACCCTTCTCGGTGATAACAACGTCAGGCTTGAAAGCCAGAACGGCCTCGCACATGTGCTTGACCTGCTCCTCCTCAATCTGGAGAATACGGTTCCAGTCATCCTCCTTGGAGATCTCAATGTTGGTTTGAGACTCGCCCTTCTTGTACTCCAGGGGGCAATCCAGGAGAAGAATACGGGGGTTCTCGATTCTGCGACGCATCTTGGGATGCGTGATATCCTTGTTGACCATCACACCGTCGATCACCTCGGAGTCCTCGATTTGGCCACCGGGGACCTTCTCAATACGTGCGTAGCGCTTGATATCGACTTCCTGCTTTCCACTGCCGACATCGAAGGAGACGGTTCGCACAGCCCTCAAAGCGAGGCTGCACATGAGCTCTGACCAACGGGACACGAACTTGGTTCCGATGGAGGACTGGATAAGGCTGTACATGGCCTTGTCATCGTGAATGTCAACGGGTGTCGAGACATCCTCCACGATCTGAAGGGCATCGGCGAGGGCACGCTTGAAAGCCTGGATGATAACGACGGGGTGGATGTTGCGTTCGAGCTGGGGGATGGCCTGGGCGAGCATTTCACCGGCTACGGAATATCAGCATCTACCAACGAGTTTTCCGAAATGAATCTTATCATACCAAGGATGATGACCGTTGTGGTACCATCTCCGACCTCCTCGTCCTGGGTACGGCTGAGCTCGATCATGCTCTTAGCCGCGGGGTGCGACACTTCGATCTCTCGCAGAATAGCGTGGCCATCGTTGGTCAACACAATACCACCCATAGGGTCAAGCAGCATCTTCAACATGGCCTTGGGTCCGAGACATGACCGAATGATATCCGCAACACTGGTGTTTATTGAATTAGCATCGAGCAGGAGAGAACAGCGGAGGACCGAGAGATAGCGTACGTCTTTGCCGCGGTAATGTTAGACATCTGTGCTTTCCGGCCAACCTGGCGCTCACCGGAATTGGTGTCTAGATGACTTGTTAGCACTTAAGGGGAGCAACTCGATGGGGGGTAACTAACTCATCACCACCACCGGAGCCTGCATATTGGCGGTGTTTTATTGTTGCTTGAGCGGGAAGTAGATAAAAAACGGTCTGTATCACTTGCGAATATCGAAAAAAATATTGCACGAAGATGACAATCCAAGAGTTCCGACTTCAACGCTGTTCGCCCGCATTCCATCAAATTTCCAGGCGAAGTGGGAGCTCCCTCGGGCTAGTCCATATACGGCTAGCGTTGGATCCTGACAAACCAGGCAAACATCTCCAACTTTCTACATCTGAGCAACTCTACAAAGTTCCAGTTCAATCCATAGAGTTGTAATATGGTATGTTTTATTGTGTAGTTCTATAGATTTTCATAATCCTTTAGCTAAGGCATCTAACAGGACCAAAACCAGCCTAGGAAAACCGCAACCTCCAACCTAAGCATGCCAAGCGAATACCCAAACCAATATCGATTGAGAGGTATCTTGTTTTGACCTCGATGAAGTTCAAACCCGGTAATGAGTTGTCTTATTAAGATGGTATTGTAACATAGACATAGTAGACTTCGAGCCCGGACGGGTTAATCTCTTTCTCTCTTTTGGATCACTTCAATATCCTTATTAGTATCAACAACGAAAATTATATAGCGGTTTAACATGACAACTTAATGCGATAACTAGTAAGCCCCTGGACAAAGTTGTCAGCTTATTATGTCTGGCCTCGAACCAGAGAGAAAAAATTGGCAATTAACCAAACCCATATGAACCAAAGATACAGGATTACTCCGCTGTTGTGCGAAGGAAAATATTCAGATGCAAAAACATACAAAAGAAATCAAGGACAAACACATGCTAATACATGCCATGAATGTAATGTACACGAAGCGAAGGTTTGCTCAGAACTCCCGGCTCTCCCCAATATCACACACATCAAAAACACCAGTCTCGGCGAGATCGTGCTTTTTCAACGCTTCCTTGAGCTTCCTGGGAGGCTCAAGCACATCTTCCTCAGTAAGTACCCAAGTGCCCCAATGCATTCCCAAGGCCTTTTTGCACTTAGTGTCTTTGAAAATGTGAACCGCGTCATGAGGATCAGAGTGTGCTGGACTGAAGATATGACGGGGAGCATATGCGCCAATCGGAATCAAGCCAAGATCAAATGGTCCCCGGAACTCACCTACCTGCTCGAAGGCAGGACAAATAGGGAAATTGTACTTAGGGTCCCAGTCATCTTCCCCTTCTGGTAGTTCGTCCACTGCTCTGTATCCGGAATCACTGGATGGGTTGTCAGCAACGTAACATTCTGATGGTGTGGAAGGGGGAGCGTATCATACCCAGCGAAATAAACCTTACTACCACCAGACTCAATGGCCCAGGATGCCCATAGTGTCTTGTATTTGTCGAAAGGACCGCGGGCAGTAATATGCTGACAAGGCAGGCAACTGATGCGCGCTTTGATCTCTGCTGTGACGGAAGCTTCGCCAACTGGTTCAACCTGCGGACCCTTTCCCTCCTTGGGTGACAATTCAATATCACGCTCATCCCACCAATCCATCTCGGTTACATTTTTAATGCCTGAACTGTGGAACCAAGACTTGTTACCTAGCGGCGCAAAGAAATGGCAATTGGGATGCCGTTTCGCGATCTCCGAGACAGTTGGGTAAGACAGATGATCGTAGTGGTTGTGGGAAATGACCACCGCGTCGATGACAGGGATATCCTTGATCTGACATGGAGGCTCAGTATAGCGCTTCGGGCCGAGTTGATACGGTCCGCAGCACGGCCCACAACGTGCCTCAAACACTGGATCAAATAGTACTCGGAGACCGCTTGGGAACTCCACATAATAGCATGCATGTCCAAGCCATGTTGCGCGCAGCTTGGGGGTATCTCGGCTGGGAAGAAATTTGGGCTTGCGAATGGTGACCGTTGGCGGCGTGGTATCGGGTGTATTCGCTTTGCCGTTCAGTCGACGAAAGCTGCATGCACGCGTTAGAGACTGGTTTGCTTCAATGATCGACAAGTATATCTACATCATCATTTGCATTATATCTTTCGACTCCAGATCGCGAAAAGATCTATCATACGGCGTTGTTAGTTTACGCGACAAAGGGTCGAGAATCTAACAAGTCATGGCGGCTGACTTACTCCCACGGGTTTCTGAATCCACTCTGTGCATGATGACTTTTCTGCAAGACATCTTCTGGGCTAGGTCTAGCCGGGGAGTTAGCCACGGTCAGCGCATATAGTACTTCAGTAGTGGGCGGGGTGCTCATGTTGCGGATTGCTGGATGAATAACGCGTCGATACTGTGTCCGCCGAGTAAGCGGGGAACGGAGAAGAAGTCGCATTGGACGCCAAGGCTTTATAGAAGAAACCCCCCTCGCTCGGACACAGCACACGAATGGTTTTGGGGAGAGGAATGCAAGAAGCAGAAAGTAATTTTAATTCCGATATCTCCGATATTAGGCGTCAGCCCATGCGAACACCGGGACTACCGGAGTATAGATTTCTACATCTCCTCCCATATTGAATACATGTAAATCGGTCAAAATTGAAGATTCTAGCTTTCATTGGAAGGTTGTAGTTCTCCTAGATGTACTCATAGTCCTCCCATGGATTGTCCTGTGGTACCCGTGGGTACGTCAAATGCTCGGCCCGTCGTAACTCCGATATCTTCCCTTATCGATCTTCTCGACATTCGCGATCCTCACGACACTGTTGATTTGGTATGGAGCCAAATGCGGTCCCTAGTGCTGCGCCGTCTGCGGGCGACCTGATTCTGCAGCAGAGAACAGAGGCGCTCCAGTCGGCGCAGAAAGGCGACGGAAGTCTCTTCTCGCAGCTAACGAGTAATCCCTTGTTCACGGCGGTATGAGACCTAGCAGTGTTTCGATCTAAAAACGATGTGCTAATATTATTTTTTTGCTAGGGTTTTGGCCTTGCAGGTCTCGGGGCAGGATTGACCCTAGCACAGAAAGGCGTTCGACATGGCGCTGCTCTTCTCCGCCGGCGGATGCTGGTGGACGTCGAAATCAGCATCAAAGATGACTCTTATCCGTGGTTTCTACACTGGATGACTCTCTACCAACAATCACAACTCAATGCAGGCAAAGCGGCCGCGAATACTACCTACATGGACCGATTCCTCCAAAAGCTCACCCCCGGCATGCGCCACCTCTCCATCCAAACGCAGAAGGTCGAACATTCGAACGGAGCAATTCACACGCACTTTTCGCTGATTCCAGGACCTGGAAAACACGTTCTAAGATACAAAAATGCATTTGTCTTTGTCAATCGTATGCGCGAGTCGAAGTCCCGCGACATTCAAACCGGAAAGCCATGGGAGACAATCACCCTCACCACCCTCTATTCTCAACGGCACATATTCGAGGACCTCTTCACCGAAGCTCATGCATATGCCGCAAAGGGCCACGAAGGCAAGACGACAATCTATAACAGCTGGGGTACTGAGTGGAAACCATTTGGAAATCCGCGCCGGAAGCGTCCGTTGGAGTCCGTCGTTCTTCACGAGGGAGTCAAGGAACGAGTTGTGGCAGATGTGGAAGACTTTATTTCAAGTTCCTCATGGTATCACGACCGTGGAATTCCATACCGACGAGGATATCTCTTATACGGTCCTCCAGGTACCGGCAAGAGCTCTTTTATCCAGGCATTGGCGGGCGAGTTGAATTACGATATTGCCATTTTGAACCTGAGCGAGCGTGGCCTGACCGATGATCGGTTAAATCATCTACTCACAATTGTTCCCAACCGAACGCTGGTTCTGTTGGAAGACGTGGACGCCGCGTTCTCGAACCGACGGGAGCAGAGCGACGCAGATGGCTACCGCGGGGCCAATGTGACTTTCTCGGGACTACTCAATGCACTTGACGGAGTCGCTAGTGCAGAGGAGCGCATTATCTTCCTTACCACGAACCACGTTGAGCGACTCGATGAGGCGTTGGTCCGTCCTGGGCGTGTGGATATGACTGTCCGTTTGGGCGAGGTGACTCGTTACCAGGTCGGCTGCCTGTGGGATCGATTCTATGAAGATATCGATACCGATGGGGTTTATCGCAAACTTTTCTTGGATCGACTTCAGGAGCTTGGCTTGATTGAAGATGAATCAGGTAACAAGCCTGATCGGTCTATTAACACCAGCGCAGCTGCTCTCCAGGGCTTATTCTTGTATAACAAGGGTAACATGGAGGGTGCGATTACCATGGCCGAGGGTCTGACCCACAGTGTGCACACTGAGGCCTTGGGGCAGGATCAAGGGAAGAACGAGTAATTGTATAGTATCATGTAAATAAGATTAAAATATATAGACATTCATCTGGATGCACATTCTTACAATGGGGAAATAAGCTTATCCATGATCAAGCCGGTGTCACTAGGGGCAAATCTCGGGGATTTGCATAGATCCACCTTGCATATTCTTTCTCTCACCGATATGTAAAGAAAGTATTAAAGCAATTAACTGTCCGAGCCCATTACCCCTCAATTTCAATCTATTTTCACCCCCACTAAACATCCACATCATGGTTTATACAATTGTCGTCCGTACGTGATAGCCCTCCCCATTACCGTTTCCCATGCTGATAGTAGTAGACCTCCGTGCCAAGCCGGACGAAGAGTCCATCTCCAAGCTAAAGGCCAAGCTTGTTGAAGCCTCCAATGTTTACTCAAACGACAAGGAAACCCTCTCTTGGTTCGTGATGCAGTCTGTGTTCGACAAGCAGGACTTCACAATCGTCGAGCGTTACGTCCAGGAATCCTCGCAGGAATACCACCTCAACAACCCTTACTGGAAGACTTTCGACCCTTACGTGATTCCTTTGTTGGAGAAGGATATGGATATGCACCGGCTGGAGGAGTTGGAGGGCTCTACCATGTAAATTACCCCGTTTGCACGGGAGGTAGAAAAGAATTTAAAATAGAACTGCCTTCCACATTGTATTTCATACTATTATCGTTCATTTCAAGATCACCGGGTTGAAAAACTAGAATATCCCTCACAGGCTCATCACCACTGCTAAGCACTCGGACGGCATATTGGATACGACATTCAATTCCGTACCATATATCAACCTCAGGTAAGCGCTTCTCCAGAGTTTAATCAATTATGTGAGCCGTTAATGTCATTTATTTATCGTATTTATCCATTAAAAAAAGGGTCCGGAGCCGAGAGACTATGCAGATAGGATCAACACAGGGTCAAACGAGCTTACTCTCCGACTTCTTCACTACAAAAATAACCAGCCAATATAATCTCCGGATTATGATAAATATAGATTCTCCATCTAAACACCAATCATCAAACCGCATTGAAGCGCCGCTACTGCAGATGGATGTGCCCATCCCAGGATGGGGGCCAATCACACCCTCAAGCGGTTAAGCGCCCACCGTATAAGCAGGGTTGTCACACATTTCAACAAGCCATGTACTTTGCTTGGTTGAGCATATGAAGTATATTCCGTCAGAATGGGTTATATCTCAGTCGAGACCCCCTGCTTTCGCGCTGTCTTTGTAGCATACTACATTTGTCAAAATGAATCAATTTCAATTATTTCCACCTCCATCGCCCGAGGTAAAGAGGTCTAATAATCCATTTCGCAAACCCGGGAAAAAGCCAGTAGCCTCTGAACCAGCCTCTTCGATTCCTCTAGAGGAGATCAAGGATACTGGCAAAACGGAATCCTTGCTCCTTCAGATTATCGAAGATACTCAAAGCTTTCCACCCCCACCAACAGATGCTTCAAGATCCAAATCCCCACTGTCTGGGGGAGTATCTCGTGATGAGTCAAAATCACCTCAGTCCATGCACAGTCAGAACCGTCAAACCAAGAGAGTGAACCATCAGGCCCAGCCTTCACATGGTAGTCAATACAGCAGCAGTAGCAGCCATTACACCACGGCCACAACTGCCTCCCCGCAGTCATCACAATCATCTGCGTCCTCGGTCCCGATGAGATCGATGTTCCCTCAGTTCGATCCAAAGCTGCCTTTCAATCAGCAGGTATATCATCCACAGCTTCCCGAACCCCCGCGGCCCGTCAAGTCTTCTCGGAAACCTCCTAAGCTCACGCTCTCGACCAATACTGAGATTGATCATGTTCTCGGGCCAAAGACCGTGCCTGCGAGTGTGCTGAACTTCCCAACTGGTGCTTTGGAGTCCGAGGAGGTCAGATACTCATCCATGGAGGAACTGAAGATGTTATGGGAGACAGCCAATGGCCAGCGAACGCGAGATCTTGTTGGAACATTGAACCTACGCATGACAAAGTAAGACTTCACATCTCCCACGTATGTACAAATACTAACATCTTATAGAACAGGACCAGCTACATTTACCCTCGGAAACTCCCAGAACCCATTCTACACACTTCAAACATACTCAACCAACGAACTGGCCCTAAGCAGATGCGATCCATCCAGGCCAAACCACGACGTCCCAATCATGATGATGAGCCTCGAAGACCGCATACGCCGCGAACATCCCAACGACGGACTCGTGACCCTACTCTTCTCCCGACTAGCAGCCATGCTAGCCATCGACCAAGCCGAAGAGATCGGCAAGCAACACCACCTCACCCCCGCCGAGGCAGCAGAAGTAGAAACCGACGCACTCAAACGGGCCGCAGCACAAGAATCCTGCCGACTCTCCTGGAACCGCCACCAACGACTATACGAACTACGACACCCCTATCTCTCAAGACACAATCCTCCCGCCCTCGTCGGCGCCGCCGGAATTCCACTCTCACCTGTGCGTTCCGAGTCTTCAGGAATGGTACACATCACAGTCTCCAAACCATCAAGCGACGCCTCTCCTCGCCAGCCGCCAACAATCATCGTAACCGGCCCGGTTTCTTCAACGGCGATGGAAGCCGCTCAGCAAGCTGCTAATCTACGCACTTCCGTACTCCCTGTCACGGACTTTGACGAACCTCTGGCGTCCTTGGACTTCGCTACAAAGACATTTTCGATTTCGCCTGCTGCTGTTATCGCTACGATTCCCTCTCTATACGCTATCGACTCTCTCATCGCTGCAATGCTGGCAGTCGCCGTCTCAGATGAAGCTACGAATCCTATCCTTGCAGATATGGTTCTTGGCTCGCCAAAGTCGTCTAGACCACCGACATCTCACAACCCCGGGCCTTACTCAATGCCAGTGTTCCAGGGTAAACTGGTTACGACGGTTGCTGAGCGCGAAGACGCAGAAGAGAGTATGGACTTAGCATCGCAGATTAAATCTGCGCAGAAGAAGTCGAAGGAGGCCTCGGGGCAGAAAAGCGTTTTCAAATTCTGGAATAGGTCTTCTTCCAAGCAGGAGAATAGTCGGGACTCGAAGAAGAGTAAAAATCGGCAGGTTGTGGTTGAGGAGTTTGATTTGGAGAAGTATGGGCGGTATGGGAATAGTTCGTCACGAGAAGGGGAGAAGTTGCCTGGAGTTACTCGAACTATCTTGCGTGTACTGTTCTTTGGCTTGGACTTGATTGTGAAGGGACTCACGCTCATTGTGAAGATCCTGGCTTGGTTGTTGGTGAAGTCGACACGGTGTGTGACCAGTGAGAAGTTCTGAGTTTGGCTTAGATCTTCAAATTCTGTATGTCTGTTGATGACTTCTGCCTTTTCATTTCTATTGGATGTTTTTGGAGCGATCGAGTTAGTTATGGATCTTTAGTTATACCCAATTTGACAGTTCTTCGCAGCAATAATACTTGAGTGGTATGCAAATGAGTTCCTTGATTCCACCATCACATGTAAAGCTATTTGCTTTGAATGTGAGAATGTTGAAGTCGAGGATGGGGACGTTTAAGAGGATAAGACAAAGGGGGAGGCCCATGACCTGACAAGAGAGCAAAGAGATGAGGTTGCTTGGAGTATTCTCTACAACCGGAAGGTGGATACTCTTAAGGAAGACTGATAAATAGACATGGGGGTAGATGATCTCTAAGGTGTCTCATCCAACTTTCTTCTCCAAATACCCGGACAAGCCGAATAAGTGATGTAGAAGGATTCGCATCAACCGGGGGTAGTATAAGCCCAGTGACACAGTGGGACTGGCATGTGCAAGCACAGAGGCCTATCGCGAGATCCAAATATTGTGATTCCACTCCAAACCCCGTTGCACTGATTTGAGATACTACATCCTTGAGAGTGGCTGGGCAGAAAAGAGGAAGAAGAGAGTTGGGGCTCTATAACTGTTTATATACCCTTATGGCAGTAAAGCGGCATCCGTTAACAATTGCGGCGGCGTCGTCTTGTACCGAAAACGGCAAGGCGGCCATCCGTAAGGCGACGTCCCTGGGGCTGTAAAGCAGACGTCCGTAGCGTAAGGCAGTACTCCCTATGTGCGAAATGGGCAACTGCGTCCACGAGGCGTTTCCCCTACATCGCAATGCGAGGTTGGAGCTGGCCAATATTTCTATTAAACCATGTGGCTCTCCATATGATGCAGCTCATTAACTGCTAGCCACGTCAAATCAATGTCTCGCCAGGCAACCCAGCTATGTATACCTTCGATAACGTCCTCTACGGCGCAAATACCACCTTTGATCAGCAGGCTAACGTAGTCACCGCTATAACCAACGTCGTGTACAACGCAATCGGCGACTCTCTTATGCAATATAACAGCCATTTTAACCACTAGGTTTGCAATTCGTGGGAGGTGTCAAACTTCATAGCGTAGCACCTACTTTCTTCAAAAATCCAGCTATACTATCTCAAATTTCACCATGTCGGCGTCCTTGCCTCATGGGGCCCTAAGACGCATCTGGCTCTTTTGCCCAGCCTTGTAGGGAAGTGAGAGGGGAGTGGTCCATAAGAACTTCGTTATTCAGCCCCATTTCCAGTATATAGGTACATACATCCATAGATATATAGTCAGTACTACTACATACGGGCGATTATGTACTGCCTAAGCCACCACCCAGAGATTATTCCACAGTCTCAAGATAAGTGATGGTCTACCCTCCGGAGGATGAAAGTAGGGCTGCCTCCAGAGGTACTATTGGACAGGCTTCTATTCAGATACGTTGAACCACGAGCTATTGGAAAACCTTGGAAGACATGACAAGGCCGCATAAGCGGCAGCAAATTATTGTAATAATACAAAGAAAAAGTAATAAAGAAGAAAAAGTACATGGACATCAGATTCGAAACTACTCGTCTTGTTAGCCCGGGGGAAGCGAGCTGACTTAAACATTGTTCTCATCTCATAGGACACAGGGATATCAGCGTTTAGCCCAAGGGGCGCCGCAAACTCAAAGTTGAGAAGAGTCACGGCCCTACTCTCTCTTACATATAACACATTATGCATGCCGGGGTCATCAAGACGGATAGAGACTACTCGAAGCGCGTGAATGGCCTTTCAGCATTCTTTTTCGACGTGGGCTCGCTCAGCTGCATTCAGGATATGCCAGATATCGCAGAGTCCTTCCAATCATCATTCCATTTCATCTAAAATGTCAGGCAACTCTTCTCCCCTGATTATCTTTTCATTCATTCAGATGATTCATCAATGAACCCAGGTATGCACTTTGATGATGTGGCCTGGGAAAAAAACACGGATATCTATGATGACTGGCCATGCAATCTCTATGCTCAGGACGCCTGCAATGAGATTCGAATCTTTCTTTCCGAGCACTATCGGCCTCGTAAGCATCAAGAGTTCCGCCCCTTCAAGACAGGCTGTTTCAATCCGAGCCCCCTGAAGACATTCACCAATAATGGCGGTGCCATTATCCGGTTCCCCTTGCCTGGTGCTATCATGTTCCCGAAGAAAAGGTCCGTAACGAGGTCTCCGCCATGCGATTTATTTTGGACAAAACCAAAACTTCAGATAAATTCCCAATCCCAGTGCCTTTCCTCTCTCCCTGGGGACGGAGAAAAGAGAGTCCCTCAAAGTCGGCTCCTTTCATCATTATAGACTATATCGATCACATGGGAAATATGAGAGACCTCCTTGAGATCCCAATAAGCCGCCAAAAAGGCGAGCACCTAATACTCGATCCCGATATCAGCATTATCAGGCTGGAATCTCTCCATGGAAAACTAGCCAACATCGTCCTTTCCTTGTCCACACTTGTTTTGAGCCGGAGGGTCCCCTAACCTTGACTCTGGCCTTGACCAGAATGATGACTCTACGTGGAAAGTGTTACATCGGCCGTTGTCCTATTCGATGAACGAAATTGTTCAACTCGGGACGTTACCACGGTCGAAACTACCGACCACCACGTATAATAAAGCGTCGTCATACTTTGAAACCCTAGCGGAGCTACATATCTCACATCTTATAAGTCAAAGGAATGATTCTGTTAAATCGGAGGATGACTGCCGACGCAAATTTATGCGGAGGTTTCTCTTCCGAAAACTTGTCCGAGACAAGAAGTTAAGAAACAAATGAATATTCTACGAGACCGGCCCTTTCCCACTTTGGTGTGACGACTTTCGACCACAGAACTTCTTGGTTAATAAAGCTGAAAGTATCACCGGGGCTGTGGATTGGGAGTTCACATATACCGCCCCCGTCGAATTTACTCATTCGTTGCCTTAGTGGCTTCTTCTCGAAAAGCCGGAGTATTAGCCTAAAGGCCTTGATGACTGGTGTACGGAGTATGGGAAATGACTACAGACCTTTCTTCAGGCGATGATCAATTGCGAAGAGGAGGCAATCCGGACGGGCTGACTGACTGAGAGTCAGAGGCTTTCTGTTTCAATGCGAGAGAGTTGGGAGACCGGAGACTTTTGGATTATGTACGCTGCAAGGAATAGTTTCGCTTTCGATGCGATATATTGGAAGAATATTGACCAGCGATTCTTCGGACTGACTTGCCTTGATTCCACCCATTCCTGGAAGGAGAGACTTGATATCTTGCAACCTGAAGAAAGGCAGAAGCTGGATGACTATGTGGATCTAAAGCTTCATCAGATGAAAACAAGGGTGCTTGCTTGGGACCCGGATGACTACACCCTAGAATACATGGCGAAAATAGATGGAATGGATGCTTGATCGCTCTATGAGCTATATAAGGTGCCTCTGGTTTGTGGATTATTCTCGCGCTTTTGTTCATACTGTATCAAAATGTAACACAAATTCACCCTCTCCGGTAGGCCTCTCAAAGCCAGCAATATAACTCTCCAGAATCTCATTTGTCACAAAAAAGGCCGAGTCGCCATCTTTGACGGACAACTGATTCCTTGCCCTGACCCGCCGCCGCAACTCATCAACACCGACGTCAAGATATGCAAGCACCCATCGCCCCCCAGACTCTTCGATCAGGCTCTTCCATTCACCTCTAGTCTGCTGGAACGCGAAAGAGAAATCTAGGATTGCATCCTGAGAGCCTTGGCGAAGCAGCTGCACTAAATCATTTCGGAGAGCGCTCTCGGCCTCATCTTGATATTCGTTGTATTTATCTTTTGGATAATCAACACCATACAGCCCGTATTTAGTATATATGTAGGAGTCGATTGAGAACCGCTTGAAAGAGGGATGATTGGATAATATCCATTTAGAAAGTGATGACTTTCCAGAACCTGTGATAACATCCTTAGTAACTACCCAAAGCTTGCCGCAAGATCTTGATTTACTTACCAGCCAATCCACAAGTCATAATAACAACAGGTCGAGGATCACTATCTGTCCGGCATAGAAAAGCGCTGAGCGCTTCGGGCGTCTCGAAGCTGAGCATAGATCCTGCCATTTTCCAAGCTGGAAGACTACTTACACACTAGCCTTCTCGTCCTCGATAATGAGACCTCAAATATGTAATGAGGCGGGTTTCTTTAGCAAGCTTGGTGAGAAGGAGGAGTTTGTTGGTATCCCAGGTTGAGCCTCGCTTAACTCACGACTTCGTGTGTATGACTCATTCCATAATTCGAGGCCGATATGCCTCTCGAACCCATATACCGTTATACCCCACGCTACTCATCAAGGTTGGGCTCCACAATTTTACCTATATAAACAGGAATATCAAGTTTGACATCGTTCTTGATTGATTGATACATCTTTCGCTGTGAGGCATCGCCGAATCATCCAGAATGGCGTTTCGATACGGGACAATGATATATACCAGCTAGTCTATGCTCAGAAATACAGTGGCCCAGTATCTACAACGAGTCTATCCAAGATTTGGTCTTACCGACGAGGCTGATTGAATAGGAATGGGTTGCGTCTCATAATCCAATGCTACTAATATTTTCTCGGCCAACCTGATAGTCCACGAAGAAAGAACCCATGTGTATTTACATTGACAGGAGCAAACGGACTGAGAAAGGAAGAGGGCATAGAGTATATATCTAGCTACGTAAGATCCTGAGCCAATGGGGACCTGAAATAACCCCGTATAGCATAACACTTACATGAGAGTCCCACCATCACACATAGACCACAAAGGTGTTTTCAGCGCCGCATGATCTTCAATTCATCCTCCTTTTCTCTAACATATCTCTCTACTACCGTGATACCTTTCTGTTGAACCTCACCTGCTGAACTCTTTGTGACCTCCCCTGATATCAGGTCAACTTCACTAGCTCGACAACCTGCGATTTCAAGCTCGCTTGCGCAAGTGGTTCCCCCGTTCAAAAGCTTCTATCACTTCAACCTTTCGCATTTCATCATGGCGCCCTCGAAACAGCCCAGTGAGTCTAGTGACGCCAGTGAGCCCATTACCCCCACGGTCTCCCGACCCTCGACTCCATCAAAGCAAGCATCCATTATTTGGGAACTCGGAAATGCTCCTATCGCTCCGGGATTCTATAAATCCGATCAAGACGAGCAACTCGACGTCAAGCCTTTGCCTCAAATCCAAATTACAGACCCTGATCTCAACACCACCCGTCTCTTCAGCCCATTCTTACCAAAGTTATTTCAACGGCGCCCCCATCTGAAATTTCCAGCACCTTCAAAGCCCCGGGAACTCCTGCCAGCATTCTCACCGGAAAGAAAGCGCTCAACAACTCAGCTATCCAGTTCGTCTCCCGATAGCACATCATCAGACAACGCCGAGGATACATGCGAGGATATGTGGAGAGAGCTTCAGAGGAAAATCTTGGGTGCATCTGATTTCGACTCGGAGAAGGAGGCGATTGACAAGGAACTCGCATGTCGAGAGAGGAATAGAGAAGGACGTTGAGAAAGCAAAAGGAGCGCTGGTGTTGTTAGATTAAATGACCTATCAGTATGGCTTTAGGATTTCGCTGGAAAGAATTTAAGATGATTATGATGGAAACCGCCGCTGCGTAGCGAGTAACTACTGTAGTGCTATCGCGGGCTACCAGGCCAAAATATAAGATTCAAATGACCATTCTAGCAATTTGTTGTCCAGCTAGCTATTGAATAGTGGACTTTGCTTTTTCGAATTGTATCCTCTTTCAATGCCGTTGGTTATAGGCTGTATCTATCCAGAACTAGGTACACCAGTGATGGAATACCGAGAGTGCGTTCGTACAAGTACTAAAAAAGAAATAGAAAGAATATAAATCCTAGATAACCCGATTGAATACTTTAAAGTGGCCGAACATCGACTCATTATATATCACATGCAAATAACGTCATAGCCCTAACCAACATCAATTGAGATTAAAAGGAGAATCGGACACCCCTCCAATTGAACGGTAAATTCCCATCTTATCCAAAGAAAATACCCGGAACCGAAAAATGAGACTGTCCCTTAATCTTCCAACCCAACATTCCTCGGAATATAAAGGACCGAGGGAGAAGGCAGGAGGGACAAGGCAACTGGCACATTCTTCCATCATTCCAGTATAATTAACAGAAGATCAAGCCCAGATGTGGCTGGTACAGTCCGATCAAAAATGCCTGAAGCTTATCTCTTAGGACAAGCACTATCCTAAATCGAGAATTAGTCACTGTCAGATTCCTGGACGTCGTTAACGCCCCCGTTAAGGAGTGAAGGGATGTCATTCATAGCAAATGCTTACTCTGAAAATATCTGATACGGTAATCCGATTGTAGATAAAGCACTGCGTGTTCCCCAACTCGGCCGCTGTCCTTCCATAGACTCTTTCTATTATATACTAGAAATCCCATTCTAGCACCACTCATCCAAGCTCCCAAATACCAAAACGACACCCAAAATGCGTCCCTTCATCATCGCCCCAATCCTCATGGCCAGCGCCATAGCCCAATCAACCACAGACTACCTCGCCTGCGCCGTAAGCTCCCACCCATTCTTAATCCACCCCCAGCTAAACCAAACCATATAACCCAACACTAACACCCCCCAGAACGCCGCCATAACCAGCATCACGAAATCAACCTTGACTTCCTGCACCTCTAAAAGCTCGCAAGAATGCATCTGTGCCAACAAATCCGCCCTAAAAGACATATCAACCTCCTCCGCCCCAGCCTGTCTCGGATTAGACATCTCAACCCTGATATCAACCCTCTGCCCCGACGAAACCAAATCCACCGAAACAAAAGCCACAGAAACGAAAGCCACAGAAACAAGAGCTGCTTTCCGACATGCAGGCAGACCAATGCAACCCGTCAAACGCGCAGACGGAGCAAAACTCACCATCTACGTAACAGAAACTCGCTCGGATTGCGGTTGCACGAGTACGGCTGTTGGGGGTCATGTGCACGGCTCCGCTACGCCTGTTGCTGGGAGCATGCATATCTCGCAGATTCCTGTTCATGTCCCGACGGGTAGTATGGGTGGTGTGGCTGCGGCGTCGTCGACGCCTGTGAGGGATCACGGGTTGATGGGTGGTACGGCTTCGTCGTCTGTGGAACAGGTTGGGGCTACGCCTTCGGGTAGGCCTTCGGGAGTTGATGCGAAGAGTTTTTCGCCTTATACAGGGGCTGCGGTGGGGGTTTCGGTGAATGGGGTTGTGGTTCTTGGTGTTGCGGCTGTTATGGGTGTTATGGTTGCTCTGTAGGTTGAGGGGATTTGTTTGAATGGTTGAGGGATTCTTCTTTTACTTGGATTTGGGAATTTGGAATGTGTTCTGTATGATGATATTTTAGATTTGAACTTGAGTAATGATACATGAAAGATTTCTGTTACTATTTATTGATCGTGCATTATCTTCAATTAATTACCGTGCACCAAGTGGTGCTGAACATTCATAAACATGGCGGGAAACGCGGACATAGATTCCGCCTACAGACATGGAGATCAAACCATTGGAGTAGAAGACCCTTGTAACACTGGCTGCAAGGCTCAAGCATGAACTGCCTGCTGAACCTTAGGGTAAAGCTGCACCAGCTTGTAGTAGAGATCAGGGTGATCATTGATCATGACCTGAGGATCCCAAGCCATAGCCACAAAGATAGTCTCAACACCACTACCAATGGGAGTCATGAAGACCTGACAGACCTGCAGACCAATCAAGAAAGCAAAAGCCATGATAACCGCGGTGAAGTTACCATCTCTGTTGTACTCTGGGTTTGTGAACTGCAGATAGAGATAAGACAGCAGGGCACAGACATAAGCGACAAAAGTCGAGCCCATAGTCAACACCGGGCCGATTAGGCAGTCTTGCACGAGAGCGTCGATTCCCCGGTCGCGCATCATACTCCATGTATCCTTGGCAGCAGGGATGTAAGCCTTTCCGTACAACGCGATGTGACAGAAGGCATAGCGGTTGAAAAGAGTAACGAGCCAGTCCAGCAGCGCGATGAAACATCCCAGAATCCAAACGGCAATACTGCCGACTATGTTACCCTCCGCAGCCTCGTGTCGCTGTGCGATGGAACAAGCCTGTCGCAACATGTTGACGAACGCGATGATCAGACTTCCCAGACTAATACTGCCAAAGGAGTATGTAGTCGCACGACGGAATGCACCTCTGGTCGAGCCCTTGGGCATGCCACCGGCGGACTTGCTCCAGAAATACCATGAGCCGTAAACGCCGGCGACGGTGGTGTGGACTGTGTTCTTGATCCACTCGCTGACCCAGTACATGGCGAAGGTGACGTAAACGACGAGGCCGATGACCTTGGCTCTACTGCAGCCGCCGTTCGCGCAGGCGGGGTTAACGCCGCCCGACGAATCGGGCTCGTAGGCGACGTAGATGGAAACCAGAGTGACGGAGAACCAGGCAGCGAAAGCGACAGTGACGATTCCGCCCACCGCGCTGACTAGGAAGATGTGTCCGTAGCCGCGGGCTACGTCCATGGCGGTCTGGAGCATAAAGGCTGTGAAGGGGATACGGGGGATCCAGCTGATGAAACAGACGATTGCGAAGACGCCGAAGACTAGGAATGCGATACCGCCTCCGTATTGCTTGCGCGCGATGTAGTAGATGCCGGTTGCGAGGGCGAAAACGATGTTGAGGATGCCGGTTGCCCAGATGAAGGTCTTGGTGAAGTATCTTGCGCCCATGAAATAGAGCCAGGATAGGACTAGGGCGACGACGAGAACGAAGATGAATAGGACGAGGGTGTTGGTGTCCAGAGAGAAATCATTGGCCGAGTCGTAGATGCCTCCTCCATTGAAGCCTTTGTTGGTGGCATACTTGTGGATGGTCAGTCCCGACACAGCGGCATACCCGAGAAAGACGGCGATTAACTGTGTAACAGTTAGCTCTGAAGGAGGTTGTCAATGCGATAGTCACACTTACCAAGAGACCTGCCCACAAATCATTCCACTTGGGCTTTTCGATCTTGAACGCCTGGTCAAAGGTGTATCCAGACTCCGGGACATTTTGCTGGTACTGTGGCGGTGGTTTGGCTTCAGGTCCCGGTTGCTGATAGGTTGGTTGTTGGTAATTCGGCTGGGGGTATGGGGCCGGCTGAACATTTGGCTGTTGGTAGTTCGCATTGCGTTGGTCATAGCCGTAAGGCTGAGGTTGACCCTGAGGTAGGCCCTCGTTATAATAACTGGCAGCTTGTCCACTCATATCTGTGAAGCTCAAAGAAGGGGAAAAGGTCAAAAGAAAAAAAGGGGAAAGGGATACACTCAAGACTGGTGACGACACGAACCAAAGAAAAAAGCGGAAATCTCGATCGCCAATGAACAGGGTCCGCTCTCGGGGTCCATCCCTATAGGGATCGTCGATCTAATACGCTAAACAGATCATTGAAAAAACACTAAAAATTCACTAAAAACACTAGTAAATCCAAAAAGTTCAATTCATCTCGTAATCTTTAGCTCGATTCTAGCCCTATTACCTATATTAACTTGAAGAATTCCACTATATATGGATTGCCGAACATTCAGCCTATGAAGAAAGGATATATGCGAAGATATAGCTAAAATCCAGGTAAAAATGTACCCTGGAACCTCAGAAATTGGGGGTCCGAATATTTCACATGGCAAAAATCTTCGGCAATTGAATACACATTCCATTAAATTTGCACAATATACTCCGTACAGTCTCTTATTATGATATCCATGAGTAAAGGACCGAGTATGCGGCCTTGTGATTTCTTTTTAGTAGTCTTTTAGTAGTCTTAGATAACTATTCTGTTTACAACATAGATGTCTTTTAAGATATTTTTTCCCCAGTGTTTGAATGGGACCGTCTTCGGACTGTCTTTGTGTTTGTTTGTCAGACTGAGTGCTTGTTTGTCATTTCTATCTGGGTATAAATACCCTGCTTCTCATAGATTGAATTCCAGACTCTTTGCACTGTACATCTCTCTCCCTCAGCACTTCAACACCCAGATACCCCCAGGTAGACAGCAGAAAAACCGGAAAAAAAACCATACTTTGTGTAAGAGCCTTTTCTATGTAGAACCTTTGATTTATGATCCTAACTCCTTAATTAGGCCATGGGCCGCTATACACCTTCGCACGTGCATGGCTTGAGCCAAGAGGAGGCGAACAACCTACTACCTCAGAGGGTTGAAGGCAAGGTGAATCCTCGGAGCCCTACATTACAATGTCTGATTGACAGCTGTGCCACGGAGTTCGGATATGTCGGCAATGCACGCACACATCTGCAAACGCAACATGGACTCAATAAAGAGGAGGTTAAAGCTCTGCTCCCTGACAAGGTCAGGCAGAAGTCAGATCCTAGTACCATTGAGCAACCTAAATGTCCTCTACCAGAATGCCAGAGGTCACTGAACTCTTGGTATGAGGTTCGGCGTCACCTACAGACCGTTCACGATAAATCAAAATTTGAATCGGAAGAACTGGTGCCTCTCCCTGTTGTCCAACGACCACCCGAGAGCCTCATATTCTTGGCTTCGTGGAAGTTAACATGAGTATCGATCCTGACGACTACTTCAGGTGAGATTCTCGCAATAGTCACACCATGGTTGAAGAGTAGGTTGCTTCGATTTTGATAGAACTCATTGACGGTTTCGGGGGGTACCACGGTAAATCCGGGTGTGTAGTGCACGTTCAACTGAGGCTTTGGAGTGGCCCGGTGATTGAGGAGCAAGTGACATCGTAGTGGAGGCAATATTCTTGGGTTAACGTAAAGGATTAATTGAAGGCGAAGAACAGCAAGGAAATGTGAAATCATAGAAGCCGAGAACGTAACAAGCAAAAGGAGCTCGACGAATCATTTGCCTTGTGTTTTGTCATACTACAGCCCTACAGGGATCCAAGAGAATTGCCAAGTCGGTTGCCTGCTTGGCAAACATACGTAGATGTGTATGTAATTTCTATGTACAAATGCAAAATGCCATAAATGCTTCCCCCTTTCCTTTGGAATCCAAGACGCCTATAATGCAGGCAAAGTGCCTCGCTAAACCCCGTCAAATTATGATTACAGACATTAAGGAGATGACACGGACAGCCGTCTGAAAAAGACGCCCAACATACATGGACGCCGGGGTGATCATTCGCTTAACGAAATGCATGTTGTTTCAAGTGACGCCAGGAACCAACGACCCGATGCTCAAGGCCCGGTATCGGTGTGCGGGATCGACCGGTGAAATCATCCGTCCCTGAATGAAGCTGACCTTTACTAAAGGCTACTGATCGTCGCAACTTCTCTTCGCGGACGGCCTTCCGGCGTTGAGCTCGGAGCTCTTCGATACGACCTTGTCCGACGCGGTGTCGACGTACGAAACATTCATCCATCAACGTGTTGGCATCCAGCAGCTTTTTAGGGACGGTTTGGACGATCTGGAATGCTTCCATGGGGTCTGTCACGCCGAGGATGTCCTTTTCGCATGATTTGAAGATGGCCAAAGACACACGGAAGAAAGTCTTGGAGCCTTCATAGAAGAAAACATCCCAAACTCGGAGGGTGGTTTCTAGAGGTAAACTTCCGATGAAAACTGACATCAGCCAGTTGGTCAGGCCGAGGGTGATGTCTGGCAGCCTAGAGTTCACTGTCAAGGGAGGCATTTTGCCCCGTCCGGACGGGGTTCCTCCCATGGCAGCGATCTTGGAATATATGGCCGGCATGGAGTCTCTGAGCAGGACCATGAGAATCCAGAGGTCAATGTTGGCACCCTCCAGACTGATCTCATGGGTTCCAGGCAAGTAGTCTGCGGCGATGATATGCAGCATCCAGAATGCTTTTTCCTCGGGAAGGAAAAGAAGGAGCATCCCCGTGATGAAATTCAGAGACTGGGTATATCCGACTTTCGGGTTATGCAGCGCATAAGCATACAGAACCCGACGGAGGGACTGAATCATCTGCGTCTCCGTAGTAACATTAGAATAATTCGCATTGCTGCTCCCGGAGTGTTCTGCTTGCTCGGCGGTAGGCTCCGGTTTGAAATGAAGGTTGTCAGGAAATGTGCGGTGGAGATCACGCTCAATGTGCTCCTTGTCGTCGTTACTTGGTGAGCTCATGGCCCTCGCAACAAGGTCGTCATACTGGCCAATGTTCCGGTTCAAAAGCTCGTACCCGCCGGCATAATAGAACCAAGCTGCACCTCGGAACTCGGGAGGAATTCCTTTGCGAACAAATCGCTTGACCTTCGAAGACTGTGGCGGGAATGTAGTAGGCTCTGATGTAGGCAGCCCATTTTCCTTGAGCAATTCACACCATTTGGCTCTCCGTTGCGTCACATGGGGGGAGTAGGATCCTTTCCAGGTCTCGTATTCATCTAGGGTTACATATTGGGTAGCTTTGCGAAATCCGTAATCGTCTCGAGGGCCGTTTCCAGAGCGGAGCTGCGGCGGCACTAATCCAGGAATAAACACTTTTTTCGAGGGCTGTCGTTGATGTAAAGGAGGCACTTCGGGCATCTCCGGCGATGCGGAGGGGGTGAGATCAGGCGGAGAGTCTGGCATAACAGGGTCCGACGGGTCGGTTTCTTGTGGATATTCTGGCACTGCGGGTTCCAAAGGTGTGAAGTCTGGTGGGGATTCCGAGAGTGTGGGTGGTATAGATGTGGGTGCGGAATAGGTCAGGTTTGGCAAAAACAATGAATCTGGCCTGGTGGCTTGCGACATGGTAAATTCTGGCATCGGGGGTATCGGAGGAACGTCGCTCAGCGACGGATCTAGTGGGTGTACTTCATCTAGGTGTGAATCGCGTGATGGTGGGGGCGTTACTGATGGCGCTTTACTTCCTGCGTAGGATTTCGGCGAGCCAGGCTCTTCAGTCACGTCACTGAAGCCATCAAGATACATGGAAATAGCGTCTTCGACACTCATCCCATTGTCCATCCCGTAAGGCGCGTCGGGGGTATCTGGTGAAAGGTCGGTGATCGAGCTGCTCTTGGTCAGGACGCTGCTGCGCTCTGTTCCGCTCGCTTGTTCAATACTCGAGCGCCAGGTTTCAGACGAATTGATGCTTGGTCGGGGAGGATTCTCATCGGCGGGCCCATTTGTTGGGTAGCGTGACAATGGCAGTCCCTGGGGGCTCAATTCCTGTGGGCGGCGCTCCATAGATTCCTGCGTCCTTGGACGCCTATTGTGCAACCTGGATGTTGACATGGATATACGGAGCCCCCTCGCGTAGGCGCAGCCTTCCGATGCATCGGCCGTTCGAAGTCGTCTCGCGCGGGCCAGTTTGGGGGATGTGTTTCAGGTGGTGTGGCGTATATTTGAGGGCGACCGGTAGGTCTAGGGGTTTTCCATTCGCCCCCCATACCCTGCGAGGAGCCATGGTGAGGCGGAGTAGGTGGCCACGGGTTTTCATGAGGGTGAGTCCGCGGCAGAGGTGAACGCGATCTCTGGCGAAGCGGAGAGCGGGGAGAGCGAGGTGAAGATCTCGGAGCGGAATTTGCGGTACGGGCGCGTGGATCGGTCAAAGACTCCAATCGCGGTGGGTGGGGAACTCTGCGCCGGCCAGGGAGGTCGAAATCAGCCGAGGGAGGCGGATATCGAGTTACGTTTTCTGTGACCATGGCCACGATGTCGCACCCAGTTCCCGCTGGACATTTGTTATCGAAGTATCAATCGATAACCGTAAGAAGAATTCGGGCTCGGCAAAGGGGGTATCAACAAATGGAAGCCCCGAAGGGTTAGAGAATGAATGAATTTGGAAAAAACGAAGGACAAGAGGTAAGAGACCAAATTTGAAAGACCTGCCAGAGGACTGTGGAAAAAGAAAAGAGAGAAAAGACGCAGTTGAAACAAAATCAACAAAGCCTGGATCGGGTTTAGTGTCAGGTGACGTAATATGGACAAAGGGGCATTTCAAGTTCTCATATATTAAATCCTGAATATTCTATAAAGTGGATTAACCGTTAGGTTTTCTACTATATAATTCTTGTTATCTGTAACATCCGCATTGTTCTCTTTGTATAAGAATGGATAGGTCGAAATGTCATGTATCGGGAACTCTGCACTTATATAGTCACATATTATATGCATATTTTACGCCCTTTTCACTATATTCTATATCATACAGATAATTCTTCATATCCTGCTTGTTACAGTACTAATAATGGGGGAAAATATCTATATAAAAAAAAGACATCCACGAAGAATATCTTCAAGACTAGCAAAAAGACACATGACATGGCCCCATATACGTTCGACTATTCTTGTTCTATTTCACTACATAACCCCTGAATTCTAGACCAATCGAATATCTCAAATTAATATTCAGCTTCCACTTTTTTTAGGAAACTCCCAATTCATCGGAGTCCGCATGGTCGTGGAATGTGGTTAGCCCGCTCGAACCCTTCCGTCTTCGGATAGCGGATATCAACTGTCAACTATTCCAATACGATCTCACATTGACGCTTTCGTATTTCGTATTCATTTCGAGGGTTTCTCAAAATGTAAACCCCCGGAACAAGGCATGATTGACCAGCGGGATGTATGTATATGTGCCAGGGGAGCTGCAGCAGCTGCATTATACTATTGACCAGTACCACAAGCAATGAACCCGTTTGCCCAATATGACTGTCGACCCGGCGACCAAGCAACCTGCAGCCCACATCCGCCCCAGTAGCTGGGCAGATGTAAGTATTATTTCCAATCCCCCGCATACTAAGAAACTGTCACTCACTAGCGTCGTTTAGGGTCTACGAGGCATTGCCGCTCTTTTTGTAGTCGCTAGCCATACCTGTCTATCCTTTGCGACATATCTGATCCCGCCGTCTTTCGCGGAAACTGGAAAGTCTATTTTGTTTCAGCGACCATTTTTTAGACTCGTCATTCAGGGCCAGGCCTGGGTAGCTATCTTCTTGGTGTTACTTGGGTTCGTCAACGCCCTAAAGCCACTCCAGCTAGCCCGACGAGGAGCTACGGCCGATGCTCTCGCTACGCTATCGACAGGCGCCTTCCGGCGAAAGTGGAGACTAGTCTTCCCCGCTGCCCTGATGACAATTTTAGCTTGGCTTGCATGTCAGTTTGGTGTCTTCCAATTGGGTAGAAGGGTAGATGCATACTGGCTGAGAGCGACGAGTCCCCAACGAAGCTCGTCTTTGAGTGCTGCTGTCGTTGATCTACTACGAGAGTTGTTGGGAACTTGGATGTACGGAGAAAATGCCTACGACCAACCGCAATGGGCACTACTACCCCTTTTCCGTGGCTCCCTATATGTGTTCATGACCCTACTGGCTTTGGTAAATACCACGCCAGTTTTTCGCCTCTTTGCGCAAATGGTCCTATACAGCTATAGTTACGCAACGCTAGATGGTAAGCTTGGGATAATATTGTAATACTAAATACAACGCTAATAATCTCTTACAGGTACTGTTGGTACAAACATTTTCGCTGGCATGATATTAGCAGAACTATCATTCTACAACCTGACAGCCCTCCAGCCACGCACACTCTTCAGAATTATACCATACGGCCTCGTCGCTCTGGGCCTCTACATCTGCTCGTATCCCGATCAATACGCCGACCAAACCGCATGGTCTTCCCAGCTTGCATCGCTTGCCGAAATCATCTTCCCAAAAGACGCCAATGTAAGCCGCTACTACGCCAGTCTTGGGGCGCAGATGATATGTCTTGGAGTGATGCTTTCCCCCTTCATGCGACGGATGCTCTCCCACCCCGTGCTGCTGTGGCTGGGATCGATCAGCTTCCCGTTATATCTCGTCCACGGACCACTAATGCGATCTGTTTTGGTTTATCTTGTCTATCTGCCCATGTCATTTGATTTTGAGCCGAGTTTGAAAGCAGATGGAACGCCTGACCCAGAGTCTTATATTCCAACGCCAAACTCATTCCGACTTGGGGTTATTCTGATTATATTTTTTGCGTTCCTGCTCTATGTTGTCCAGCAGTGGACAAAGCATATAGAACCGAAGATGGGTGCACTTACGGCGGCGTTTGAAAAGTTCTCTCGTTCATGGGGTAAGAATTCGGCGTGGACTTCGAAAGAGAAGGATGAGATACTGCCTATTACGTCTGTCCGGGAGTTAAATATGTAGGTTCTTGATTGGGATGGCTATTGTGTTTTGGTGTTTAGGGGCGCTGGAATTTTGGACTTGATAGACCTATGCCATTGTGTGGGAATATAACTTTCTTGTTGTTAATTGATGTCTCTACATACACTTCGAGCAGCGAACTATGTCATGTCGCTCGCTACCTTGAACTCATTGCTATATGACAGCTTCACATCCATATGCTTCTGTCTCACAATTCCGGCATCAACAATATCGCCGCACCCGGGATGAAAGGACCTCCATGAAGAATTCGTTTTAATAGTTTTAATAGCAGAACCATAATTAGATCTAATAAACAGGATGACTGTACATTACTGCGTGTATTGTTATATGTACAAATATAGAATAGGCTAATTGAGCGGGGTATGTTAAATAAGCAATTTGCATGGCTTTAGCAGGAAAGTTGGTCGTATATAGATGCTGTTCTCACATCAAAGAGCACAAGATGTACCATGTTAGGGCTTGAATCGATTATGACTCTTGCCATAGTGCATGGGTCGGGGGCAATATGCCCTTGATTATTGGCACTAAACCCTTCAGCCGTACGGGTTTGGTGAGGAATAAATCCATACCAGACCCGATCGCGTCGCGTTGCATGTCGGCTTGCGCAACGCCAGTCAAAGCAGCAATCATGACATGGGATTTGGGTTTCAATGTTCTCTCAAACTCGCGAATTTGCCTAGTAGATTCCAGCCCGTCCATTACCGGCATGGAAATATCTGTCGAGAATATTAGATTGCCAAAGGATATTGGGGTAAATTCTTCAGAAACATACCCATAAAGATCATTCCGATAGCAGCGAAATTGGCCTTGAAAACATCGAGGGCTTCTTGTCCATTTTGCGCAATAAGATAATCGCACTTCAACTTCTTCATAAAAGCAATAAGGATTCTGAGATTGATCTCATTGTCATCCACAAGAAGAACGGTTGTTGGAAGGTTTGACACGGGATAATTCCCCTCATTGGTGGTTGTATTGTGACTCGTCGTGACTTCAGATAGAGAAATCGAGGCATCAACATCCTCTCGAAAGTCTCTCACCTCGTAAGTTCCTCTCGAGACCTGACTGGATGTTTCTGAATCTAATATCATGTTGATCGTGGGTTGTTCGCTTGGGTCTCCATTTGACGATAGGCTAAGAAGCGAGTCCATTTCAGGCTCACTGGGACAGAGATCGGCTGCAAAGCTCGTTGAGCAATCCGATACGTAATCTCTGCCCCGGAGGGAATCAAATCGCAGCTTCTGACGTTTAATACATGTTTCTAGTGTTTTTGCCAACTTGCGTGGTCCGCAGGGTTGGCTAATGAACTCGAGCACATGTGAATCCCCGCAATTTTGAGCTCGGACAGACATCGAGTGTGCAGTCCGCGGGGATGGGCATATTATGATGACAGGCGAAGAAAATCGAGCACCTGGACCTGGCGCAATGGCCCTAATCTCCATATTCCCTATATCCAGATATTCGTGAGGTGAGATGTACAAGTCACAGTGGGCGAATTGTGTTTGTGAAGACTCCACTAAAAGAACTTCCATGGAGAACCAGTCTTGACACAGCTTCTGTAGCGATGTGTATAGAGCTGTGCCTAATTCAGAAGTGCCGAGACCTAAGATTCCAATGGTTTTTGTGCGTGCGAGGAGTCTTTGCGTCATGGTGATAGGAGAGTGACTATTCAACGCGTCGAGGTTGTCCGGAGTAGACGCATGATTAAGGGTCACAGTTGTTATGAACTCAGTGCCAACCTTTTTCTCGGAGTTGACGTGAATATCGCCGCCAAGCGATACGATCATTCGTCGTGTGATGTTCAATCCAATACCATTGCCGGTTGTCGTGCTATCTTCCTGCGAGAAAGCATTGAATAGTCCATTTTTCAGAAATTCCGGGTCAATCCCAGATCCAGTGTCCTTTACAGTCACTGTGACTGTAGAGCTTCTGACCTCGCCATCTTTTCTGTATCTGGCTGGGGAGGCCTTCATAGATATGTGGATATAACCATTTTGAGTGAATTTCAAGGCATTGCCAAATATGTTTGTGAGAATGACATGCCAAGCCCCAGCCTGTGTTGAAAACTTCCAACTGTGGGTGCGATCAATATCCAAGATCACCTTGACTCCACTCCCTCTGTCGAGATCTTTGCTACCCAGGGTAGAAGCGCCAGCGACACCATGAAGAGGGGATTGTGAACCGTTGAAGAAGGAATATCCAGCGAAGACCGTTTCAACTGCGTCTTCAACAATAGCGTCAAGTTCGACACAAGTGTCGACATCAATTTTGCCGGACTGCGACGAACGGCGGACTGCGGCCACTTTCTGGTCGGCGGGAATTTCATAGATAGCGCCGCCGGGGAGTTTGGCAGCAGAGTTTGGTCGAGCATCATTGATACTAGCATACTCAAGGAGTTGATTGATAGAGCCTAACAGTGTGAATGCACAAGAAGAGATCGTATGAAGGAATCCTCGTTGTAGCGCGTCCATGACAGTGTCATTCAAGAGTTCTGCGGTTCCGAAAATGCCATGCAGAGGGGATCGAAATTCATGACTGAGTCCTGAGAGCAAGTCTGATTTTGCTCGGTCAGCGAAATGAGCACCGAGTCGGTGCACTTCCGCCATGACACTTGTTCCGAATGTCAAGAGGAATGCTAACTCATCATTTGAAGTGAAGACACGGTGACGTGCTTTTGTCCACGTCAGAGCCCCCGAATACCATCTACTTTTGTGCGAGTCCCATAACGGCGAGAAGACGATGCTTCGAGACTCTGGGGCGAGTTGAAGCAAGGTCTGGGCATCCTGGCGCAAAAGTGACTTCCGTGTTTTTTTGTACCTCTTGCCCTTAGGAGGTCGCAAAAATCGTTTGAAAACACCATCACTCGTATCATCAGAGGAGATTGTTCCATCTTCACCAAAATTGAAAATCTTCCCCCGAGGATATCGGCGTAAAAGTCCCCCAAGAAATGACTCCGACAAAGCAATTTTGTTATCCTCCGTCAACTGGTCATTCACGCTAGATGTATTCGAAGTGGCAAATCCGAGTATTTCACACGGGTTCAACGTAGCTTTGCCAGAGCTTTCAGCTTGCTCCGGATCAAAAGACTCTTGATCTTCGAATGAACATTGGGGTGAGTCTCGGAATTTGCCCTCATCGCCGGAAGAACAGCTTTCAAAACCACTGCCTTCCGTGTCAGACCTCGCATTGGTCACTAAAGCTCCCTGAGAGCCGAAATTGGCGTTGAAAAAGACGACTGCCTCAACTTCGATACTCTCGCGGATGAGATTGGCTGCACGTCCAAATGTTTCGTTTACTTTGGCAGTATAATCATCTTTGGGTGTTTGTTGGATTGACTGGTCATTTCCGATTGCCATGGCCGCTTGAGAAACTTCTTTAAGTTTCGATGAGGCCTTGGCATCTCTCTTGCTAGTGGTCGAATTGGAAGGTGACTGATATTGCTCCCTATTCCCTTGCAGGGTCGTTTTTCGAGGGATGTGAAGGTTGTATGGGCGAAAGGGCAGGTGGCTTCGTGCATTCTGAGCCATGGACCGAGTCTCGTTATGCGAAACTTGTTTTTCTTGCTGTTCTCGATTGACATGCCCCTCTGTATGGTCGATTTCATCGAATGTAGCTTGCGGAAGGTCAGTGTCGAGAACCCATGAGTTGCGCAGACTGCCTTTTCCCTCCAGAAAACTTCCAAGGCCAACAATCATGCGCTCACTGCGGAAATGCTGGACCTTTGAGTGACTAGTTCCCAGATAATCCATGACGGTAGCTGCAATATCGACCAGAAATTGGAGTGACACTGCGTCTAGGGGGTCATGAGGTTGGTCATCCAAGATCGTATAGGCTCCAATCACAACACCTTTCGGACTGATGATGGGACTTGACGCGAGGAATCGAATGTTTGGGAATGTAGTCACATCGATATGGTCCTTGAATGTGTTATCTATGGCGAGATCGGGCACAACAAAAACTCCCTCGCTGGGGTCTGACGTATTTGGCGTATAATTCATAACCGATTTACACAGGCTGCGATCATATGACATAGTACAGCTCCCGACCCAAAGCTCATCCTGTGCATTATGATCGCCATCATTCTGCAGACTCAGGGTTCGAGTGGCTTCGGTGAGAACGTGTTGCTCATGGCGACCGAAGAGCGAGATCAACGAACGTTGCGCATTCAGTCGCAAGGTGCCTAGTTGGGCGAATGCCGTCAGAACGGCGTCCGCCGAGGATCGAGCGACATATTCTTTTGATAGTGTGCTAGGCCCGATGTGTTGTAGGGCGTGTGGTTTGAGATGATAAGGCGGTAAATACCTGCGATAGCAGGGCGCACGGTTAGCCTCCGGGACCTCGGTTGAGTGTCATAGATCGCAAGGTGGGAGGATAACCTTGTGCAGGTAAACAAAGGTGAAAGATTACTTATAGAATTCTCGCTCTCTAGATGTGCCAAAGCTGACATGATATTTCTGAGGGTGTGGGCGTAACATTGCGTTGGCCTCGGCGTCAGCGATAGGTCCGAGATATTGCTAAAGATAAGATATTTGCTTTTTCCTAAGAAAGTGGAAGATCATCAAGAAGTTCGCACCGGACCTTCGGTTAGAAAAATGTGTTGAAAGAAACAAGTGCACACAAACAGCTCGCTACCTTCCAAAATTGGAAGGTTGGAACTGCTGATGTTTCAATCGGACCCGAGGGGAGCCTGGCCAATAAATTAGAAAAGCGGTGGAATGAAACGGGAAGTTTGGCAGAAATCTTCCAATCAGGCACTACGGAAAAATAGAACCACGTTTCATACTCTACTCTGATTGGTCAGACTTTAATGTAGATCCATGGGTGTCCACGGGCGACTCCCGTGGTGCTGGACGGTCTTTGAAATATCTTTTTTTTGGGAAAGTAAGGGAACTACCACTTTCAGCAACGAAAGTCTTTAACTTGCCTCTTTTCTGCCAGTCTCATGGTATAAGTCATTCATTGATATGTATATGTCCATAATTATATCTATCTACAATACCGGTTGAGTGGCCTCCTAGGGTAAAATGAACATTGGAAGCTCTGTATGGCTAGCTATTGTATGTGCGCTTTACATACCTACTGGATAATCCGACGGATATACAGAGGTTTCTGGGGGCCGTCTATTGACACAACCTTATTTCAAGTTATATACGAAGTCTCCCGTAGCTGCGGGGTATGAGGTACGTGATATACATAAACGGAACCTGGGAAGTGGCAGATCTAGGTGTAACATCGTTTCAAAAGGCCTGGGACTTAGTGCTAGCTAAAAAACAGCCGTAAAGGTTAAGACCAACCCATACTATTTGACACCAAAGAGTGAATATCAACCTAAATGAATACCGCTCTCCCTCCCCGCATTGCCCAGCATCCCATCACCTCCCTCATCTTTATCCATATCCATCACAACTTAAATGAACAGCCTAGTCCTTGGGACAGCCCGAAACACGGAAGCTACCCATGCTCTTGCTCAATTTGTGATCATTCCAGTCATCGGAAGCAATTCCAATCTGCTTCTTGCAGGAGCTGTCGCTGTAGACACGAAGAGTACAGTCTGAGAACCATTGGTTCTCCCAGTCAATTTTGTCACCGGCCTTGCAGGAAGACTTGGTGCAGCCCTTGTTGTATTCGCCGTCCCACTGCCGGCTGCAGGTGGAGAAAATCCAGGCGTTGGTCAGAGGGAGAACAGCAACAATGGCAGCAAGGGTGGTAGCGGTGAACTTCATTTTGTTAGAAGTTGAAGGTTGAGTTTTTAGGAGTTGAAAGGCTTCAACGGCGAGTTGACAAGGTAAATGTGGGTTGAATATTTGGTATTGAGATTGAGATTGAGATAGATTTGATTGTGTTTGAGAGGATGGTCAGGAGTGTAGATGCGAGGAAAAGTAGTTTTTTATATAGCTTCTTAGGTAGCATCGAGTCTGCTCTAATAAAGTGAAAGATGTAACTTCATTGATGCCAATCCTCGTATTGTGCCGAGTGAAGCCAGAATAGAACTCATCACGAGAGATCACCATCATCGATAGGGCCATGATTCCAATCGCCAAGATGGAATACGATAGCTATTAGTAACTACTTGGAGAATTGGTAGATTATCCACTTTCGAAAAGGTGGAGGTGTTGAGGTGGTTATGTTCATCAAAGTTAAGATAGTTCTCTTTAGGGTTAGAAGAACGAGAAAAAGAACAAATCATGTAGGGATTCTCGTATTCTCATTTTGGCACCTATCTAGGATACTGCGTTCAAAGCAAAAGAGATTCAAGATGACATTTACGCCATGCTCCCCGGTTAGTATAGTCCTCCTCCCAACAAAAGGACGACTATGTTGATATACTCCACCTTGAAAAAAACTAGATAAAGTCACACTATCGTGAAGATGTTTATCTCCCTGAGGTAAATACGACCCTGAATCTATTTATGGACTTAATGTTAACCCCCGCGTTAATGATCGAAAGGTGGCTGTTTATCCCGCTGAACTCTTAAATGGCCCAATACAGTAATATTCTCGGACGATCGAGCTCGTACATTTTTAGCCAAGACTCGGGTTGAGCCCCTGCTTCTCTGGGCATCTCGTGTTCATGGGGCTAAAGAAGTACGAGGTGCCATGTAACTTAAAAATGACTAGCTCTGGCTTCGCTTCTGCACGTACGAGACTCGCTTGTTACCATGTGGAGGAAATGAACAACTCACTAGGGATGACTATGGTACTGTTTAGGTTCAAATTCCAACTTGACCTTACTGAATTGCACTATTCGGGGAAGTGGCAGTCTTCAGCATTGACTTGGGAGCCAATTACCAATCCTGAAGGGGCTATTTTTTACGAGAAGGGTCTGCCCTCTACTGATGTTTCAGCATAGTCACCCAGATGGCGGAATTAGTCCACTGTCCCATATGGATGTTGATAAAAGCCGAAACACTGCTGTATCAAGCTCAAGGAGCGTTTGATATGTGCTGTGGTGTTTGTTTGGTGTTGATGCTGATGTCAATTTTAATTTTTTGATTTAGTTACCAAAGATATAATAAAGCATGTGAAATATATATTGTGCTATGAGACTTTCCATACTCATGAGACGCTACATTTGATTGATCCTAATATAAATTGATCAAACGCAGCTGATATACATGGCCCAACCACTAGAAACATTTAGGATATGGGGTTGATAAAAATATATTGAGCCCAACGGTAAATACTGATCCTCATGGAAGACTAACACGCACGGTATCGTCATCCTACATCGGGTATTTCTTTTTCGGATTGATCAATTGAATTTCATTTCAACGTGGTTCAAAGAAAGAAACTAAGAAAACAAAATGCTACCACCAGAGGCATGCTTAACAGTAACAAACTCGTTGCATGCGTACAATCATGAAGAAATATCCCAGTTCTCCTTGAGTCGCTGGAGCCACTCAGTAACCGGGATGACTTCCTCTCCAACCAGGACGTTACCCTCGCCAACTCTTTCGCGCTCGGCGGGATCATATGGTGGGACATGCACCATTTCATGATCCTTGCCGCAGACCGCCCCCGCGAGGGTTCCTTCTCGTAGCATGGTGTAACAGTGTGCGTGAAACTTGGCATTGTTGCACTCTCTGCAAACATAAATATCATCTGCGTTAACAATACGATCAAGGCAGCCAAAACATTTCTCCCACAAGCGCGTAGGTTCCGGCCATATCTCGGTCTCCGGTGAATCTGAATCGATCTGTGGGTCGTAAGGAGGAGCAAGCAACGACCAAGCGGCGACGCAGTCTACGTCCTGGCCCGCGAACATGAGATATATCGCTAAACCCAGATGACCTTGCCAGTCGTTTGACGGATCATCGTCAGAGAGAATGTCGATATTGCGTTTGATGTACAAGCGCAGGGCATCTTTGGCTTTCTTTTCATCACCTTGGAGCGCGTGGTACCGTGCGATAAGTTGCGTTGCATAGATATCAGGGCGTTCGTCGTCGTCAATAGATGTAGGCTTGAATTTGGCCAGCTGTTCCAGTCGCTCTAGATAGGTGGGTGCGGTGTTTTGATCCAACATCGCCTCACGGAAGAACATGGTCGTGAGCTTTTCACGGACCGTGTTTTTCACCCATGCGAAGAACCCTCCTTCGGACCTTTCCTCAATCTGTAGGATTTGCTCTAACTGTTCGATAGCAAATTCCCTCCGCTCGACGTTGTCGGAGCCATTCTCGTAGCAAAGATGCGCAAGCCTTCGCGTGAGCTCCACCTCGCAGATATCATGGTATATGTCTTCGTAGTTGAGACCCTCACTGATCGCTTTGGCGAGCCGCTCTTTAGCGGCAACAATTGCTACTTGATAGCTTTCGAATATAACGTCAAAGGCCTTGCCATCAGATCCCAGAGCGAGCATTGCCTCGTGATACCCATCGTGGGAGTAGGTGTCATGGAACATCAACGTTCGCCGGTCTAGACCGGTTGAATCGTCTATGGAGGCCTTGAGTGAATCGAGGAATTTGAGTAGGCCCTCGGAGTCCTTGATTTTGTGGAAGTGCATCGTGATCTCCAGCATAGCGAAGATGTCATTCGGGTCATTTCGCAGCATTTCCTCGTATAGCGCAAACGATTTGTTTCTATCACCCAACTCCTCGTTGTACTTAGCCAGATCACGGTTCATTCCTATTAACTCAGAATCATCATCGCGTATATCGCCACACATGATAACATTCTTTGCGGCTTCTATTGCCTCCATCGCAAGCGCGAATTCCTTCTGGCATGCATACGAGTTTGCGAGGCCCCATTGCGAGAGCCAGTTGTACTCCCGGAGCGAGCACGAGAGTTTGAAATATTCAATGGACTCGGGGTATTTCTTGTACCTTCTGAATGTGCACGCTAAGTTGCGGGTCTCGTAGTATCCTAGACCATCCAGTCCGAGCTTTTGTCGCGACCATTCAGCGGCATCGAGAATCTGGGAGACGTCGAGATCTTCGGGGTCCGGGTCAGAGCGTGACCTTTGGATCTGGGGGTTTTTGCGATTTTCAATCTGATGAATCAATTAACTTCGAGTCTTGCTAGAGTGGGAGCTATTTTATTAAGGACACACCTTGGTGATATGTGCATGAACTATTGCGAAACAATCGGCAAGCTGTTCTTCACTAAGACCCGATTTCAACCAGAGACGGGCAGTGTACTTTGCAATGTGTTCCAGAATATCTGCATCAGGATCGGACTTGGAACTCAAACTTTTCACCCATTTTCTTTGATCACCCGGAAGGCTTTTGGTGATCGAAGGGTGTTGAAGCCACTTCAATGCAGCTTCGGCAAATCCGTCCGTGTAGATCCAATCACGCCATGTCCAAAGCTCGTATGGTTTCCACCATTTTTTAATTGTCTCTTCGTCTGTAAAGAGACTGCCTAACTGCAGACCAAGAGCTACCCTTTTCTGTCGCTGCGTCACTGAATCGGGGCTCACTTGTTGAAGATGGTCGGGGAAATAACGATACGCGTACTCGAGCAGAGAAGCTAATTTTGGAGATTCCTCGTGGTTTATAACCTCCACACACGTTGAAAGCAGATCAAAATTAACGTTGTTGATGTCAACGCCGACTCGGGCCAGTTTTCCTTTGAGTTTCCGCTGGAAGAACTCTTCGAACCCGAATTTGGAGAACAAGCTGGGATCGCAGACCGACTCCAAGAACCGACGGACAATCCTGACTTCGCTTTCGTTGATATCGCCATTAAGATCTAGGTCTGAGGCTTCTTCAGGGTTGTCCGACTGATCATCCATTCGTAGGAACTCATCTATTGATTCCGAGACTATGACCACATACGAGCTGGTTGGGATGATCTTAGTTATGGGATGCGGTTCTCCCTCGATTTGGAGGAGTGAGGAATATTGGTCATTTATTTTTTCTGCCAGAGGCCGAAGAGATGACTCCCCGGCCTTCAGGAAGAGGAGTGCCTCTAGTTGATTGAGAGTTTGTCCAATCCGACCAAAGATAATCCATGTGAGGAGGACATTCAGGTCCGAGATGTCTTCTTCGTTGAGTGTCTCGTTTAGGCGTTGAATCTTTCTCGTGATAGTGTCGGATCGTTTGCCTCCCGAGCGGGATAAAATATCCCTGATCTCACTAGGACGCTGCTTCCCGCTGATCTCATGCAGTAAGAGGCCTATATTGACGAAATCGCCATGGGTATTGGTCTTCAGATTTTGTAGGATCTCGTGTTGAAGTGAGAGTACTTGATCTGACGAGTCGCTCAGAATATCCATCTTGTTCATGCGGTCAATTATGAACTTGTCTACATCATCGTTGTTTTCGGATGCCACCTCGATTGTTGACATCCCTCCGCTGAGCTGACCTTTGACCTTGCTCATCGTGTCATTTCGTCCAGTGATGAGAATGCGGAGCTTGAATTGCGACCAGGTCTCAGAGCTAGCATGCAATTCCTCTAAAACCTGGACAAACTCTTTAAGTTCGCTCTTCTCTATCTGATCAATGCCATCCAGGAGAAGAAAGAACGTGGAGTCGCTCTTCTGTGATTTGGCAAAGAGAAGGTCCCAAAGATCTCTTATCTGGTTAATACCAGTTGCTTTCACAGAGCTCACATCTTTGCGGTAAACAATATCTTGGTCGGCGATCTGCCACGCAAGCACTTTGAGGGCCTGGATCAGAGTTGGTTGTTCCCCCTCTTGGTCGAAGATATGGTAGGCAGTGGAAATGCACCTCATATCATTTTCAGATTGAGGTTGTGCTTCTTGTAGGTATTTGACGATACTTGCAAAGAGGAACGATTTGCCATATCCTTCAGCCCCAGAGATACCAAAGACCGAGAACGGCGAATTTTTGTGAGACGCCCACTCAGCATACAGTGGATCACTCCGAAGCCACTCTCCGCTCCCCTGAACCTGGTCACCCAGGAGGCGTCGCAGGGTCTTTTCAACGACTTTGAATGCCTCGCTCGGATTGTCCAGACTGGAATCGATATTCTCCAGAAGCCTCTTTGAGGCAGTCTCTGCATCTTTCTTCTTCTCAATGTTGAGCAGCTTATCGACTGTCACGTTGACTTTTATGGTACCATCCCTGTTCTCAATGATGTTTCTTTCGCTCATCTTCTGAGACTCGAACCCTAGTGTGTCCCGCATCTGAGACTCGCGCTCAACTAGCGTGGCCAGACGAGCCAGCTGGCCTCTCACGCCTTCGTCACCATCGAAGGCAAATACCTTGAGCGCGATCAAGACCTTGTGGCCCTTGAGAACCTTAATCGACAGTGCGCAAATGTCGACAAAGCACACTAGCTCCTCATTGATAATCTTTCGGAGGGAGACGTCAACTGCGTCCGCGGGCAGGCGCATATAGATTTTGCAGCGTTCGAGCACATCGGAGATGCGGCGGAACAACTCGGCCAGGCTGCTGAAAATACGTTTGAATTTTGCTCCAGTATCAATTAGATATGAAATTGCATTGAAGCAGAGCCCGGCTGGCGCAAATACCTAAGTCATGACTATTAGCAACGTCACGCGTGGAGATTATAGTCACTTACCATACTCGCACCCTGGGCAGCGATCCCACCCAGCAGTGTGATAAATTTCAATGTCTTGCCAATCACATCTTTTGCAGCGGCATACTTGTTGTTTTTCTCATCATCATCATCCTGTTTCGTACGAATTTGATCGAGGACTTCGTCGACAGAGAACTTCGGTGTTGCAGTGAGGTCGATTTTGGCTGTACCCGCAAAGGACGTGCACGCCTTGTCCCATGCCTCCTGCAAATTATACTCGCCATCATCTTGAACTGCACCCATTGGATGATATTTCGGGTTTCGCTTGGTCCGAGCTAATGGTGAAATATCGGTTGCCTGATTGGGCCTTGCCGATTCTTCCCGTTGTCAATGGAAAACCAGGGAAGGACGAGAATTTGAATGGTATAATGTTGAATTCCAGATCGGTGCGGCTGAAAGCTCGGCGCAAGCGAAAAGCGGCTGGGGGATGGACTTGAAGAGGGGTCTGGCCTTTCCAAGCCAATGGCGATATTACAGCGCCGTTATCCAGTCTCACTCAGCAAGCCACGCATCGAGTGGGGTAATTAACAACCGTGCGAGGTACGGAGTACGCCGTACGGTAGGTGGGCCAGTACACTACTAAATATAATTCTGACATTTATCGCACGCAGGGGCTCTATGATGAGAAGCCACCACAGTGACTAGAACCCAAGGATAGCACGTAGATATGTACGCATGCTGACAGCAAGAGGACATCCCTCTGCATAATCGAAAAGTCGGCCCTTGATAGGTTGCCCAGAGCCGTTGAAGTTTCCACTTTGCTGTCGACGCTACCCCTGAGTTGGCTTCATGCAGGACCTATACGAGGCGTCCACCAACCGTGTAAGTGACACCAGACATGGTACCCCACAAGGAGCGCTAACACGTTTATCAGGAACAGCAGTGCGATGAAATTCCAGGGCATTAATTCACAACTGAATAAGAGTGAGGACTTGTGATGTTCCAAAATGTGGTGCGTCGCGGGACGAACGGCTATCCCGAGCCAATCATCTAGTATTGGACCCACCTTTGGGAAGTTCCAAGGTTGCAGCCTGTTCTGTCAGGCGTACATCTCAATAAATTTGGCTAAGTAACTACCTACATGATGTTAACTAGTTATGTTGTACATATGTTGCGGGAAATAATACTGCAAAACATCACTAGACCGTGAAAGAAGCCTCGGTTCTCATTTATGGCCTAGGGGGGCCATATCCCAGTCTGACATATGCATCTATACGTACCGAATTTTCCCTGGCTTTCCTATTTGAGCTGCTGCCGCTTTTATGAGAGTGCTCAGGCTCAGGCTCAGTCAGTGCTCAGTGCAGGTAAAATGAAGCTTTTCGTGCTATACAAATTGATATATCACCGAATTTTGAGAAAGTTTACATTGGCCTTAGCCTCTCTGTTATTTTTCACTCCCTTTTACTTCACATTTCTTCTGACTCAGGAAAGTATACGTCTTTTTATACTACTATCCGTAGCAGTAATCCTAGATGTAGGTATTGTTATCAAATTCGAAGTTGGCGCTGGCTGGTACGATCAGGACAAGGATAACTCGACAAAGGCGCTTGGTGGCCCGCAGCAGTATCTTGATATTTTAAGGGTTGGTCAACTTGCATCCCCATGTTATGTTTCTAGTGGCATATGATATGGGAACACACTAGCCATGTTAAAATGATGCTCTTGTAGAACCCTCGCTTTTACTTTTTAAGGAAAATCACTTAACTTACACTACTATTGAATATATATCTCGAAGGTAAAATATGTAAAAAGTTAACACTTAATTTAACGCATTATTAGTCTATTTAAGCTGGTTTTTAGAAGAGTATCTAAGATGAGGTTAAAAGAGATAGTAATTTATAGTGATAAATAAGTAGAATTATATATGCTAAGACCTCAATTTTATACATGGCGAAGGTTTAGCTCCAATTGCGGTTTATGGCGAAGCGTATGCGTAGCTAGGCTAAGGTAAAGCCATATAGCCCTATACGCTATTCTCCTAGCTAATATGGTATTTTTTAAAACGAAATGGGGTGAGAATACTTTAGACACCTTCGAAAATTCCTTTGTCCAGAATTCGGCGAAGTGGTCTTTCATGGTCTCATTTAACCACCTTCTCGGGGTCAAGCGCGCGGTTCAACCTGTTCTCGCCAGGGGCGTACTCCTGCCCCGCACTGGCGCGTGCCATGTCGTTGATCCACTGTTCATTGGGTTTGATCCTCTCACCTTTTGAGAGCCTCGATGCCAGGTACAGCCAGTTCAGCATGTTGCCGACCGTGCTCACTTCATCGCAGACATGCTGCACCGCGAACTGGTGCATCTCGTTGTAGAGCTTATCGTTGGTTATCAGATCAAAAAGATGTTGGGCTACTGCATCGGTGTCGCCAACTTCCACCAAAAAGCCATTCCTCCCTGCCGCCACCTGCAGCGGGATACCACCAACCTTAGTTGCAATGACCGGCTTTCCCTTGTGGATGGCTTCGGAGACCTTGACCTCGAAACCTTCGTGTGTAGACAGCTGCAAGACAACCTTGGCCTTCGAGAGAAGTGCATTCAGCACCTGGTCCGATGGGCCGAGTCGGGCGACACAGATGTAGTCCGCCAAGTGGGGGAGATTCTCCCGGACGTGGGACACCACGGCATCATGGATTGAGGTTCCGTCGGGGTCATCAATGGAACCATGTCCACAAATTAATAGCTTGGGTGGCTTCTTGTCGGGTAGCGCCATCGTGAAGCGCTCGTGGAACTTGACATATGATTCCACGACTTCCGGAATTCCCTTAGATGGATCAAACCGCGCAATTTGAGTGATATACTCGTCTTTTTCGGCAACGCAAGTCAACACAAACACGTGACATGGTAATAAATCGATGGCTGATATCTTACCTTCAGGATAGTTGATGGTGGTCATGGCCGAGTTTCTACATATACCATTGAACACACGCCCGTAGAAAGCGACATCCCAATCGCGCATATTCTTATTCAATCCGTCCAGCCTGGAATATAATGTTACCCTTGTAAGTTTAAATAAAACCAGGGGCGCTTTACCAGTCTGTTGATGGAGCCATATAGCCGACTGTCTGTCGAGGTACATTCTGTGGCACGAAGGTCCTCACTGGATGACTGATGAAAATATCGGCATCTTTGATCTGTTGCCACATCCGGTTCCAGGCTTCTTCCTGTGGAGAACCTGGCTGGGAGATCAGGTCCGTGTGGATTGAAATGTGGCTTCGGAAGATAACCGGCCTGTCTGGGTCCATCTTCTTGGCCAGAGGTATTAAGGCGGGCATCTGAGGGTCATCAATAATAATCACATCTGCTCCCCCCTTGAAGAATGATCCAAGGGACCTCCCTCAGTCAACCAGTACCGATTGGCGTTCTCATGAATCCAGTCGGTGACGTGGGCCCAGTTCTCCTCGGTGAGTCGTTCTCCTTCGTGCTGAACACCCTGTAGGATGTTGTGGTTTGTTTTGGTCACACGGAAAACACCTGGGCGAGGCTTTGGCACATACCTATCCCGGATGTTAATCCTGCATCCGCTGATTTCACAGATATTTTCGGGAGGGGCACCCATACCATTTCACATCAGTCCCTAGCGCGTGAGAGAATCGGACCAACGCATGTCTCATAAGAGCTACACCTCCGCCTTGAGGGGTTGCGCTGAAGAAGGCGATCTTCACCCTCCGATGTATAATATCTTTGGCGTAGTACTCAATCGCATCCCACGTCTTTTTGCTCACTGTTTTTTCGAAATCACGCAGAGTGGTCAGACAAACTCGGAAGCCAGTGTCTACCTCCACCAAGCCTCGAAAGCCAACCTGCAATAGGGGGATGTTCTCAGGCCCAAATAGGCTACAAGACCAATTAGTATTCGTTGAAAAACAAAACCTGAATGAGGGTCGGGTCTACCAATGAGACTCCGACTTACCGGACACATCTGCGGGCCATCGACTCTGCCTGTTCATCGAGAGTTCTGTTCCAAAAGGATTTCTGTTCAGGATGCCCCAAAATGAACTTATTATCTCTTGCCTCCCTGTTTCCCTCGTCTATGATCAAGGGGAGCACATCAACCTCAGCCCATAGACGAGCACGTAACGTAGGGTATTCATCAGGGATTCTATGTGGCATTGCCAAACCAATGAACTTCACCGTGTGAGTATGACTGTAATTGCGCAACGAGTTAATCATAAAGTCTCCGAGTTCGGAAAGAATGGTACGGCTGGGCTTAAAAGTCTTCTGGAAGAAATCAAGGAGATATGTGGCATCACGAAACGCCATGGCGAGTGTCACGGTCCCATCCTTCGCAATTTCAGTTGAAATGCCAGCATATATTGCCTGTTTGGATGTGTTAGGGGTTACCACAAGGCTCTAAATTGATTTAATCGGATGGGAAAAACTACCGGAGAAGGGGGGCCGTTCCATGAATTCTCCTCGTATTGAAGCGGCAGGTGTTGCTGATATGATGACGCTCGGCGCTCGATGGAGCGCGCATCGCCGCTCATTGTATCGCAGATGTATTTTCAAAGTCGATTGTAGGTAAAGGCTTCTTAAACGGGATATCAAGCATCGAGGGAAAATATAGAGATTATTCAAGAAGAGAAGGCCGTAGGTGGCAGTACATATCAGCAATTGGTATAAAGCAGTTTCAATGACCTCACGATTCACGGTCATGACGTTGGGGAACATAGCATCAGCCCTAGGTGAACTACCCAGGCGAGTGAGGGGTTCAACATAAGAGGAACAAATTGCAATGATCATTGGGCTCATATCCAGCTTTTTTTCTCTCCTAAAAATTGACATGTAGTGAGTGAGTTGGAGTTGCAAACAGATATTAACAAGGTTGGATAGACGGCTTATGTAATATCATAAGTTTGCTGCAGGTAGTTAGGCTTCAGACAGCCTTGAATGAAGTCAAAGATAAGATCCATGTTATTTGAAGTCATAAGCGGATCCCAGTTCTCTCAATTGATTCGTTATACCTGGTTTTACTGTACCATTGTGTTGTCTGCCAAGCGGGAAATAACGCCAGACGGATGGGGGACCCCACGGGGGCTCCCGAGCCCTTGCCACAACCGCGTGAAGAGACTTATAGATCGACATATTGGAAAACCTTGCAATATGAAACCCAACATTGCGCTGATGACAGGCAAAACATAAGATCAGGCATTCAAAGTTCCCAATTCCCCACAATATTCCGTACACAGACCTGTAGATCAAGGAATGACATGGGAATGAATAGAAGGGTGAATGCGGGATAAAGAAACCGAACTCCGTAGGGTAGAATAGTCTGAGACCTCTACCCGTAGCCATATAGCTAACTGAAACCGTGGTTTTCCAGCGTTTTTTATGTTTCCCACTGTGCAATGCTGCGAATTGCAATGTTAGTATCATTGAAAATTGACAAAGGCACAGTAATTTCGTTTCCTGAAGAGATTCCGAGCAGCGCTTGTATAATTTAGCGCCCAGGGATTTACCTGGCGCAGACTTGATTGAAGCCCAGGGGTATTGACGCAACCGAAGTTGTTCATTCTCCTTAGACCTTCCGCCTCTGGCGCAAAGCATTGCATGGCGACGCTCGTATCATTGATGCCTGGGACTCAATCTATGAGAAGCAGGGTATTTACCCTGATAGAAATGACAAACAAACATAAAGACAGTCCGAATACGGTCCGAGGACGGTCTGATTCCGGCACCTCATCACCTTGAACAACCCGCGATCAATAATCTCACCACCCCGTTTTTGCAATCAGTCTCTCTCTCTCGTGTTTTGAGGTCCCAGTTTCTACAAGGTACGGGGGTACAGGTGGCACATTGTATAATACTAGGCGAATTGAGTGAATCATGTTTACACTGACGCCAAAGCGTTCGAGTTTTCGGCCCAATTCGCAACTCAACTGGCAAGCTGTTCGTATAGCTACATTATAATAGTTAGTGAGTAACTACAGCGCTGCTGTGAGACGATGGTGCCTAGATGACCCGGCCAGTCGGGTTGAATATCCCTCGCGGGGTATTCATGCGTCAGCGTGCAGATCCTTGTGTTCGCGTAACAAGTTCGCATCAACCTTATATTATCGCCTGGATTCTTGCTGACAACAACCTAACTATAGGACTCGTCCAACTTATTCCAATCTATAAATCCTTGAATTATTTTCCTCATGGAAGCCGATCAACCAAATATTGGCATTCCTCCTGAGCATGAGGCTTCATTTAAAACATTCACTCAATCTTGTCAAGAAAGGGGTCTTTTGACTCGGCCCGATAGTCTCGAAAGCCGGGACCTGTGCGACGGGTTATCGGACCCGCCTACCCTTTTGTACGTTGTGTACATGAAATCGAGCTTTTTTGCTGGTGCTGACTAAAGTAGACGATTTCTAGTCGCCCGTCGGTTTGACCCAGATGGTGCTCTCAAGCAGTTTCAGCAGGCATGTGAATTCCGCGAAGAGAAGCATATCCTGAGGCTGTATGATTTAGTCAACATTGCCGATTTTGAGCAAGCTCGTGAAATTGTGAGTACTAGGTGTTTTCAAAAGTAGTAGTATACACTGATATACCCATCCAGTACCCCCACTGGACTGGGAGGAGAGACAAGAAAGGGTTACCCATTTGCATGCTCGACGTGGCTCGCCTCGACAAAGATGCCCTTGCAAGCTGGGAAACAACACGCCAAAACAGTCGCTGGATATATTCCCAATCAGGAAAACCCGAACCGCCAACCCCGGACATGTTGCAATTAGCCTCTGTGTACCATGACAATCTCATTCGGTTCATCCTTCCGCTTTGCTCGATGATGACGGACAGGCCGAAACCTTCGATCCCAGTCACCAATTCGATTTACATTGTGGATGCATCGAATTTGGGCTTAAAGCAAGCATGGGGTTTGCGATTCTTTGCCCAAGAGATCAGTTGGCTGTTATCAACATGTTACCCAGAGACTATTCAACGTGTCTTTGTAGGTTGCTAGTTTATTTGGTCTGATGACATTGTACTCGTGGATGCGGACTAATTATTATAACAGGTATGCAATGCGCCCTCATATTACAGAACTGTCTGGAAGTACCTCAAGGGTTGGGTCGATCCTTATACTGCAGAAAAGATCGTCGTACTCTTGGAAGCGGAGGTTCTTCCTGCTCTCAGAGAATACATCGACGATGTCAATATCCCAACCAAGTTTGGCGGTAAATTTCAATTTACCCATGGAATGCTGCCTGATCTCGACAATAATATCCAGCGGCTTTTGAACTCTGATTCATCGACATCTCTGCCTCCTGGTCCCTTGAAATGGATCCAAGACTCGGATGGTAGACGAACTGCATTGGCAGTTGGTAGGAAGGCCGGCTCTGAGAGAAGTGGTACGATTGCAACAGTTGATCTAATCGGCCAATAACTTCACTACATGTAGATTGGGTTTTCTAGACCGATGAAATATATCCTGCCTGAGGCCACACATATTCTATCTGAGGCAGTAATGTTTTCCCCGGGTCCAACCTTATTAACTTTGAGAACCTCCAGGGCTCCCACATGAGGACTGTAAAAATCAGGGGCTGGAAAAATTGAATGACTAGGTAGCACCCCCCAAAAGAAAAAAAAAATTGGAAAGAAAAATTGGGAAACCGGGAAAGTGGCTGTTGAAATTTGGTTCCCAGATTGGTGAGGTCATCTAACTGTAGGCCCAACCGCGCTTGGCAAATTCATGTGGTCCAATGGTGCTAGCACGTTAATTTACTAGTAGAATCTTGATATTAACTATCATCTTGGGAGGTATTCATGCTAATATACATTCACCGTAGAGTATATACAAAGAATTGAAATAAGACCAAAAGATAAAATAAGAGTTGAAAAGAACGTCTCCACTTGAGATGGACGATCTCTATCTTAACCAAATAGACTCTGACCCACATAGGTACTTTTCTTTGACTTCCTATTGTAGTTTAGTGAATATATGTGATAAGAGTTGCTGTTTCGTCTCTCTCTTCTGTTCTCCTTTGAATATGATTGAGTGAATTCCCTATACCTTTCGTTATACCCTGGGCCCTGGACCCTGGCCATCACGTACCCCACCGGAAACTTAAACCCAGCTATGATCTCACCGAGCTGCTAGCTTGCAATTATCACGAAAGTCATACAAACTCAAGAGACTGTCGACAAGATGCCCGTCTTTAGGATGCCGTATATGATGACGACATTCAACTCGCGCGCAGGTCGAGTCGCGGTACTCGCAGTCTTTCTCATCCTGGGCCTTATCTGGATCTTGCCCAGCCATGAGGACCTCTCGACGCCGACCTTCTATGCAGGCAATGGTTACAATCGCAGCCACCCCATCGACGCTCTTATCGATACTGCACAGACCGATCTACACGAACTCTTGGGAACACAAGCGCACGACCTTCAAACCGCTGCAGAACAATACCGAGCGCGCCGCGGAAGACATCCTCCGCCTGGATTTGGACAATGGTACGAGTTCGCAAAGGCAAAGGAATCATTGATCATTGAAGAGTTCTTCGATCAGATATATCACGACCTCACTCCGTACTGGGCTCTCGACCCGAAGCAGTTGCGCCGACAAGCTAAAAGCATCCCGACCCGTATCACCGTCCGCAACAAAACCGCAATATTGAAAACCGATGAGCCAAGGAATTGGATGGACTCGTGGTACGACCTGGTCGCGAAATTGGAGAATGGACTTCCCGATCTTGATATGCCAATTAATGTCATGGATGAGACCCGGCTCGTTGTCCCCTGGGAGACAATCAACGAGTACGTGCAAAAGGAGCAGGCAGATCGTGCTATGACGGAGCCGAGCCGTGTTATCGCCGAATACATGTCTTTGGTCGACTCAGATCACGACGACCTGGAACCTTATGATCCTCAGTTTGCAGTTCCCGGCCAGGGAGGTTACTGGGAGATGGCTCGGGTTGGCTGCCCACCCGGAAGTCCTGCACGAAACAGCATTCTTCCCATGGTGGACTTCAGTAGTCCTCCTTGGGAATATGACAATTTCGAAAGAATGTCATATCACGGCTATGTATCAAACTACACCTTGACCAAGGACCCGTGTGTGCGCCCAGAGATGCAAGTTTTGCACGGAACCTTCCTTGAACCAATCTCTGTTTCAACCTCGCATAACCTGATGCCACTGTTCGGTGGATCCAAGCTTCCCATGAACAACGAGATTCTCCTGCCCCCCGCGATGTACTGGGCACAGAACGACCATTATTCCGGCGGGGAGAAGGAGCACGGAGGTCGCTGGGAATCAAAAGAAAACAAGGCTATATGGCGAGGTGCTGCTACTGGAGGTCGGGCTCGAGAGCCCAACTGGACGGGTTTCCAGAGACACCGATTCATGTCGATGATGAACGCGACATCAGTGGCTCAGGCCGAGAAGAACCAAAGCCATGGTATCAACTTCAGACTTCCAAACTATGCCAATTACAAGTTGAACGACAACGGCTTTATCCCGGAACTTCTCTCAGAACATACTGACACGGGCTTCAATCACCTGGTTTGCACGCCTTATAATGAAACGGACCCGACTTGCCCATATCTCGATCCATACTTCGAGGTTGCGCCTGGCATGCCAATGAAAGAAATGTACAACTATAAGTATCTGCCCGATCTTGACGGAAACTCTTTCAGTGGCCGGTATCGCGGCTTCATGTTGTCCACCTCCCTCCCCATCAAAGCTACTATCTACAATGAGTGGCACGACTCGCGACTGATCCCTTGGGTACACTTCGTCCCTATGGATACCACCTACATCGATGTGTATGGAATAATGGCTTATTTCCTCGGCGGCCGTGACAAGGCAGCACGAAAAATTGCCCTTGCCGGGAAAGATTGGGGCGAGAAAGTCCTCCGACGGGAGGACATGGAAATCTACACATACAGACTTCTTTTGGAGTATGCCCGCATCTGTGATGATCAGAGGGAATTTCTCGGTTATGTTGATGATTTCACAATGTCCTGATTGTGGCCAATTGAGGAATTGGTTTTGGTACGCATGCGTGCAAATCGCCGCTTGCGGTCAACCCTTCAGGAACAACTCCCAGCGGGGTTGGATCATCGGGTATCATCAAACTTTTTTTCATGATGAAAAATATGTGGTCTTGCTTGAGTCCACAGTTGGCTCCTTGGCATAGGAAACCCCCGACTGCTTGGGCTTTCTGAGGCTTCGCCCGCTCGGCATTGGCCTCGATGTCTCCACCCCCGGCGTCATTGGTTCTTTTGGACTCCGATCTTTCTCTTTCTACATTTTGGTTCTAATATATTCATGATCATGGTTTTCATGTCATGTTGGCTTTTACTTGTTGATGATTACTGATACCATACGAAATGTCTTGGCTAATACATGATGTACATAAATAGATGATCTTGCCATTTATGATTTGTTGTTTATCTTCTTACATGCTTCTTTACATACAGAGAGTTCCTACATTAAAAAGAAGCACCGTGCCCCGAGATCTGGCACTCTGACACCCCCTACTCCTTCCACTCATCTCTACCAAGCCTAACAATATCAGCTTGTTCCAGAACCCAATAGTTCGAAGGAGCTTTGCCCTCTTCGGCCATACGAGCAGCTGCTACAGCTGCTCTACCAATAGTTGTTTGATTTTGACCTGCTCGTTTCAAGTTAGCTCTAAATCTTCCAAAACAGCAAAAAGCACATCCATACCAACTTTATCCTGAACACCCTGTCCCAACCTCTGAAGCCCTTCCACAAACTTCTCCAAAAGAAAAGCCTTAGATTCCTCCCTCCCAATAATCATCCCCGGTCTCAAAATAACAGCATTATCAAACCCAAGCTCCTTAATAGCATCCTCAACCCCAACCTTCATCTTTGAATACGGAACCCACCCCCAGAGCAAGCTCCTAGTTCCTCCACTAGAAATATAAACATACGTTTTCACCCCGGCCTTCTTAGCAGCTCGCGCATTCTCAACACATAAATCATGATCGATCTTCCACTGATTCTTGATGCTCCCCGCTGTCGCTGTTGTAGTACCGACCGCATTGAAAACCATTGATGGCTTGGGAGACAGAGACGAGATCATGTCCCCCCATTTTGAGGTGTCGCTTTCCTCCAGTGCTTGCAGCTTAGCTGACTGTGCATTTGGGAGTCTTCTGGAGATAGTCTTCACTGTTGAAAATGCGTCTGTCGCGAGGAGTGTGGCTAGAATCTGGGAGCCAACTGCTCCTGTACAGCCGAATACTGCTGCTGTCGCCATAGTGGAGGTTGATATGTCCTCGCTGTGAGGGAAAGAAATGCCAAAATTAGGGAGGCTGGTCCGAGCGTTTGCATGTTCCCAGGGGACTTCGATAGGTGACGTCATATATATCACCCAGGACACTCTTCATACATCAGTCTGCAATGCATCCTTCTACATGTATATCGATGGAGACACAGTTATATCCTTCTCTGGCATCTCGTGCTCTATAAATACTAATGTGTTCTCCAAGGCTGATATCTCCAGAATCCGTAACTCCCAACAGTCGGGCTTAGGCCTTCCCATTGAGTCAATCTCAGACCATACGCTGCCGACAGAAGTTTGCTTGTCTTTAGACCGTGGTTTCGTTTTGATTGGATGTTATGTTCGCATTTTAACCATCTGAAAATGTCTCAGTTTCGTTATTGGTGCTTTGGTAGAGAAGCAAGACATCTCGCAAATCTTACGCCCTGTGCGGGATTTTCCTCGCGCCCTTCCTGCGACATGACATGATTCCCGACAAACCAACTACCATATTTACACGTTAGGGGAGAAATATTTAATAACCAAAATCTTCCCATTAGAATCCACCGTTCAAGGAATTTCACAATCCTAAGCATCTCTCAATCCAACAATGAAAATGCTCAATTTCCGCCTCGCGACCGAAGAAGACGCCGCCCAACTTCACAAGTTGGTTGAAACCGCCTTCCGCACCACAGACAGCAGAAAGGACTGGACCGATAATCTAGGTCTGGTGTCTAGCTTTCGCCCACATGTCCAAGAAATCATCGACGTAATCAACAAACCAGATAGTGTCATGTTGATGGCAACCAACGATCAAAACACGCTTGTCGGCGCAATCGGGACTTCCAAGCGCGACGAAAATTACGCTCGTCTTTTTAGGCTTGCTGTTGATACGAGTCTGCAGCGTGGCGGGATTGGGCGTCAGATCTTGGAGTACGCTGAAGATTATTGTCGACGGACTTGGGGTGTTAGGACGGTGGGATTAGATGCCCTTTCGTGTCGCAAGTCGCTTCTCGCGTGGTATTTGCGTTGTGGATATAAAATGACGGGTGAAACGACACCCTTTCCTCGTGAGAAGATTGGAGATCTGGTGTTGCCGGATGATCTTTGTTTTGTTGAGTTTGAGAAAGCCGTGGGGGAAACATCTGTTGAATGAGATACATGAACTGGTCACATGTGCACATGACTCTATGGAATCATGAGAGGTGATTCCCTTTCTTGGCTACGGAAGCTACGAGAGTTCCCGGTCGAACCTTCCTATTTTCATCAAACGCAAGGATGGGAGCACAGCGAGCTTGATAAATGGAGGACAAGTGAGATTGAGCAGCTCATGAACTATGAATATTCGTGGGCTATGCATGGGGGAGCACCGAAATTCTCTGTTCCTGTACATAGGTAGTGTTGGATCTATGCTATCGAGCATTGTACTACACTCATCAGTGGTGGAGTTATCGAGCCCGATGTTGTGATAAACCTCGCCTTCGATCCCAACTTTACATACATTGCATAAGGCGAGAAATATTTAAACTCTATACTTACTCGGGTCGAGTCTAACCGAGAAATAGGTCTTCCTAGCTTCGGTTCGCCGAGAGGGACAAACTCGCCTCTTGTGGGCTCAGTTGTGTTACCCTGGAGTTTAGATTTTGACTCCCTTGCTTATATTAAGCCTAGATGTTTTGATGGTTCCTGTATGACTTAAGGCACAACGTACCACATAGACCTCCGCAAAGCTACCACACACACAACTAAATTGGGAGTTGCATACAGTTGGGTAACACAATTGACCTTTCTAGCAAGTGATTAGACTCGACGCTGGTTGTTGAGATTCCCGACAATTATAAATCATGTTCTTCTGTGTAGCATTATACAGCCTTTATTTATGGAGATTACAGTAGATTCAGCATCATCATGCATGTATCAATCTTGTGCAACCCAGCCCTGATCACCCATATCCAATACTCATCGATAGAGCCCCAGCTTCCATTTATAGGTTGGATTGCAACTCAGGTGTTAAAGTCCCAGCAGGAAACAAGGGAAAGTCTCTCAGGTCCCAAATTTCAATATTTTTCTATCTATCCATTTATCAACATGACCTTGAACACAACATACCAATCAGCCGTGCCATCACGTCCAAAGATTCTGATGCTGCACGGTAAGATACCCCTGATTTCTACAGATGCTTGAAGTATAGATCTGACTCCTTAACCTTTTCTCTGTAGGCAACGGCCAGTCCGGGCAGATGCTACAATGCAAGACCAAATTTCTGATGCCCCAAGTAAGAGATACTGTGGCCAACGCTCTTCAGCAAGATCCATGTTCAGCGCCTATTGAAATGGTCGAGTTTCACTATCCTTCAAGCAAGTTACCTTCAAAACCCGATCAGAACGCGGAAGAAAGCAATCACCTGTGGGTATGGGCACGTGGAGAATATCCGGATGACCCTGCGTGGGGCCTCGAGCAATCCGTCAGTGATATATTCCACTATCTTGATGAAAATGGTCCATTCCTTGGTATCATGGGATTCTCGATGGGTGCCGCTACGGCTGCTATAGTTGCTTCACTTTTGGAGAAAAGACGCTCGATCGGCAATTTCCAATTCAATGTACGTTGGGGAAATATTGTTGGCATTCAAGATGCTCAGGTGGTATACCGTGACTGACTTTCTTTCCCTTATAGACAAACCATCCCCCTCTGAAGTTCGTGGTTGCAGTTTGCGGGTTTACATTGGGACACCCTATTTATGATGATCTATATAGTCCAAAGATTGAGACACCGATCTTCCTTGCTATTGCTAGCATTGATGTATCAGTCGCTGAGTCTGAATCACTGAGACTTCGTGATTCAAGCACAAATACTGCTTTGTACTTTTTTGAAGGAACACATCATGTCCCACGAGATGGGCGTTTCTTGGAATCCCTAACCCAGTTTATTGAAGATGTTTTGGGTGGCAAAGGGGCCCACGAAGAGGATTGGGAGGATTGTGGAGATTATTGAGTATGGTGCTTTGTCCTGCTAGCTAGTATCGCGGAATGACTATGTCAAATAGAGCTCGGTTCAGCATTGCGTATCGTATTAAGTCCCTCTCTGTGATTGGATTAACATTAATATACTGGTTATGTATTTGGTGCATAGGATGTTGAGCAGTATACTCATGATTCGTGTTGATGGGCTAGACTGAAGCATTTCAGGGGTATGCAAGGCTGGCTAAAAGGAAGGTATATGGTGTGACTAGGAAAACTACTATGAGGCTTTTAGATCAAAGGAATCTTTTTTCTTAAGAAGCCGGAAGATGTCTCGCATAGATCACAATGTTCTCGGGATCAAGCTTTGCCAAGCTTTGGGACAACCATGGATGCCCTCTCTCAGGGCCAACCTTATCATTGACAAGGTCAGTGTATGTATCACATTAAAACTGAGGATGAAATATAGAACTAAAATGATAACTTGCTCTTATCTTTTATACAGTCGAAATAAAGAGCGCCACAACTATATCCGACCTCTGGGCTTGACATCTTTCATAGTTGGTCGATCTTGCTGCAAATAGTCAACTGGCTACTTGTTTGCCTTCTCCAAATCCGCAGCCCAGAGAGCGGCGCCAACAGTGTTCGTGAATGAAAACGCGATCGAGGCAAATGGTATCATTTCCAAGACAAAGGCTGCAATTCCAAGTCTGAAGGTACAATTACGGTCAGCATCTGACTGGACGGTACCCGGGGAGAAAAAGGGAACGAGGTGGAGTTCACATACCCAGTATAAGCGCCCTGGTTGTTCTTCACCCACTGATCGCGCATCGTAGAGTCCCAGCCCTTGAGCTGGAAATACCTGGCATGAAGGACCGGCCCAGCTCTTTTCCCCTGCATGAAGATATACAACACCGTCCCGACCACAGGAATGAGGTTCAGGGGCAGATAGAGCAACGATCGCAGCAGCGCCCGTGGGTTCAGTTTCGCGAGAGGCCGACTGACAATCTTACCCAGTCTAGCCATCGCATCTTTCCCTCCCGATCGGGGCTTCATCTGGCGTCCTTGGGCTACAAGTGGCTCCTGGTCACGCGCGACCAGCGTGCCATCGAAGGTATCGATCAGGGCGTCTTCGACGAGGAATGACCGTGAGAGGACGTTTGTTATGGCGGAACTTTCGCCAAGAACGAGAATTGCTGCGGAGATAGCAGCCAAAGGGCCGCTAGTGAAGGCCATGATGGCCATTTGCGGCACGTACGTGAAGAAGAACATCATGCTCGTGACGCCTAGTCCCAATGTAATAGTTCGGCCGGCGCGGGAGATGAATGGACGCCAGAGGTCTTTGTGGGTTGCGAAGTAGACAATTCCCTGCGAAGAGCCATTGGTTTGCAGTTAGAGACGGTCAGAAAATATTCTTGAAGAACATAGCTACTTACCTTGAATGGATACAAGTATGCGCCAGACGTGATTACATCTTGAGCAACTGCTTGGGTGCTTTTAGCCTCGGCAAGCACTGCCTCTTTGATCTTTTCGGACATAGTGTAGCCTAGAAATTCAGTACCTTGGGGTGGAAAAGAATGAGTTTGGAAATCGTGGGGGAGGTGAAGATTGGAATATCGATAAGAGAATAGTTTGATGACGTCATTGACAAGAGCTTGAAAACAAGACCTCTGCCAAGCAGAAAAAGGCCGTGTAAAAGTAGAAGTCACATATTTTTAAGGAGATACATCCTTTATCTATTGGTGGTAAATACCAAGTATCCAACAATGAAGTAAAATCAACTAGATAAGTACGGAGTATGAGGGTGGTTGACCTGGGCCATTTGTATAACATAGACAATATTCCTGTAGTGGGGCAAGCTTATGTATATATTAGGTAGTACACTGTACTTAAATCAAAAATTGCAAGAAGAAAACACTCTGGCTAAGAAGGTGAGTAGGATCACATTCCGGGAAATGGAACCCATCCTCCAGCCACCATATCGACCGCCCTCTTCGTTGCTTCATCCAAGTCCTCCTTAGGTAGTCCTAAAATATCATTTGCCAATTCCATTGTCCTTGCATAATCGCTTGCATCTTTGGTCGGTGAAAATATATTTCCATAAATCATCTTAGGATACCCCGTAAAATCACCCTTAGCCAGCTCCTCGGCGCCGTCTGCAAGACGCTTAGCGACACTCTCGCGACGGATCTCCCAGTCAGAGTCTGTAGTTCCCAAGACACGATGCAGACTGTCGAGCATATCGCGTTGCGAGACGCGGAAGCTATTGATCAGGACTTCCTTGTTCTTGAAGTCGGCAAGCGCGGGGGTTGACCCCGACTCTGGCAGGCTCACGAGAGCGGCCAGTGCGCGACCGCATTGGTTCCAAGTGCTGACAGTGATGGTTCGAGTACCATCATCAAAAAAGGTCACCTTCCGGTCGTTAATCGTGAATCCAAACCATTGCTCGCCGCATGCCAGGCTCCATTCGTACCAGACACCACACGGCATTGTCACAGAGGATGAGACACCATTTTGAGCTTCATGTACTCGATTGAGCATGGCCTTTCTCAATGGATCGTCTTCCGCGTCCTCGGAGCTGACAGGGTACCCGTACACATTGGGCATGATGTAGGGGACACCGGCTTTTCCGGCAGCTGCGGTAATCCGACCATGAAGGTCTTCAGGGGCTTGGACGCTGAGAGTAATAACAAGGAATTGTTGTCCATTCAAGGCCTTGATAATTGAGTCCTCATCCTCGTAGTTAACTTGGACGGTTTGAACTCCATCTGGAAGTTTTCCCTGACTATCTTCGCGAGTGAGAGCTGTGACTGTATGCTGGCCAGTTTCCAGAAGCGACTGAGCGAAGATTTGGCCGATATGACCGGTGGCCTGTCGAGGGTTAGCAGTTACTCCTGAAAGGTGGCCTGGCAAAAGGCAGCCTATGAGGCGGTCGACCTACCCCAACAATGGCAACTCTTGTAATGGGTTTGGTGGACATGTTGAAAGAAGTGATTGATAGGAATTGATCTGAAATTTTGTCTCACAGGCTGCGCTGACGCTGGTTTATAACTGCTGGCTCTGGTTTATAATCGCCGACGCTGGTTGATAATCATCCACGACAGCTCCGGAGTCAAGCGGATATGTTCGGGGTATAGACGGAGAATGGACCAAAGCATCGGAGTTGCAACAAGTAAATCCGAGCCTCTGAACCAACCACTCCTCACATGTTCCGTGTGTCTGAATGCATTGGCAAATAAAAGGACAAGCATCCATCTGGATATACGTCAGTCATGCTGGAGCCTGGCATTATGAGCTTATGCACGACGAAATCCATGGTTGTTTAGAGCCCCATTCGCCACGTTTGCTTTGTAATTTGTCATCGACACGGCAGCCTCGTGATGGGGTGGGCGATTGAACGGGGCTGTAAATTCAGCCAAAGGCTTCGTTAGTCGAAGCTTACTTAGTTTGGGCAATGCAGATGCTGATCGCTCTTGAAGAAGCTGGACTCGGTATATGTATGTTGTTAAAGAATGGACGAGGCGCGTTTGAATGTCTCTGAAGTTGAGATTAACGAGATAGAATAGCAAATAGAAAACGCTAAGAGAATGACGGCTTTCGTTGTCCTATGTGATGTCGTGTAACATGTGAAGTAGACAAAAGTTGAAGCCTGATACTCAAGGCAAGCAGGCAACCACAGGCAGCCGTGAAACAACATCCGACAACCACTTTGAAGCATCGTCACTAATCGAACGAAATCGAACGAAACTCAAATATTCCGCTTCTCCGCCTGCCATGAGCACTTCCACATCTGCGGGTTCTAAGCCGGAGGTGTCCCTGACAGGTTCCACTGGGGCCTTTACCACTGGGGCCTTTATGGTCGAGTTGCTGATCTGGAACGGGTCGCCCTTTAAAGATCACTGGGCGTATTTTGTTCGGTCGCGCGCGGATCCTGATATCGGCGTAAAGATACACGCGACCGGCAATGTGAGAAGTGGCTTCAAGTTCGAAATTAAGCGGAGTGAAAACCTCCAAACAACCGACGACATTCCTTCAACAAGGGTCCCGTTGCAGTGGGTCGAAGAAAAGTACTTTGATGAGAAGGCTATGCTCAACGACGGGGAATACAAAGTCGACAATACGCCAGTCTGTCGCTTCGAAAGCAGTGTTTACGAGATTGAAGCACCAGGGAAAAGTTTGAACACAGTCAGTGATGGGGTGAGTCTAATAAGCTGCGTTTCCAATCCGGTCCCTATAATGCATGGTATGAGTTTGGAGCTACACTTACGAGCAATTATACATGGCGCCTTATTGCCTCATTGGAATATGTAGGCTAATTCGGATGTTCTAGGCCAAACCAGGTAGGAAAGTTATTCAGAGAGATTGCCAGACATGGATTGTCGAATCTGCTGATCAACTTCGCCGTGACAACATTTTTAGCGAGGAGGTTGTCGCTTATCTTCACGCAATCAAACAGTAATTGTGAATTGAACCATCTCATATGGCCCCGCTTGGTCTGATGATATGCACATCGTCCTATTTGTCCAATGGTATTGCTTCAGACATAGATGATTCTGACACAGAATATTGTTCTGCAACGCTAAGGATCAACTCCACGGGCAAGTGGGTCAGATCCGGAACAACAACGCGCTCCAACAATAATCATGGAATCCTGAACGGTTCGACAACACTGCGCGGTCTTCCTTTCTCGGGTTCCCCGCATCTGCAGCTGAAGTACGGAGTACTTCGTACAGAGTAATACATGTCCTATCTAAGTAGGGATAGACAACTGCTTATTTTTGTGACGAGCCTCGGGAAAGGGGTTGCGCATGTGTCGATCCTAATTTCCGTCCTTGGACCCCGGGTTCATGAAGAACATGCAAGTAGCGCTATTTAGTGCAAGCATGAACTCATCACAGTGAATAATTAATATATAAGCACATCTAAGGCAATACCACGCGACCTCTTCGAATGTTGGATTGGGCCATAAATTTGCAGGTGCATGACAGGCAATTTAGAACATGACAATTTATTAATCACTTAGTTATGTAGTGACCTAGATTGTAGTTAGATGCAACGAATGCTGTAAAGAGGGAGAAAAAGATAGCCAAGGTGTATTGTATACTCTTAATGATCCCCATCTCCTTTTCTTTAGAATACAAGCCCCTATAGTGGAACCTCGCGTCACAGGGACTGTGCCGTCTTAGAGATATCGACGCAGACTTTAGATCTCAAACTTCTCAGGAACAGGTTTTGATAGAGCACTCCCACAGCCATGTGTATTGTTTATATTAGCTGCATATGCACAAAATGATTGGTCCGAAGTGGTATGGAAGAAACCCCTGGATTTTGTCGTGTGACTCCACGTTACCTTGAAATATTTGCTGTAGCCCCCGGCAATACTCAGTGATCATGTCAATCCCGATCTGGAGTCATCCCGCGACAGCCGTTTAGTGACATCTATTGACATGTACTATGGCTTTGAAATCGCTGAACGCAGTGCGATCATCGTCGCGGGGATGCGCTACGCGAACACAGACCCCTCTGTGGGTTTTTTTTCAGTGGGGTCAGCCAGCCACTGCCAATGAGATATGCGATGCTTGAGATCAGCGATCGTCAGCAACTCAATCTCGCTTGACTATTGATTCCGAATTTAGCATGGCATCGAGCGAAGAATTTTCCCGGCCCTAACAAGGGGGGTCGTATAAAGACACTGAGACCTAGCTCCTTGGTCGAACTGTTTCCGTTAATTTGACCCGTTCTCATAGCGCTATATTCATTATGCTTTTCGGTCGCCTTCTCGGCGTGGCCGCGCTCTCTGCCATCGTGAAGGCTGTCGAGTTATCAGGCTATGAATACATTGTGGTTGGCTCTGGGGCAGGAGGTGGTCCTTTAGCAGCGCGACTCGCATTGGCAGGTCATCGCACGCTTCTTATCGAAGCTGGAGACGACCAGGGAGCGAATTTGAACTATACTGTCCCGTCTTTCTCTGCAAAGGCTTCCGAAGATGAGGCTCTGGCATGGAACTTTTACGTCAAGCACTACGCCGATGATGCTCGGCAAAAGCTCGACTTCAAGACGACATACGAAACTCCCGATGGCAAAGAGTACACGGGGTTGAACCCTCCCGCGGGTTCCACAATGAAAGGCACACTTTACCCCCGTACCGGAACGCTTGGTGGTTGCACGGCACACAACGCTCTCGTTACCGTCTACCCGCACGAGTCTGACTTCGAATATCTCGCCACACTCACCGGAGATGGCTCATGGTCACCCGACAATATGCGCAAGTACTTCAAGCGCATGGAGAACAACCGCTACCTGCTCCCATTGCTTAAGGGCCACGGCTATGATGGTTGGTTGAGCACTGAGACCGCACCTTTAAGCATTGTATTGGAAGACCCCCAGCTTCTGAGCCTGCTGCTCGGCGGAGCATTTTCCCTAGGCAATGCGACCAAATCAATTTTCAACATCGGCACACTCCTCGCAGGAGACGGAAACTCGGCCGCAAGCAACCGCGACACCAAACCAGGATACTATCAAATCCCCATAGCATCCGATGAAAGCTCTCGTAACGGTCCTCGCGAGTTCTTGACCACCGTCAGGGACGCGAAGAACGCCGACGGGTCTAAGAAGTTCCCACTTGACATCCATATGAACTGCCATGTCACTAAGGTCACCTTTGACGAGACTGTCACCCCTCCCCGTGCGACCGGGGTGGAGTTCCTAGACGGCAAGTATCTATACAGCGCCAGTCCCCGCCACAAAACCGCTGGCAAGGGAACGCCAGGCTCAGCAGCAGCTTCGCGGGAAGTTATCGTCTCAGGCGGCGTGTACAACTCGCCCCAGATCCTGAAGCTCAGTGGCATTGGACCAGGAGAGGAGCTCCAGGAGTTCGGGATCAAGGTTATCTCTAACCTTCCCGGTGTCGGCACGAACCTACAAGATCACTACGAGACTGCGGTGCAAGGTCAAGTCCCTAAGGACTTCGTCGCCCTCAAGGGATGCACGTTTGATAGTGGTGATAGCGATCCTTGTCTTGACCGTTGGAATAAGCCAATCCTTGGTAACCACGGTATCTACTCGTCGAATGGATTCGGAGCCGCGATGTACTACAAGAGTTCTGTCACTGCAGATGATAGCTTCGATGTGTTCGTGTTTGGCGGGCCTATCAACTTCCGTGGATACTTTCCTGGCTATGGTGTTAATATCACCGAGCACCATGACTGGTTCACTTGGGCGGTTCTAAAAGCTCACCCTCGTAATACCGCTGGATCTGTAATGCTCCGCTCTGCCGATCCGCTCGATATGCCTGAAATTGTTTTCAACTACTTTGACACTGGCTCTGGGGACTATGGAAAGGATTTGCAAGCTATTACTGAGGCTATTCGTCTTGCACGTGGCGCCTTCGACCGTCAGTTGGTTGATGTGTCTGAGATCCTCCCTGGCGATGATGTCCAGACTGATGAGGAGATCCATGATTATATCAAGAATACGGCCTGGGGTCACCACGCTTCGTGCACGTGTCCTATTGGAACTGATGATGATCCTATGGCTGTTTTGGATTCCAAATTCCAAGTTCGTGGCGTCTCGGGACTCCGTGTTGTGGATGCCTCTGTGTATCCCCGTATTCCCGGAACGTTCACTGCTGTTTCCACTTTCTTGGTGGGTGAGAAAGCAGCTGATGTGATTCTGGAGGCAGCGAAAGCGAGCCAGTGAGCTTAATTGTTTACTACCCATATATTGTAATCATCACGAGAGCGGGATTCACTCCTTGGATACGCCGTTCGTATATATTTGAGCGATTTCTGCTCCTTTAGAAATCACAATTAATTTTCAAATAAATTCTTTCACTTGAAAATATCATGGAAATGAACATATATTTCTCCAATGGTCCCGAAGGGTTCTAGCGCAGTAATATGTTTGCATTCACGGCCGCTCTAACCCAAAAATAAAAAGGTCATCTCCCTCTTCTTGGAAATCCCCCACAACCCTGAAGCCGCACTTTTTTAGTACACGGCCACTAGCAGCATTCCTCTTTTCGCAAAGAGCAAAGGCCTTCTCCGTCTCTGCTGAACAAGCATCTTCACCGTCAACCGTTCGACGCGCCAGATTCCACCACATCTTCAACAACAATTGCAAAGCCTCTGTTGCGTACCCTTTCCCCCAACAAGATGGATGCACAGCGTATCCAATCTCAGGGAAAGGGTCTACTTGATTGAAACTGATAGATCCAACGACTCGCTCCTCTGTTTCAGGGATTGACTTGTCCACGATGGCATAATTAAATGAACGCCCGATGATATCGGATGGACCACTTTTGAACACTTTGGTTGCCATCCATTCACGGGTTTCTTCAATTGATTTAAATGGTATTTTAGGAGAGCTGACACAGTTAGCATGGTGAAGATTTCTCAATAGGTGGTGATATTTCAACTAACTTCATTTCTGCCACCTCGGGCCGGGAACGAATGTCGAAAAGTGCGGCGGCATCGGCGTCAGTAATTGGCCGAAGAAGAAGTCGGTCGCTTTCAATTGAGGGCCCTGGTGATGGGACGATCACGTAGACAGATTGTTCAGGTAGGGACATTTTGAAGGTGTTTGGTTTCTTAGTACTTCGGGGAAGATCGTGAAGACATTAAAAGAGAAATTTGATCGATAGCGCTAGGCTAGTCTCGGAGCCCGATTGACTCACAATAAACATCTTTTATATCGGCATCCCGAATGAGTCACTGTCTGCAACATCTCTATATACACGTCTACTTTTATGCCTTTTCTATATCCTAGCATTCCCAATACTAACAGTTGGAGTAGGCGCGACGATATGTAATTTTTATTTTTGATGCGCGAAAACGGGCCCCGCACCGGCGGCCAAAGCCCTAAATCAGCCCCGGGGGCGCCGGTCTTCGGCTCTCGGGCGCTCTAATTGACCGGGGTTCGACATCATGTTCATTGTGAAATGTTACAGTTCAAACAGAAGAACATATCACAGGATTTAATTTGCCATATAGCAAATTATGACCACAAAATATTGAGTTTCCTGAGCCCGCGCTTCGGCCTAGGTTCTGGCTCGGGATTAGTGTGCCAGCTTTCGATGAACGACCGAATCGGAATTTCCGCCAACGGGATGATCTTCGTTTTTGCCCAGAATTTGTAGGCAAAATACACAATAACGATGAATGGCAGGTTGAAATATGTCGACACAAAGGTTTCAGTGTTCCAATGACCGTGCATAAATGTCGTAAACCCTCCAGTGAAGAAAAGAACAATGTACACGAACAACGAGATCCAAGTTGTGTATGGCTGAAAAGGTGCTGCCCATGGAAGCTCCTTGTGGCGGTCAATTCCCTGCTTCTTGCATCCATAGTAGAATCTAAGGTAGACAATACAGATGCAGATCAAGTTCACTAGAGTCGAGATAGAGACAAGATTCTGTAGCCATGTGAATGCTGTACTGGCCGAGCTGGAAATACTCATGTATCCAAGAGCCATAAAAACGCCATAGAGCGCTACAGCGACGTAAGGGATACCGAAGCGGTTGATGCGTTTGAAGACAGCAGGTGCGTGACCCTGGGTTGCCATACCGTACAGGATTCGGGAACCACCCAAGATATTGCTGTTCCCGGAGGACCATGCTGAGGTGAGAACAACGGCGTTAATAATTGAGGGAACCACCTTGATACCAGCATGGCGGGCTGCGATAACGAAAGGGGACTGCGAGGCTGTCCCCGACGAACCTAGGAGATTTGGATCGGCAGACGAAACAATCAGGCCGACCATGAAGATTGTTATCACGTAAAAGAGCAAGATTCGGATAAAGATACGTCTGGCAGCCATAGGTATAGCGTGACGAGGGTTTCGAGTCTCGGCTGCAGCGAGAGTGAAGTTTTCGATACCAGAGTACGCGAAGAGAGCGTTGTCGAAAGTTTTCCAAAACCCTAAAAACCGACCAAGGGAGCCGCCCACACCCAAGTACTGGACGAAGGGCCCATAAGGGGCTTTCCAGTAGGCAAAGCCGATGGACGAGTTATTCGGGGCTCCGCCGCAAGTGATCACCTATCAAAATAAATTAGCATGGAAAGTGAACATTCTGCCGAAGGACGCAATCACCAGAGCCATTATGTTTATGCCTATAATGAGCATGATCTTGAGGATCGAAAATCCAAACTCGAGCTCTCCATACACACGAACAAAGACAAATGCGGTAGAAAGCATAAGGAAACCAAGCACGGTGATCCATATCGCATTGTTGACCGTAATCCAGAATTCAATAATAACAGCCGCAGCGACAATTTCGGACGGAATTGACACAATGTAGGAATATACTTGGTTCCACCCGTTGGCGAACGCTAGCGCGGGGTCACAGAAGATCTCTGCGTATCGAATAACACCACCATTGAGAGGTACCAGGGCTCCCATCTCACCAACTCCGAAGACAACACTCGAAACAGTCGCCCCAATGATTGTATATGCCAAGAACGCACCCAGTGGTCCAGCTTCCACAATGGCTCGGCCCGAACTGAGAAAAATACCAGTCCCCACAGTGCCGGCGAGGGCAATCATTTGGATGTGTCGCTGATGGAGACCCTGTTTGAACTCGTGAATCTCCTTGAGCTGGCCTGCGGCATTCTCTACATCGCTGCTTTCCCTTATTTCCCCGGCATCGTAGTGGGGCATTTTCAGATTGGATACAATGGGGGTATCAATGCCATTGCCGTCCTTCGAAATATGGTTCAGAATATGTGACATTGAAAGCTCCGTGGCGTAACACAAAATCGTTGAAATTGGAAAGACAGGAGTTTAAGAGGAACAAGTTATTCCTGCTTGTACTTTGTGCATAACGAATTCTTCTCTTAATCTCGCAGATCATGTCGGGCACATCGAACAAGCAACTACTTAGAAAAGGTTAATTTCCAATCCACATCTTGTTGTTGGCTAATAAGCCGGCTAGCCCCTTCCACAAGACTTCTCGCGTAAATCAAAAAAGAAAAAAAAATTGGCTCAGAGTTCGATAGGGCAGCTATTTACTCCCCGGGTCCTCGTCTGCTGCCCAGATGTGGATCGGGATCATCTCCTCGAGAGTGGGCCACACTTTGTCAGATTGGAATTGTTCCAGGGCTATCTCAAGATAAGCAGAAATATTTGTGGCGATTCAAAGGCCTTTACAAGTTCAGTGAGAGCCTAGGGAAGAGTATGCTAAAGTCGTGGTTAGTACAAACTATACTTGAAATGGGTACAAGTAGCACTCACTAGAATGGCACCCGTCCTTGTACTGTTGTCAATGGACTTATATACAGCAAACTTGGCATAGGTGATCTTGTCGCGAAGGAGTTGAGGTACGTCGACATCTTGACCAGTCCTTGTAAGTCCACTCTGACGCGTTTTTTTGCTGGTTTCCGGCGAGGTGTTATCATAGGGGTAGCGAACATCTTTGAACTCGAGCCTGCAGATAGTTGAGAACAATGTTGTCCAGCCTGGAACGCACCAAGTTGAAAAGGTCGAAAATACTTGGTTCAACTGGCAACGTTGGACCATGCTTCAGATGAGATAGCTCCTGCCATGACTTTCACAGAGTCCAGAAGTTTCAAGCACGCCAAAGGTTCGACCAAAATATTCGTATTCTAAGACGAGGAAAAAAGAAAGGTTAAGCCGAATTCGTCTGATGATAAGCAGACGACAAAAGAAAAACGATGGAATGACATAAGAATATACCGTGCTTATATGCTTTTTGTTGAAGTGGAAGAAACAGCAATTATATCTGTGAACTTACCAGTATCGAATTTGGGGGTTACTCCCACATTTTGCCTCCAGAACATCCATTCTCACAGATTGGGCCATCGTTCGTACGTCCCTCGTTCACATACCAAAAGCCTTCATCGTCCCACGATCTATCATTCAAACCAAACAATGTCAGTCTCATAGAGTCTGAGATGAATATCTGCCCTTCGCAAAATTCTCCCAATCCATCCACGTCGAACCACACAATGGAAGGCTCAGGAGGGGTTCGCTGAATCCGCATTCTTACCTGCAGACATACCCGGTTCCCGATACGAGTTTGTCAAGGTGGATGCTATACGAATCTGAACCAGGCAGGGTGATCGCATGACTGACATTGGATTCTTCGTATAGACCAGTCGATCAGCGGCATGTTGAAAGGAAGAATCTACTCCGTATCAGAGCCCTTCCATTTCGCTTGTCGGTACGCTCGAGGGCACTGCCTCGGGTCGGGGTACATCATCGTGTTTAAGCGGGGTATGCATAGATGTCTTAGAACATCGGGAGCGGATAAACCAGTTGAACTTTCGATCAACCGAAGAATTCCTTGATTCAGATTCTCCACACTGAGATCATTATTTGCTTCATATGGAGATGATCAACAAGAGCTCCAGCTAGTGTTGACAAATTGGCGGGGTCACGGGGTAATTATAGCGCTACCAAGTGCATTGTCTTAAATGCGGAGTACATGCAGTGGCGGTGATGCGCATGTCTCACCTGCTACTTGTGTTGATTGGCCGTGGAACGGACCCGTGGGCGGTGGCCTGACAATCCAAGACATGGGTATGTCTTAGATCAAAGGCCTCACGGATGTACTCTATACATCATCGACTATCAGACCTATATAAATACCGCCATTTCCTTTCTTCATAGGGAGGGAAACAGATAAGCCAAGCTTCTATTGCAAAACAAAAAGCGAAATACCAACCATGAAGACCTCTTTGATTGCACTTAGTGCCCTCCTCGGCCTGGTCTCAGCCCAGAATGCCATCGTGAACAACCACTGTGCTACCTCCGTGTATGTGCAGTCGTTCCCTTACGATGGTAGTGCCCCGGGCCCTCTCACCACAGTTCCCAAGGGAGGAACTTTCTCCGAGAAATTCAGAGTATCTGGCTCGGTACGCTACTCCATCCTTTTCGGTCTGCGCAATACTCTATACAGCAAGGGAAACTGACTAGAGATGGAATGTGCAGACGGTTAAGGTCGCCAAGACAAAGACGCTGGATAAGCCTCTCTTCTTTGGCTATTCGTTCTCGTCCAACCCGGACTATGTGTACTGTGAGTGCATCTAATCTATCTGTTAGCTAGGAATCTTTTATTAACTGCATCTTTCTTCAAGATGAGCTGAGCACGGAATGGGGCAACCCCTTCGCAGCGAATCCCAACTCGCTCAGTCCCGGGGATGGCTGTGAGGTCTTTGACTGTGCGGCCAATGATGCCGCCTGCTACAGTACCCCAGCTCACAAGAAGGTCTATGGGTGCCCCCAGCCAGTCACCTTGACGGCGGACCTGTGCCAGTAACCATGTCGCCCACACTCTGTGGTGTGATAGGGCTATGGAGATATGTCTCTGTTTTCTTGTCCTTATTTCAACCTGTCGCAGCCCGTCTCGAGGATGACTATATGTGAGAATGAGACGGGCGTTTGTCGTGATACTACTATTACGTGGGAGACTGTAAATCATAATGAAAGAGAAATACAACACACAACCACAACACTAGTGGCACCCTATACTCTCGTGGCAATTGTGATCAGAACCCACCACTTCTCCGCCCCCTTTGTAGAGAAAAGAATTGTCGGCCGCTTATACGGTCTTGTGTGGCCTTTTTAATAGTCTTCTTAGATATTCTTTTTAGAACTCATATTTTTCTAGTTTAAATGGAGCCCCTATTATTGAAAAGGAATCGGATGCTTTCCAGGTTCTTGACCAAAATAACGTAAGCGATGAGTGTAGGTAGCCCTGGAGATATTATCGAAAGACAGAATTGGACCAGCGAAGATTGAGTCTTAGCCATTTCGCTCCTTCTATACTTTCCCTCCGCTCTTTCTCCCTTACGCTCGCTATACGAACACAGTCAAGCTAGAGAGAACTTTCTCCTCATGCGCCTTCCTCATAACATTCATAACAAATACCACGGTGGACCAACACTCACCCAGATTATTATCGCCAAGGTCGACACCAGAAGCCAATACGCTCGATCAACAATCCAGTAGCTTCGCCCCTCACTCCCCAACAAGCCCATTTGGCTCGACTAGGTCGGGACATTCTGGCACAACACCAATTACAAATCATCAACTACGCTACCGAACTCGGAATCAGAGGCAACTTTCAATCAGAATATGTACCACCCTAATCCGACAGCATCATGAAGACCCTAGAGTGCAGATCATGAGGGCTCAAACAGCCCCCACACCAGCCTTGAGGGCAGCACGTACAGATTCCAATGGGAAGGTTCGACGGGTCTGATTAAAGTCATTCCCTCTGGGCGCCACGATGCAGCCACCGATCGGTTCACCGACATCGTCAAGTCGAAACTTGGTACAATGGGTATACCATTCGAAGAATCGCTGTGGGTCGGGTCGAAGACATAATAGCCCGCCATTGACAAATGGAAACAAGCAGACCATACCTTTGTTCCCCCGCCTCGCTATACTATCTCAGTTGGAACTGTTGGGTAGCCAACCCTTGTTATCGAAACAGGGGTTTCTGAATCCCTCCCTCTCTTCCGCAAAAATGCGAACAAGTTGTTCGCTGATTCCAACGAAGAGGTCCGTATTGTGACCCTTATCTCGTTCCAGCGACGTCGGCCTTATTTTGAGAAATGGCAGCCCGCCTCGCCAACCTCCCCAAGGCCCTCACCCGCCCTATCATTCAACCCCTGTGCGCCCAATCCCCGAACAATCCCCCCATAGTGACACAGCCGGCCCAGTTACAAAAGCCCTATTGTTCCCACGGGATTGAAGTGGCTCCAAGCCCTGTTGTCGGAAGCCCAAACTTGGTTACCGGAGATCCTATGATCGTGGCTTTTTTGGCCATCTACGACCGCCCCCCAGCAGCGGGGGAAATTGACATTATCCTACAAAGTGGAGATTTCCAGCGCATGACGAATCTCCTTTTTTAACTGTTCGTCCTTTTTTCGTGCTCGCTAGTTCTAGTCTCACCCCACGGTGGTACTGATGTTGCCTGTTGAAGCTTGTATTGAATTACCACTAAGCTAAATGCAACCTCTATTTTAACTCTACGCAGTGAATTTTCTAGAATCTCTGTGGTTCTACGATGGCTTTTCGGGGCCATCAAAACAGCGGGTATTCATGGATGATACTCAATATGAGCTAGGTTATGGAGATTTTTGTGAACCTCCTCATAATACTGTAAGGTAAGATTTCATGCTCTCAACAACCAATTTCAAGTATGTACAAGATGGAAATTCAGCAAATGACATGGTCTGGATGTATCTACTCTATGTTTCGACCCCAAGGACACGGGGGTGACTCGTCGACGTGACCCGTCGACGGGGAATGCTTCTCGTTTGCCGAATGGTAAAATCAATGGCTCTGGTGGCCATTGAGTTGACATGTATGGGACTGTACAGATGTGTGATCCCGATCCAACATGTTCCACTTCCCCAGATGACTGAGGGTTCTAAATAAAGCGAAAATATAGATAATTGGGTTGGTATCATGTCTTTTCTTTTACTTCAAACCCCATGGAACCTAGAACAACTGGGAGATTCTGGGTTGTTTGGACTATTGATCTGGTGAATAGATGAGCACAAAACCTCAGCTCGCAGTGTGAATGAGTATACAGATTTTATGGGTCAATTGCAAGATGAGGGACTCAATAGTTCCCCCCTTTGAGTCAACTATCAGCCGACGATGAGTCGCGCCATCTCCTCCAGTCCCAGCTTCGTTCCATACCATTATCGTGATTCTCCCAGCTCAATCGGACAATGTGCCTGGAGCATTTGACGCTTCCATGTTCGGTGTGACTCTCCACTCGCTCATACTGTTCATTGACCAGATCTCGGTCACTCTGTCGGATGGCTACCAGTCCGCTGAAAAAAAGCGGAATAATGACAAGCGGCACCAGATCAGGGGCCTCGACTTCCGATATATTGGACATGGCATAGTGTAAAGTGTCCTGAACCTTTTCCCCGCCAACTTCAGCTGGGTGTACGATGATGTAGGCCCAGATAAACAACGCAAACTTATAGGACTCGTGCAAGTTGTCATCCTCATTGATAAGATCTGTTCCTACCGAGTCCCAATCATCAAGATCCTGCCATATATGAACCGCATCCGAAATGCGAAGCGGGCTTAGGTTGAGTTCTCCATTTGTATTGCAGTGCAGAGAATGAATCCTCTGTATCAGATCGAACAAATCGCTATCCGCTTCCAATGCAACAGCCTGGTCGTATTGATTCCTATGGTTCATTGCGTTAGAAGTAGAGCTCAATGCATAGCCTGCAGAGGAAGTAAGTATACGACTTGCCTGGTATTTAAAACGAAGTCCAAAAAGAAATCAAGAAGAAATGCATCCATTGCCACAATAAACGCTTTTGAGTTCGTTTCACGCGTTTTCAAGCGGAAATGAAAGGAAAAAAGAAAGTTGGAAAACTTGAAAAGGAACAGAAAAATCTTCAAACTTACCAATTGAGAGCCGGGGACATGAAGGTCTTCTTTTCTACACTAAGGGGAAAAGACACAATGTGTTCGATGTATCTATGTATATGAGCGCTTGTGGCGGTTAGCTTTAATGCAAGTATCTCTTAGGTAACTTAGTGGGTCGTCAATTACATCGGCTGGTGCTGTTTTTGGTGGCATTACGTATTCTGCCATGACAATATACCGCGATTCTTTTGGCGTTCAATTCCCTGGGATTAAGCTAGAGCACAAGTGGAATAGGAGCACACTATGAATACATACTACCCAAAAACAATATAAGCGAAGAATTTTTTCGACCTTCAGGGATCCACTCCGATCCTCCGGTCTCAAAGGATCAAGTTTCAAGCACACTTAATATGTCTTGATGAAAAGGGTCTCATTTTCGACCCACCGGTGTTCGGCGTTTCGGCGTCCATCTCTACGACCCCGGGCTTGACAGAGCCAGATGCCAACAGCCAAGCTCGTCCTCGACCTTCACTTTCCTTGGAAATGGGGGAACCGTAGATAGATCACACTGAAGTTAGGCTAATCCGCGGTATCTGCGCTGCATAAATGAATTGGCTATCTTGATGGCGGCATATGAAATGATGGACACCATCATTCGAAATGCCCGAAAACCAAAGACCAAAGCCTGCCCAGTCAAATTAGAAAGATATTTGTCCCAATTAGCCATTTTTTTTGATATTATGAACCACATAAGAGCAAGTGTTAGAGATCAACCAAAGTCTTCGAACAAGAAAGATAATAGGTCCCAAGTATCAATGTAAAGTATAACGCGAGATATCTTCAGAGCAGGCTGTGCAATGAGGAGGGTGATTGGCATCATCCGCTTTACGGACACCACTAAAGTGCAAAGAGGGTGTCAATCTACTCATGCATCTATCGTACTCGAACTACTTTTAAGATATAAATCAATGGGCAAAATCAACTATTATGTTGAACACTAGATGGCGTATATCCAAACACTGACCATCTTGCTCGGCTTTTGGAGTTTGTTTCAAACCCCGAATGCAGAATCCATCCAGATCCACCAGCTTCGCTCAATCAGAGCTATAATATAAACCCTTTCATTCGTTCAAAATAATACAACCAAAGCAGCCATTGCGGCAAGTCATGCTCGTCATTGGACAGTCCCCGCATCCCTAAATTGAAGTTGCTCTGGTTATAGTTTATGGATTAGGATTGATTTAGGTTTGGTAAAATATTCTTCCTCTAAGCTCGTGAATGTGGCGTTATATCCCTCCGGACCGGGCTGAATTGAGGCGATATTACTCGGCACCTTCGTGATAGACACTCTTTCTAAAGCCCACTCCGAAGCCTACAATCAAGGCAAGGAGAGGTTTTAGGTCGGGTTGAGGGTGTGCGGAAGTCACGTCACTTCCTCTGTTTGCCCCCAACACTTAGTCTCCAGTGGAGATGGCTTCTTTCTCTCATCCACGCATCAAAAGATTTCCCAAAGTAGCCCACAGTTCATCGTAGATATTCTATATCATCTCTCTCGGGTTATAAGCGCCATGCTATTGACGCCTATGTATTTTATTTCCTCTGCCGAATGGACATCGATTTTTTAAGTCTCTAGTCAGAAGACATCTAGAGCACGATCTTTATTTCTACCGGAGAGGGGTTGGAACTCGAGTAAGCTAATTTTGTGTGCGAACTATCACAGATACCCGCAGTCATGATTTGCGCCTTTGGCATACGATGGTCCATATTGTCATTAGCCACAACCTTCAAGCCTTTACTACTTCCCTAGAAGATACAATTGATGAGACTTGAGCCAATAATACCCAATAATATCTGAATTTTTTCATGGGTACGATTCTCGAGGTTCAATAATATCACACAAGACAAAACAAAACAACTCGAGTTTATCTTGCCCTTGCCATTGGCACAGCTGCAAATGATCATAGATTATTTCTGACGTGTTACATACCATTTTTTCTGTTGTTAATTGCTCAATCCTGTCAATCCGATGCGTGAGATCCCGTAACCCTAGGGCGACCTCGGGATTCCCTCGGTAGTCGGTAACTTATTTGCACTATATTTCCTCTTAGCCTTCTGCTATCATGCTTGACCATATCTGTTTCCAGAAAGATTGTAGTAGCAGACTTACCCGTTGTGCAATACAGCTTCCTTGTCCCTCGCAGCACCTGAATGTGCCACCGTTAACGCAGAATTGTCCCTTCATGGAGCACCCAGCTCTCGCTTCCAGATCTGGACCGGCTTCGGCCATTGCGAAGGCAGCAAGTGCAAACAAGACAATAAAAAACTTCATGTTTGAGGAGTTCATTTGTAAAGATTGATCAATTTTCTTTTGTGAGGTTTGAGGAGATAATGTAGAAGGCGAATTCAGGTGTACTATGAAGGAATTTGTTTTATCACTGTAATGGGAATCTAGGTTTATATAGTGCCGATACTATCTTAATTGTTTCTTTAATGCAACAATGTAAGCAATAGTTTGCAGATCCTGAGGGTTAGACGCCTAATGAAACGATGCCTTACCAGTTCGCAATTTGAGGTCACATTGCAGGAATTGATTAGTTGAAACTGTAATTCCTTCGAGCTGAAAAAGGAAATATGTCAGAAATTGCAGGGCTCCGCTCAAACAGCAGAAAATCTGTGTAGATCGACCTTGGCATTTTTGGAATATGAGTGACCATTCGTGGAAATTATCCCTGTATGATGGAGATCATGTAAGGGGAGAAGGAGATGTTCAAAGTCTAAATATATATATAGTCAAACTCAGTGATAACGAATCAATTGAACACGGGCAAATATTCGTTAACTTGAGGTTTTCGCAAAATCCATCTCCAATACATTCAATATATATATATGGCTTACATACAGATTTATACACCAAAAAAGCTTCTAATATCGCTCTAACCCTATATTCATAGCTCTCATACCTATAGCAATTCTAAAGCTTTATAATTGACTGATTTTCACCTTAAGAGGAAGTTCGGAGGTACTGCTCTCGGAGAGCGACCTTCTAGGAGGTGAACTGATCTTGGAGATTTTGATCAGGGGGACATTTTAATTGGCCAAAATGCCGACTAAGCCTTGATATCATGAATTTTGTATGGAGGAAAGTCGTAGTAAGCAGGGAAATTCGTTATTACTATGCTGGATTAATTGAAGCACCGGTATTTTTCCGTAAAGACCAGGTATTCGTTTTATCCGGGTTCGTTATAGCTGGGTTTTAGTGTATCCTCTGTTATTATTTACTAACCTACTTCCAGGGTTGATTTCCTCTGTCTTGGTCCTGACTCCTGTTCCATATTCGTGCTCAGGTCTTGCCGCTTTTTGCTGAGTACAATATATCCACGTCATAATATCATGAATTTTCGAAGCAAGATGCATCAGTTAGGTCAGGGATAGGTAGAGTATACTTCCTGGGTAGGGTTAGTCGTGTTTGTTTGCCCCCCCCCCCCCCCCCCCCCCTGCCCACAATATATTATACGCTTTCATATTTTAGCTTCTGCCAAATCCTTATATTATGTCTAGATGGCATTGCTGTGTTAGCTCGAATGCGATCTACATCCACATTGAAAAGGGAACTTGACAAGGCCTTCAGATCATGAGGATTTGCAGTTCTGCACGATACTCATCCCATTGAATCTATAAGATGATGCAGAGATTCTACCTATTTTTTGCTTACAGCGACGCATTCAACGATGAGGGTCAAATGCGTATCCACAGTGAGGATCACATAAATTATTCTTTAACATCTTTAAGCCAAAAAGCACACTCGCAAATCTCATTTTTGAAATTGCATAAGAAACTAGACTAGACATAAGAATTGTATCGACTAAACTAGTAAGACCGTATTTCAACGAAGTCGGGCTTTTCGGTGATCCTATTGGACACCCCGCAACCCCGCAGTGTGCACGGACTTTCCTCTGGCTTTTAAACATCTTAGGCCCCTTTAACCCTAGTCCATATCTCACTTGGGCACGCCTACATTATCTGCCTATCCAGCCATGAAAAGACGTCAAAATCACTCCTGTGAGCAGTGCAGGAAAGCCAAGAAAGCCTGTGATGGCTATCTCCAAAATGGAAATGCCGTGTTCATGGAACCTGAATTGCTTAATCTCGGAATCCAGGATGGTGCGTTCCTTCCAGTATTCTCAGGCAAATCTGAGTAACGGGCTAAGAAATATTCACCTCAAAGATTTAGGCCTGATCTCTCCATGCTCGTACTGCGTCAGGACAAACAAAATCTGCGGTCTGAACCCTCACTGGGCAAAAGGACATCGTTCAACAGACGAGCAGAGCTTTTCCACTGAAAATGTCAATCTGGATGATGAACGAGGCCAGGACAAAAGGCAGCGAATCCAGTCACCAGAGAATGAGATCGAGGCATCTGTAACACCCATTTGTATGGTGACTTGCCAAAATTCATCCAAAGAGTCTTTACATGTGCCTCTCCCAGAAGATAGCGTGGTTGGTTGGGACACGCTGTCTACGCATGTTGCCCCTCATCCCATTGGCCATTCAAACCCTGCGGGGGCTCTTGCGGGATACGAGAATTGTTCGTACGCAGAGGACTCGGGACAAGTGAACGGCATAGCTGCATCTGACAGCCAGCACATGGACCAGATCGAATATAGCGGTTTGGATACCCTCATGAATTTAGAAATGGCCGATTCCACCTCTGATGATTCTCACTATTCCGACTTTAATTTACAAAGCCTCCTCCCTGATACCTCCCAAACGTCTTTGTACAATCCCAATAATCCCGCTTACTCCATATCTTCATGGGAGGAGACGGGCCAAAGCGAACTGAGGAGACGGCAAAAAACACGCAAAGATTTCAGCGACTCGCAAGACTACTTTGTCGTCCCACTATCTTTATTTGGTGCCGGCCATATTGCTATGGAAAATTCCAACCGAATACTCATATCTGAGAGCCTTCTGCAAATTTACCATGATGTTCTAGAGAACAACCTCAGCTGCTGGTTGGCAGAAGATACGTGCCCATACAAGATGCGGCAGAGGCGACACGATCACCTCTCCATCCACCAGGGTCCGGCTTTAGGGCAAATAACACCTGAATGGGGCGTATCATGGTCAAACCGCATGTACCGTCGTATCAAACAGCTTGACCGATCTGCTCAGTTGACAAAGCTGATTCATCTCACTGCATCCGAAAATCGAGCGGCTTCCAAGGCCCTCGAGTTATGCATCATGACATTTGCCACGCAGTGGGCCCAAGGGGGACGGCGCTGGGATGGTCATTGGCTAGTAAATAAAGATGAAGGACTGCACGATGAATTTGGGCAAAATCTGCATCGATCCGTTTGGGAATGTGCAAACCAGGCGCTTCAAGATGTCTCCGAGGTGGAGTGCTTTAGGGTGGTTTTCGCTGAGCTGATTTTCGGTCTTATACAGAAGCCGTCGTCAAACAACTACGATGCACGTACAAAGGAGAGGCAAAGCACTGCAGATCTGAACTCAACGTTTTCACGGGTCATGAAAATCATTGATCACGCGGGACCCCCGTGTTTATGGAGCGAGGGGCTCGCAAAATCCACGCTCTTAAACACCGATTCAAAGCGCGCCAGACAGGCTTTCACAGCACCAAAATAGAGGAGCAAGTTTCTCGAGAGTTCAGCACGGAAGAGACCCGGACGGTCGGCCTCTTGTACTGGCTCGCAATCATGTTTGATACGGTCTCTTCATCCATGAATGAGCGGCCAGTCGTTGTTTCCGATGAAGAATGTCAACACGAAGCTGCACAGAAAGCAGTGCGACATCATATTCAGAACCAGATCTCGAGTAGTCAATGGGAACTTGACCTCTACGCGCAGGAGGACCCGGAGAAGCCATTAGCCCTGCGTTGGCCTTTGCCGTACGATGTTGTGACCAGAGCCATTTCCAGATCAGCAGCCGTCAAGGTGCTTCTCTTCCGCTACATCTCATACCTTCAGAAATCTTTGCGAAATTCCGAGTGCAACCAAGTCGTGGAAGATATTATTCAACGCACGTTATCTGTGTATCGCTACTGGTTGAAGACACACGGCGCTTTATTCCGTGACCTGATGCGACACTACGATTCAGTCCCTCCTCGGATTAAGAGCTGGTTTCCGTGTATTGGTATCCCCTGGCATCTTGGCTCACTCATGCTGGCCGACCTGATTGAATTTGTGGATATGAACGAACTTGGCTGCAATGACGCCATGATAGAGCGTCAAAACACCTGCCTAGTAATGAGAATCCGGAAAGAAAGTTCAATCGACCTGGCAGACCTTGCAGCTGTCCTGACGCCTCGATTGGGAGGAATGGGTTTAAACCAACTGCCGGGATTTCACTTCGCCGTCAATGAAAGCCCCCTTTTGACTGAGCCTTGGACGGTGCTTCTCGTTAGGGCGTTTTCAAAAGCTTCAATATTTCACTTAAAGGAAACAGAAAAGCTACAGAAGTACCAACGTTTCGTCTTTGATCATGAGAGCAAGGCGCTTCAGGCGAGCGTTACACGACTCGAGAACTGTGTTATAGCACTCCGATTTCTGGGTGCTAAGTCGGGGATGGCGGAGGCTATTTCCATAGTACTATCCGAATCGTTAAATAAGTGCCGAAATACTTAATTTCTTGACAAGTCAGGATCACCTCTTTAAAGTTCAATAATTAGGATAATGAACACTGTACGCTTGATTCACCTGTAAAGATAAAAAGGATCCTTCATGGAAACCTCTAGTAATTCCCCCATGGAGCTCCGTCCGCTGTAAGGTCTTGGCGGTCTTGGTTTCGATCGGCTCCGCACGATCGGTACCGAATTGCCAGTCGGCTCCGCTGGGTGTACGGAGAAGATCAGCGATGAGTCGGGTTTACCATATACCCAAGATGGTCTAGAGGCAAATTAAACTAAAAGGTTCATAGTTAAGGGATAAGATGTAATCCAACCGTGTTTGGGCGATGTTTGATACATTCCGTGTCTATTACAGAGTATACGGCTTCGTTCTACAGAAACACCTGGGGGGAAATCGGCAAGGCTTTCAGTTTTGATATTACCTTTGCTACATACAAATATTGTATATATGGTAACCAGGTTTATTGTCACTGAAAGGAGGGTAAATTAAAACTATACATCCCCGAGGTCACCTCTGCATTATTTGACACTGATCTTTCACTGAATATCCATTCCTTAGGTCCCATTTTGAGTGACCGATCAATTCGAACCCTCATACACACGCGCGATTTTATGAACAGGGAGTATTATGATCTCTTCTTAAGTTGTGACAGTCCCGGTACATGGCTAGAGAGATCACCCACGGGAAGCCGCAAAGGAAAGTCCACGGATTCAAGCAATAAAGAGAAGAGTAGATACCATCCACCGAGACATGCTGCGAGTAGTATAGCTCCTCCGCCCTGAAAACATTGATTTCGTTAATACCGAGACATCGAAAAACACCGCAAGAGGACTCACCACTTGGAGCTTTGCAGCAAGCACTGTCTCATTCATGGCCAAGTACCAGTAGTCCGCGATAATGAAGCCAACACCAACGACGACGGTGAAAAGGATATAGACAAGGACAAAATTGGTCCGGAAGGAGCATATCAAGTAGAAAAAGCATAAGATATTGAAACAAACTAAGAAAAACCCTGTAATGTTGTATTTGATTAGACTCTTGTTCACTCCTTTCTTCAAAAAGGCAATATCGGAAAAACGATGGACTTGACGAACCAAAGCTGGCATTGAACCCCTCCGACGCGAGTCCTGCAGTGGGATCATCGGGGGACGGTGAATAGGGTGCATATGCACTGTAAAAGGGCTGGATAGTCGCGGCGAGGGTAAGGTAAAAGCATGCTGAATCATTGTCATCAGTATTTGGTAATACATAGCTGAAAACGACCACCGCAATGCACTTACCAAAGGACATGAACACCACGGACGAAAAGGTGTTGCCTATGATACACTCTAGAAACCCACCAACGAGTAACAGAATGCCTCCGAAAAAGATGTATCCTCCACTATACGAATAGCGAGGTTAGTGTGCACTCCCGAATATGAACTTAGACTGTTAAAAATTACTGACATATGAGCAGCCCCATTGTTACCAGCTCCTCTCCAGCCCATCAGGCAAAAGCATAGAGGGGTCAAGGCCATGACGAAGCCGGTGATAGCTCTAAGCTAGTGTCAGTCATTTCCCAGCAGAGATCCAAAACGGTTATCATACATCGGGGTTGGATTGCCAATCATACTCCGAAGGTTCCCAGCAACTGGAGTTTTGGGATTCAAGTAAAGCTTCTCGAATAGTTCCGGAGATATCATGATGCTTCCTGTAGACTTGGTTCTCTCAAAGGCAGGAGATGTGATATCTCCAAATTCCGCATGCTGAACGTCGTCGGCATAGTTGGATATGCCCTCGTCTTTACTCGCAGGGGATTGAGTCATCTTGGCGACAGTATAAGGGGTGAATATAGAAGTAAAGATAAAGATGGAATTCAAAAGCACCTCCAAATGATCTCCGGGCAATATATAGCTTGCCAATTTCTTTGCTGATCATTCTGGGGTAATAACAAACGTCTGTGCACAAACAATATCTGGTGAATGTGATTCAGCTACTCATGGCTAGTGAGTCCCGGAAATGAGCCAAAGTCCTTTTCCAAAACGGTATTTCAGATGTTCTAGATCTATCTCACCGTATAAGCTATTGAGCCGGACGGATGGAGAAGGATTCAGGAGCTCCCGCGAATCAAATAGCTTCTGAAATTGCAGACCCGTACCCCGTACTGACCCCATATTATTGACCCCATACTATCAACGTATTTCCCCCTCATTATGGACCTCCTATTATGGATCCCGCATTCAAAATGACCGTCGGAAGAGCGGACGCGCTGCAAGTCCTGGAGCCGAACCTGAAGTGGAGCCAAACGTTGATCATCTGATCTGGGGCCCCGTAAAATCAAAATGATTAACCAAGTTGTGGGTATCAGCCTTGCATCCTGCGAATTTAACTAGTCAATCTACCCTGTGAACCGCCGATCCTGAGTCGGAACCGCTCCGCCAGACCCAACTTCACCGAAACTACGTATGAAGAATAAACCCCATGTCTCAAGATCGAACAAGTGGATTAGCTTAATCAGACCTGAGATATAAATCTTCTCAAGCACCCCTTTGTCCTGATGGTCATAGGATCCTAAGAGAATCCAATCCATCTACAATATTTCTTTCTCGGTTCTTCCACAATGGCCGCCCCAGATATCGAGCAGAATGTTCCCTCGCACATCCGTGGAGTGCCTGGCTCAGTCAACATACCAGTAGCACACTTCCCTGTGCCATCGAAAACTGTTATCGGTGATCCAGAGCAGATTGCATCGAAGCTTGTTAACTCTTTCAACCTTGCATTGGCCAAACGCGATTTTGTCAACATCGCGAGCTTATTCGGGGACAACGGTTTCTGGCGCGACCATCTAGCTCTATCATGGCAGCTTCGAACAGTGCAAGGCCATGAACCTATCGTGAAATTCCTTGAGAAATGTTCAGAGTCCCGGGACGGCATGCGACTCCAGGAAATCTCTATCGACAGAAGCACCTCCATTCGCGCTCCGAAAGTGTGCGCACTTGACGGAGCTGGCGAAGTTCAAGGCATACAATTTTTCTTCACCGCGCAGACGGCTCATGGTTCTGCGGTCGGAATCGCCCGCCTCGCGCTACAGAACGATACCTGGAAAATCTTCACCTTCTATACTGCCCTTAAAGAGCTCAGGGGCCATGAGGAGCTTCTTGGACATCGGCGACCTAAGGGTGCGGAACACGGTGGTAACCCGGATCGCAAGAATTGGGCGGAAAAAAGAGCCGATTCTGCTGCTTACACTGACGGTCATGAGCCGAGTGTACTCATTATCGGTGAGTTCCTATCTGATTGTTTTCAAGAAACCCCCGCTAACATCTTTTTTCAAAGGCGCCGGACAGGGCGGTTTGACCGCGGCTGCGAGATTGAAGATGCTAGGAGTAGACTCCCTCATCGTCGATAAAAACGAGTCAGTCGGTGATAACTGGCGACAGCGGTATCGCCAGCTCGTCCTACACGATCCAGTGTGGTACGATCATATGCCTTACATGGAGTTTCCACCGACTTGGCCTATCTTTACGCCGAAGGATAAGCTGGCTGAATTTTTCGAGTGCTACGTGAAAATGCTCGAACTCAATGTTTGGAACAAGACGACTATTACCCAGTGCGAATGGGACGAGAAGAATGCCAACTGGATCGTGAACGTCTCGCGCCAACAGAAGGACGGAACCACTGAAGTGAGAAGCTTCCGCCCCCGTCATGTTATCCAAGCGACCGGTCATTCTGGAAAGATGAAGATGCCTCAAGTCCCTGGTATGGAAAACTTCCAGGGCGAACTTCTTTGTCACTCCTCGCAATTCCCAGGCGCCCAGAAAAATCGCCAGGGCAAAAAGGCTATCGTTGTGGGCTCGTGTAATTCGGCCCACGATATCGCACAAGATTATCAGGAGAGAGGTTACCATATTACTATGGTCCAGAGATCAACAACATGCATTATCTCCTCGGATGCCATTAGGAAAATCGGTCTAAGGGGCCTTTACGAAGAGGATGGTCCGCCAGTGGCAGATGCCGATCTCCTTCTCCACGGCACTCCCACGCCAGTCATGAAAGCGCTTCAAATCCATATCACTTCTCAAGAGGCAGAACACGACAAGGAACTTCTGGATGGGCTTGCTCGAGCCGGTTTCAAGGTTGATCGTGGTCCCAATGGCGGCGGACTATTCATCAAATATTTCCAGCGCGGTGGTGGCTACTATATCGATGTCGGGGCCTCTCAAATGATCGTGGATGGAAAGATCAAGGTGAAGCAAGGTCAGGAAATTGCCGAAGTTCTGCCTCGAGGGCTGAAATTTGCCGATGGTTCTGAGCTAGAAGCTGACGAGATTGTCTTCGCTACTGGATACGACAACATGCGCTCGGAAACAAGAAACATTCTAGGCGACAAGGTTGCTGATAAGGTATCTGATGTTTGGGGTTATAATAACGAAGGAGAAATCAGGACTATGTGGCAGGACAGTGGGCACCAGGGATTCTACTTCCATGGAGGCAACCTGGCAACTGCCAGATACTATTCTAAGATTCTGGCACTCCAGATCAAAGCTCTTGAGGAAGGTATCTATCGTTATGGTGAATTCTAAGCGGATGAGTCCATGGATTATGTATATAGGGAGAGGAGTACTTGCTTATTGATCGGAATCACATACCTAGGTTTTCAACATCATCTACATAAACCCTGTTTTCCTTTAAGCTTCATTAAACCCCTTTTAAAAATGAGTTCCTATAATCTGAGATCGACCCAGCAGTGAGACTAAATCAAGATCCCTATAGAACTGAGGCCCTATTGGGCCAGTTATCCCTAAAACCCCTCGTAGTGGGTCTAATATCGGGAAGATCCCGATCAGACGAAAAGGGGAAGCAGTCACACGTTTCGGTATCAGCCGTCAACATAATTCTCATGGTAAGTGGAGTTATACTTGAATATATCTATGTGTGATGCCCAAACGGTGGGCTGGCACAGCCTATCCAAGCTACAAGATGTGATAATCTGAGTAAATATATCCTTAGGGCTGACTCTATTGTGCGAACTGCTGAGTACTATTTCCAAATGTGGAGGAAAATCATCTAGACTCGCGGTAAGGGCGTTGTTTGTTTAAATTCAGCACATGGTAGCTCGCAATTAACTTGTTTATATCGCGCATAGCGTGCTTAAACTTTGTAAAATTGATCATGATTGGCTGGAAATTTACGATCTGAGCTATCACATTGTTCTAGGCGTAAAGCTTCATCGCCATCAGCAAGAGCGATGAGGCTATTTGAGACACAAAGCTCCTGAAATAGCGCGATTTTGCTAGATAGCTTTTGTAATGTAATTGTTAACCCTTTGATATAAATGCAATTCATCGTTCTCCGAGGGTCTTCTCAATATGTAAAATCACGTCATTCGGGCCAAAGAATACTCATCGGCGCAACGTGATATCGCAAACTTTATCTTTTCAATTTCTTCAAAAAGCTAGACGTTGGCAATTCTTGCATCTATTTCGTTATGGTCTAAGACTGCTATGTCACACTCTCCCGAGGAGCTCAAGGGAATCGCTATTGCAGGGCGAGTCTCTTCGGTTCTCTCTATTCTGGGTTCATTCACAATAATCGGCGCTTTCTCTCTTTCTCGGCACTTCAGGAGTCCTATCCATCGTATAATATTTTTTAATGCCTTCTATAACCTGTTCGACTCTGTCGCCACGATGATATCCACTAGTGGACCTGCAGCTGGAGATTCTTCATCCCTATGTCAATTCCAAGGCTTTGCTCTTCAGATGTATGTTCTAGAGATTTGCAGAGATTTATCCAGGCAATGCTTTCCGCAAGGCAATGAATGCTGACCAAAAGAATCAGGTTTCCAGTAGCTGACGTGCTCTGGACATTCGCAATGGCCTTGGATACATACCTGGTTGTCTTTCATCATTTTGATACTCAATCTTTGCGCAAGCTCGAAGTCAAATACATTGCTGTTATTACTACTTTCTCATTTATCCCTGCCTTTATCTTCCTCTTTATCCACGGCCATGAAAAAGGTCCTATATATGGTGACGAAACCGTGAGTATCCTCGAGTCGACTTGAAACTAAACATGTCTCGGGGCTAATCAAACCTTCATAGATATGGTGCTCAATAGCTCGCAACTGGATGATGCTCCGCATAATCTTCTACTATGCACCCGTATGGTGCGTATACTTCCATCCGCCTGCTCCACTTCTAGACTCTTCTAATGGTTACGCAACAGGCTAATAATAGTCATCGTCCTAATACTATATTGTCTCATCGGTATCGAGATAACCAGAGTCCGCGACGAGTTCAAATTGAGCGAGAACGATCGTATCGCTCTGACCTCTGGCAATTCTACCAGCAGCGTCACGATGACAACTATGGAAGCGAACGCTCAGATAAAACCCGATCTCACTCCAGAATCTACTATAACAAGCGATACCATAGAACGGGATACATTCCAGCGCCCTCCTGCATCCAACAAATTTCCGGCGACTTATCAGACTCCGAAGCAAAGACGTGTTTCGCTGAGACAATACGTGATCATGCCATCGCTTTTCTTCCTTGCGATGTTAGCAACGTGGATTGCACCTACTATTAACCGTATCGCGGAATTCGTGCATCATAGACATGGAAACTACTCACTTCTTCTCTCTGTGAGTACGTTGGGGTCCCTGCGTGGGTTTTGGAATGGGGTTATTTTCATAACTATCGGTATGAAAGGGTGGAAGAGACGAGCTTCGGGGAGGAGAATGGCTCTCAGGCAGGTAAGATTGGCTTCTTGCTATCGTATCTATCATCTCAATTGAGTAGCAGCTGACTTCACTATATTATAGACTAGAAATGATCATGGGTGATGTGGATCTCAGATCTCATGACGTCTTCGTTCTACATGTTCAAAATGATATCCTAGTTATTTTATAGAATAGAATCTTGTGTTAAATTGTAACTTAATATGGGCTGGGGAGGGTAGATTAATGAGAATATAAAAGCAAAATAAAAACTGCCGACAGTCCAGTACTAAATTTTAACAGCCGACAAACATATGTGGGGGTGCATGCCTAAGTGATGAAGGTCCGAGAAGGGAAGGAAGACGGTACGGTGTATTGTATTGCTAGAAACTGGGGAAAGGAAAAGAGAAGAGAAAAGGGTGAGAGAGAAGGCGGTGTTATGGATGCCACAAAAGGCCTGAAAAGCCAGCATCCAGAAATCCACAGGAAACACCAAACTTGAAGCACTTAGCCATCCTCAATACTTTGCAGGTTCATTTCGTGACAGACTCATCGACGCTGATCCCAGAACCAAATAGGTGCAAGTGCCCGAAGCATTCTCAAACAACCGCTTCTGTTGAGATGAAGATGGCAGACGCCCAATTCTTGCTGATGGTGTCGGGGGTGGCTTGTTGGAAATTACGCCTATTTTCCAAAATATCTACAAATGTATAGGTGCCATCAGGACATTTCGCCGCAAGATGGAAGCTATAGATGCAGTTTGAATTAGCAAGCTAGTAGTTGCACTTTCGGACCTTCGCCAAACAAACCTATTTTTAGATCCCTCGGCCGGTAGTAAATCCCAGAGCCCGTACGTATTATCTTGAATTTTGCACTCGATATTCCATTCCACCGACGTTTCATTGTTGTCGTGTACAACTAGAGCCATGTTAGGTCGTAGGAACCGGTCAATGATGGGATTTCTCACCTAGATGATGATGACTTAAATAAGTTTCTGTCGCGTGATCTTTGATGTAAACTTGTCGGTAAACCTGTTGCTCATCCTTCGCTACATGGATCACTTCCCACAAGCTAGCTTCAGCAATGCTGTCGAAGCTAATTCTTTTTTTTTTTTCAGTGTGGGCTCGGTTGAAGAGTTATTACAAAAAGCAAAGGCTTCCTCACAGTGTTGGAAAGCTGCCATCTTTGGGACCTCGAGTCAAAAACTTGTTATGCATAATGATATGGCAAAGCTTGGAACATCTGGATAGTCAGTACATGTCGTGTAATGCATCTTAGCATCCCCTTGCTCCAGTTGGTGCCCAAATCTTACTGTGAGGCCTCCATGGCCTTAACTTTGCGTGTTAGCTCGGCCATTTCCTCCGCCAAAATTTTCAATTCAGGCCTTTAACATACCGGTAAGAGCTTCCGGAAAATGAGTGGATTCAGGAACTGCCCCACGCGATGGGCATCAACGGCAACCGCCGGACTTTCCGCAACTTGGTCAACCTGAGTAGTCATATAAAGTTAGTGCTCAGTTGTCCGGGGAACTACCCAATTTTCATAGGTCGGTCCTATTCGCGCATGATCTCAGGATGTGTACCTCTTTCACGATGAGAACCATTTGAAGTCGACAATGAAGGCGGGCTTTCTCCAGACCAAAGAGGTCCGTTTTGTACGCCTCATCTGGGATATCTGCAAATGTCTCTTTGTCATCTGGGTTTCCTGCCCTTCTGAGGGTCCCCCAGTCGATCTTAAGTTGTTTGACTCCTGCTGCTGCTTCCGTGGAACCAGCTTGCTCCACCAATTTGCTCACCCCGTCCGACACTTCTTGGGTCACTGCCACAGTCAGTATGGTTGCAGATCTTTGGGCATATAATCTTACTCTTCTGGATGTCCTTGGCGACCGATTTGTACTCCATGTAACTTTCCAGCAAGGCGTTTGTGTAGACTCCGGCGTTCTCATAATCCAATGGAGATCCCTTGTTGGTTTGAACTTGGTACGATCTCAAAGCAGAATACTTGGTAAGAATAGCCCTGCAAGATTAGAATTCTGTCAGACTCCCATAAGATTGAGCTTACTGAGTTCGTTGTGGACAAACACGGACTCGATCCGCAAACGAGAATGCAGCTTTGGCCATGCTCTCAATGGACCATCCTTTGTTTTCGCTTTTCTCATCTTGGATGCCACCACCACCAGCCCATGAGACGCTGTGTCGTTGGGTGTTAGCACGTACAGTGCTGCAGGGCGATGATATCCTTACGTGATGGATGTCTCCGAATTTTTCAAAACCTCTTGCTGATCGTATCCTCCCTCGACTGAGCCGGAGATGCCAAAACCCCCTGCGGACAGATTCAGACTTAAAGCGCCTTTGATCGTTTTCACTTTGCTCTTATCAGCCACTTTGACTGATAATAAAGCATTGAACTCGCCCCCTTCCAAGAAACCGGAGACAAAGCTATCTCCATAGATTTCGGTAAACCGACTACGATCAGTGGCGGACACATTGGCGATCGCGTTAAATCTGGAGAGGTCTTCGGGAATTAGCTGTTGATTGACGACTTTAACCTGCACAAAGTAGTTGATATCGCTTTCTTTGACCTTGGAAGAGTCGATATACGCTGTAATTTAAAATTAGCTGTATCGCTGGGAGCTTAAGTAACGCAGACTACTTACAAGCAGAGCCATTGACTCCGATTCCATTATACTTGATCTCCAAGTGACCTTATCAGGTGTCAGTTATTTCAAATGCTGGACAAAAGCAATCAACAGAGAACTTACCACTAACGTTCATAGCGTCTGTAATATCACTGGAATTCTCGACGAATTTCGATGTGAATGTGACTTGCTGGCTGACACCATCGCCATTTGCATCGTATAGCTTGGGCTTCAAGTCGTCCTCCGTTGCTGGAGATTTGTCGCCTTTGATGACCGCATTGTCGATGCACAGCTGCTGGGTATATGAGTTAAAGCTACTTTGTTAATATAAGGTATCTGTGGAGAGTTTTGAAAGCTTACCCAGAACCAATGCGCATGGAATCATTGTATGGCGCCGTCTGCAGACTCATTTTGGAACAGGAGCAATAATATAAAGAAGAATTGAGGTATGCTATGCCCTTGTCCAAAGAGATACACAGAGGAAAAGAAGAAACGCAGCGATATAAGTACTCTCTGTGAAGCGACAATAAGAACGCCCAGGCCGCTAGTCAGGCGAGAGGTAAATTTGGGCATGTAGGATACACATACTATGAAGCTCCACCTTTGCCCCGACCCAAGCGTCCCCCCATCGGTGTTAGCCGATCAAGGTAAATCTTTCAACTCGAGCTCCACAGCACGGGTCAATGTGATGACTTGAAGTCATGTGGTGTAACATAGGGAATTAATGCGCACTGTAAAAGCTCAGACCGCCATGTTAACCAGACGGCACAGAAGTACTATTAGATCCATCCATTCCACATTTTTACGCGAGATCTCAGCTGAAAGTAAGGGCAACCCATGCCTCGGCGCATACCAAGTGCTACGCTCCCTTTATTTTAACTCATTATAATTAGTAAGTGAGCATGACTGACCAAATGCGCATGTATCGTTCCACTGAGGTGGATACTTCAGCTCACTGCTGCTTTGAGCATTGAGCAATATCAGCCACAAGCCGAATTTCAGCCGATGACTGTGGATTGGGACGACCAGACCGCACTTGATCAGCATAGGATCGGATTTCAGATAATCTGCAGGGCACGGAGGTGTGGAGTGATCTTTTGTTGAGCTGTGGCTTCGTATCATACATATATATTACGGAATCTACATATGACGATTTCTGTTTGGAGTGTGATTGAATGTAAAAGGCTTGTTCACAACATGTTACACTATACGTATCTTTATAATGGAACCTGCTTCCTCCAGCTGTAAATATAGTCAACAAGTCATGTGAAGCTGTTCACATAGATGGCAAGGGTGAGATTGTCATTTCATTCTTGCTTCAGCTGAGAGTTGGAGTGGAGATGTGGAATCGATGGAACCTAATAATACTCTTGTGTGAGCTGTGGTATGGACGAGATATATCACCCTAGATCGGCATCGGCAAGGGACGAAATATTCATTTGAAGTGAGTATCGTTAGGGTGAAGTAAAGGGGTTCATGTTTGTTCTTCGACCGCCGAGGGCGGGAGTACAGTACAACTATATAGGCATGCCCGACAGACCTTTTATAAGTCTATCTTCCCTCGTTCCGAACAGATGATTAAAAGCTCTCGCACCGCAGTATTCTTTGAACACTAGATTACAACATCATGGCTCCGCTTCTCGCCCCTTACCACAGTGGCATGAGGCTTGGCTCGGGTAGGAATTGTCTGAGGTTGTTACACTGAGATAGAAGACGTTAACGAAAACCAGGCTTTAACTCATACACACAGCAGATGTGTGTTGATGATGCCGTTACCAAGATTCCCAATGGCACACCTTTTGATAGTGACCCTGAACAGAGCCAATCACAGTCAGTGGTTTTCAAAACCAGCATGATCGAGAAGATGTCGGAGATCTCCGATACCCTGAATGTATGTGGCCTCGCCCAAATGGGGATAAACTGGTGCTCACAAAGGTCAATACAGATCAGTGGTGCCCTCACTATCAAATACAACAATCTCATCGACGGGGCCGGCAAGGGAACATTCATCAACTCCAACAAGATCAAGGACGCCGATATCAACTTCATGCTGAGTGTCAAGGTTATCAATGAAAGCATTGTAGATCAGGGTTTGACGGACTTTAATCCTATCGCGAACTTGCAGTCCTCGTCTGATTTTACCGAGGTATATGGCGATAGCTTTATCTCAGGTATTTAACAAGAATCCCATCCAGAGCGACGATGTGGCGTGTGCTTACATGTTCAATAGGCTTTCAAGAAGGCGGTGAGTTTGTGGCGGTCGTATCAATCAAAGTGAAAGACAAGAACCAGAAAGAGACCATTGCTGCCAAGTATGTCAAGTGAAGGATTTTGAGTATGCATATCTGACTAATTTGTAGTGCTGCCGTGTCTTTAACGACTCCGCAATTCGGAAGTGGCCAGGCAAAGGATAAGAAGAAATCTAAACTAAAGCCCTCCGGAGAAAATGGAAAGCACGGTTCCGAAACCCTGACTGATGAAGAAATGTACGGCGATTCCTCCGCCTTGGACAAAGAGGATGGAGAAAACGACGAGGCCGAGGACAAGGCGAGTGGAGAGGGCGCCAAAGGCTTCGAGGCCAAAGGCAACGCGGAGGTGAAGAAAGAGAGGATGGACCTCTTCCAGGAGAACGAGGTGACGCTGTCTGTCACATACTCAGGCGGTGGCCAAGGGCTCAAGGAGCGTATGTTATTCCGCGTCTTTCCTAACATCATGCTCTAACTGTGAATAGCGGACGAGGACTGGAACTTGGAAAACATCAGAAAGGCCGCCCTGCAATTCCCCTCCCTGGTAGCAAAGAATCCAGTGCGAACTCATGCCGTTTTGACCAAGTACACCGCCCTGAAGAGCTACTATGCAAAAGTAAAAGCAGAAACGAAAGTTGGCGACAAGGATGCTACTAAGCATCTGCCCCTCTGCTACGATAACGCAGATATTTATACGTCAACATTGCAGGAAGCATTCCTTGATTACAAGAATGTTCACATGAAAATTCGTCTTTTACAAGTTGACGTTGTCAATGGGGTCAAAGAGCTTAAAAAAAGCAATTTCAGCGGTAAGCTCCCACCAAAGACCTCCCAACATAAACGCTTACGTTGACGCCATTGTCAGACAAATCGAAAGCGGTTGAGACCGCCATGGACTCAGACGAAGGACAAGATACACGGAACTCGATTTCAATTACTGCACCAATGGATGCAACACTCGCCAGTCTGGAGACGGCTCAGCAATATGTTCGGCGTCAGATGGATCTCATCGTGAAGAAGGTACAACGCACAGCTCAAAGCTTAAACTGGAACTACATCTAACTCTCCAACCAGGTAGATGCTATCACCGTGGATCCTACGTTGGCTGGCGGCGACTGTGACCTGCCTTGTCAATCTCCTTTGATCTTCCAGCTCTACTTGCCAGTAAGTCATCTCCACCATATACCACGTTGATTACTGACCGTGATAGATTGGGGTACCTATCGGTGAATCCAAATCATGAATCCCCCTGCCAACCACCGGTCGGCATCGGAGCCAATGAGTTCTAGTAAGAATCAAGGGCACTTATGATATGACAGGCAAGTGAAGGATTAGAGTATAGTAGAAAAATTGTTTGGCCGTTCAACCGTTGCAATATGTCAAAAAATCTAGATATCACAAGATTGATCTCCTAATCGCGTTCAAGCAAAGTAGCTGTATAGTCTCTTATCTGCGTACAAGGTAGCAAAGTTACCTCGGCAACTAGGCCGGATTCGCAAACCTTCTGGACTTCCTCGCGGTTCAACGTTTTGTTTTCTTTCAAATCCAGTGCCCTCATTTTATTCCTGACATTTTTCTCCAAATCGCTCACTTGTTGGATGTAGCTCAGAGCCACCGTCGCGGGTTGCTCCTGGGAAGCTCCATTTTGAACATTTGTCCCACCCAATGTTTCAAAGGCAGTGATTCTGAAACTAGACCAAGCCTCTTGGGAATGCTGTTCCTCGTTGTAATCCTTTTCAATATCCCACCACAAGACATGTAGTTTAGCTTTGACCTCCAAACTCTCCTTCTCGGAGCGCTGCTTGGTTGAAACAGAGGCAAGCAGCCCAGCATCAGCACCCAGACGCAGACTCGCCACATAGTAATCCCCGTACTTCCGGGAAAAGTAGCTAGGATCTTTCCTCGAACGCCGTACATCAGCAATGGCATCCAAAGAAAGCCGGGGTTGGTCGAAGTAAATCACACCAGTCCGAATAGTAGCCTGAATAGACGCCATGATGTCCTGGTCAGTATTAGCAATAGTTCTAGCGATAGACATGAGGAAATTCAATCACATCGTTGTTTTCCATAACACTCTTATTATATGCCCCGGTTCCACTGATATTGGCAAACGTGCAGCCTGCTGAACCTTTTGCTGACACGCTTGTATGCTCTGATTGACTTCCCTGACTAGAAGTAATAGCCTTATGGAAATATGATTTGGTACCAACTTCGTTGCGGAAGCGGACATTCTCCCGGAACGCACCCGCAGATATGAGGGGCTGCGTCTCGAAGGGCGCTACGGCACTGTCGCTCAGAAGTTTAGCCGAATAGCAGCCCGTTCCAAGCTTAGTTATCAGCCGAACTCTATCTGACTTGGGCCAGGGGAGCGTAATTGCGCCTTTAGTCGAGGAAACCTGGGAGATTGACGATGGGTCCGGACCACCGAGGATATCCATGATTCTGTAGATTGTGGCAGGAAAGGAAATTGTGTAGTTGAAAGGTTTGAAGCACAGGAGATATACGGAGGTCCCAATATGTCCGTTGCGAAGGAATTGAGTTTGTATCTGCACTAAAAGCCTATTTCAAGGACATGCCGCCTGGTCCGCGGGTGGAGGCAGATTTTCTCTATTGCTTTAGCGGTCAAAGGTTGCGTCGAGGTCGTACTTGTATTTACATAGCGATCAAAAAGCAGCAAGGGGGCGCATTAGGGATTCTCACTAGAAAGATTATCCCAGACCTCGGGTTGACCTAACCCGCTAAGGGTACGTACGCCTAAAGATCAACCGGTTACTGCGACTTTTGAACTGAATCTCTTTGATGTATGACCCTATTATCTAGATAAAGTGTATCTATTTTGGTGAGATTTACCTATAGCTTTAAATCTATAGTAGTTCAAATTTCTACCTAACAATCAGGTGTTGCATATAATAGAGGTCTAGGAACAAGTTTACACGATGAATATAGAGGGGGCACTTCTGGTAATGATGAAATACAAACAACTCTGGAAGGGATCAATGAGGCAGATCCGCAAAGACACAAGTTTGTGTCATCGTCATCATAAAGATTCCGCAAACCAAGATTCTCAAATTAGTTATGTAGATATTTTGGACAGCCCACAGTCCTCAATTCCGGCGAGACTGACCATGGAAGATGAATATTGTGTAGATCCAAAGATACATCGTAGATTGAAGCCATTTTTAGACATAGTTTATGACCAGGATGCATTGAGATGATGGAATTGGTTGCCTGAGATTTGCGGAGAAACTTGTAGTGCTAACTAAATGATGCAGGTCCTTTCCGCATATACATAGTGCATCCTACACCGCGTGTCGTGTCAGCCAGCCACACAATAAAGATCGGCACCGCCGCAGTGGCATAACGACTACAGATGTGATATATTGAAAAGAAAACAGCAGAAGTCTACCTGTACTACTCCGTACTCCTTCCCCCCCGGTTCAATTCGTAGCCCCCGTCAGCACTTCTCACCGCTTGGTCAACACGTCAACAATCGCTTGACATGATCATGAGTGAAGACCTATTCCTGCTGATCTTAGCCTTTGGGAGCCTCGAGCATCGGTTCTGGTAACTTGACCCTGCCGGCTGGGAATATGAATGACGTGTGTCGAGCGTGTTCTTATGCAGATTTTGAAGAATTCTAAAATCAGTCTAGCTCAATTATCGTACAATAATCGATATAAGAGCGCAGTGATCTTCTACCAGTTTGGAGGCTCCATTCTCCCAATTGCAAAACGAGTGTGGTGAAACACATAGACTTGTTACACTGATTCGTCTCCCTTGCCAAATCTGAGAGATGCCCAATATCCCCCCAAACGATCCAGCCCATCCCAGGTGGCTGCTTGATACCGAAAAATGGGCTATCTGCGACTATGGAGCAATTAAGCAAGACGTGATGAAGCACGGATATGGCATCATCTCCTACACCTGGGGTAGGTGGGCCTCATGGGACCAGCAGCCCCCTGGCGTGCCAACCGGGCTACAGTGGCGAGTTCCTCTCGTGGAAAACCTGCCCTTGAGCTTGGCTCGGAATGTAGTCTCGAGTATGAACATTCGATACGTGTGGTGGGACTGGATGTGTGTTCCCCAGGGGAACGCAAGCACCTTACACGCAGATCTTTTGAAAGCCAAAGGTGAAGAGGTTGGGAAGCAGATGTAAGCATTTTCTTCATTTTCTTTATTTTCTTCATCCTTTTTATTTCCCATTGAGACTCATGCTGATTCTCATGAGCACTCAGGGCAATTTACAAAGGTGCAAAGAAAAGCATCGTATGGCTTCATCTCACGGAATGGAACAAGAACTTTGCTATCGAGAAGTTACTGAAAAACCAGCTATCAATGCAGAACATCTCCAAATACCTGGATGCCATAGATGCAATGCTCCAGGGAATACAGAAAGCCGAGCCTTGGTTAACATCTGGCTGGACACTACAGGAGGGGGTCCTTCTCAGCGAGACCCTTTTGTTAGATCATCAGGGTACGACATTACGCGATGACCGTTTCTTCCACAACGACGGCCAAGCCTCCGTCCTTGACCTCACAGCCGGTCTCACAACTTTCGCAGTTGGCATCGCCAAAGCCTTCATGAAGCTCAGTGCGGCGCAAGATGATAGTGATCACGACGAGATTTTTCAGTTCATCCGTACCTCGGACGAACATTACCAATCCGTCGCAAAGTTCCTCTCCCGTCTATTGCGCTCAGGTCTGATTGCCTACACTAAGAATTCCCCGCTGTACATCTTGGCCGGCAAGTTCTCGCGCAAATACGGCGTGGACAAGGATGAGTGCTGGGCATTGCTGGGAGCACTGGAGCTAGAGGGTGTTGAACCTTGGTACACTGAGACTCCGGACATGGATCGGGTCAAGTCCGTCTTCTTTGAAGCTATGCTCCAGAAGTATCAGTGGTCGACGCTGCTGGTGGCCGGCGCAAGTGCAGACAATCATAAGCTTGCTCGACTACCGTGGCACACTAAAGTGACCGATGGACACTACCTGCCCTTGGGGATATTCTTCGACGTCCATTGGAAACCAAACCTCCCAACCCTTTCTTGGACACGCCATGAAAAGCTACAAGACGATGTCATCCATATCCGAAACAAGACAGGAGCACCATTTACTGTTATAAAGCTTCGTGAGAAGTGCTCCGCGTTGTGTAGGCGTTACGAACAGCTCCCCTCTCCCGATGACAAAGGGTTCATTCGTATTGTGCCTGTCAAGCCCTTGGAACATTCACCAGCACTGTTCCTCCCAATTGCAGACCTGGAAATCAGGTCAGGCACACCAGGTGCACGTTACATTGAAATCATTCCAACTGGAGCGAGTGAAACCGGTAAATTCAGGGGTGTAATTGATGTTTGGGCGACCAAGGCGTCTTTGGAGGAGGTTTCCTTCACCAAACTATCAATGCCGAGCGGGGTCTAATGGCATTTGCCATGATGGACCAAGACCAAGTTTCGGGAACATTTTTAGAGCCTCTTCTTCCAACTTGAAGCTTGCTAACTAGTGTTCTCTCTTCCAAACTTGTTTAATGCCACAAACCAAGACGCTCGGAAAAGCGTTCATATCCCTGTTGGAGTTCCGGAATCTCGGTGATTATGATTCTGGAGTCCTTCTTAGTGCAATACCACTTGGAGATCAATACTTCCGTATCCATCAGCCCATAAGTCTTGTACAGTCCTTAGCACCGCGTAGTATGCTGTATTCATTAAAAAGGCAGCGAGAGCGAATGTTCCAAACGCTACATCGCTCCGGGATCCGCTCAATTTTGCACAGATTGCATCAAGCTCCTATTCCTAGAGTCAATCATTTGTAACATGGTGTATGATCATAGTCAGAATAGCGCTGTTACATATACAAAAAGGTTGAGCTCAATGTACTCGCTAAATTCACGTCCTGCAGAACCTGCTCGGTCTCTTGCGCAACCGATTTCAATGAACCATTTAAATTCTCCCATTGTACCTCACCATCCCAGTCATCAGAATCATCCATGAGGTCCAGATTTTGATCTGCAGCAGCTTCATATCACAACAAAATCAAATCAAATCAAATCTCACTGTATCCCACACTGGAATTGGCGCAGGACGAGTGCCTTTCAGCGCCCCCACAATCTTTTGAGGTAGGATAATTGTAGGGGCGCTGAAAGGGTGTCCGATAATTTATCATGGCTGGGGGGCACGGACCTTTGAGCACCCACTGTAGGTAATGGCACAAAAGAAATTCAATATACCGCGCCGCCGATTTAAATTGGCCTGCCCAATATATATATCTGCTGAGGCCCTGGCAGTGACAGCTTCGATCAGCTCCACACAATAATGAAAGACGCCCCTGGCCACAACGTGGTGTTTTTCGACCCAATCCGCCAGCTATACGCAGAAATCGATAGCTCGAAGGAGCAAGGGCATCGAGCCTTGATCTTTCGCACCTCTCAAAGCTGGGGATATGTATGTGAGACGGGCTTGGCGATTTTTCGGTGTTGTGAGGCACGCAAATCAGGTCCGAGTCTGGAGTCAAAGTTGTGGAAGTCAAAGCCAAAACACAGGACGATGATGCTGCTGACCCGACCAACGACGCGCCAGCCGAGGCCAAAGCCACCGACAGTAATGCCAACACACAAAATGATGGCACCGCGGAACCCACAGAAGATGTCAACGCTGACATGGACACGCCAAAGCCGACACCTCGGCTGAGACAGGCACGGCCAGCAAAGCCAGCTTCGACTCTCTTTATGAATACTCACTGTGACAAAAAGCGACATGAACCAGGTAGATCTTGCTGCTCTAGGTCTGGGGGCGGCTTACACCAATGGACAACAGTGGCTAGCCCAACCTACACCCTACACGAACTACATACAGTCAGTGCGCTTGGAGGCCACTACGAGTGACAGCACTCTCTCACTTGCATTCCGCACAGGCTACCATGATTTCCGCCGTCTGACAGTGGTCTGGAAATAGTCCCGGTTACTTCAACACCACTATATTCAAGATTATTGGATACGAGGCCGGATTAACCCAGTTGCTGCTTGACATCGTCAACCCTATTGTCTCAGCTGCAGGTGCATTGGTGGGCGAATTTGCAGAATGGAGGATTGTGACGATATCAGCGCAGTCACAGAGGCCGTGTACACCATCCAATAAGAGGAATGACTCATTAAGAGCAGAGATGCTCTCGAAATCTTCCGCATTCACCACGAAGCCAACACGGCCCGCGCTGAGTTCAAGTATAAGATCACCACATTAAGCACTCGCCTTAACAAATGCGATGGCACCATCGTCAAGTCTATGCTCTGTCGGCAGCCGCCCTGTACTTCATCGACAAAATGCGTTGTCGCCCTGTTCTTATCGTCGGTACTCTTGGTGAGTCTAGTATTTTCCCCCTGGTTGTGTCAAAACTAGACCAGCTAATAAACACATAATATGCGCTTACAGAGGCAGCAGACAGATTACACCAGTTGGCAGCGTTAGCAAATAGCTCTGCGATGGTCCTATCTTATAGATTTCATATTTTTCTATCCAGATACTTTACTTTGTAAGAGTAACCACTCCCGCTTATCTTGAAGCCTTTAGCGCTCTTCGTCTTGTATCTTCAACTAGGTGACACTACTATCTGTATATTATTTAGTACGGATAGAAAGCTTTCCGTAAAGCAAGATACCTATAGCTCCATAAGGTACTTCCCAGTGTACCTAATCCTGGGAAATCACGTTGATATACTAATCAATTTCACACTAGCTATACGCGACAATCACAGTCATGGATCTGCCCACCGCTCTTGAAGCATTGGTTATTTGTCTCAAGATGCCAGACCCAAATACATTTGTTGGTCAGTTGCCTACTAAAACATCCTCGTCCCCAAACCACGAACTTTCCTAGAATCCTGCTGGATCCAAAGCGTTCCACCCCATTTCCTTCAGTTCATCTCCATAAGCCTTCCACACTGTGGCTTCTGAGTGAGACAGCTGGTTGGGGCCTCTCTCTACACCAGTATGTCTGTCATTGGAGACCATATTCTTCAACTCTTCGTACTCAGCTATCCCAGGCCTCAAGTTAATGACATGGGACTGGCCATCATGTAGGAGGTCCGAATTGTGAACACAGCTAGCGATGGGATAGCACTTGGTACAGAAGTGATATTCAGGGCAGGAACTACAATCATAAATATTCCCAAAGACGTTCTAATTATGAGTCAATGACAGGTTAGCGATAGAAAAAACAGGTCTTCATATGAGAAAAACAGATAACGTACGCCTAGACAGAAATCGCATATCGTGCTACTGCATGTGTACTTCCGTCCACGTTTGAGGATAGATGGCGCTCCTAAATCCGGTTGCGGAGAGACTCTCTCCTGAAGAAGGGAGATGATCTCGGGGCCAGCATTACACATTTGCGCAAGTTCAAGTGGCTTTAAGGTCTTTGTGCCTCGCCGACATTTCACCTCTGGATCTGCGCCATGTGCCAGTAATATGCGAACAGTATTGACGCGGTCTCTGTGTTCAGAGCCCATCTGATCAAGATAGTGATTAAAGAGGGGACAGATTGCCCAACACAGCGGCGTCCACCCATCGCAGTCGGCTTGCTCTACCGCTTGTCTTCGCTCAGACGTAAGTTCAAGCCGAGACAGAATATATTCCACGATATAGGCATTACCATACTGGGCAGCCCATTGGAGACAATTCTTGCCATAGGCGTCAGGCGTCATCATGTTATCCTGGAAAGCGAGCAGGATAGTATCAAAGTTTTTCATGCCGTTAGCAGCGGCGAAGTGAATCGGCAGTCTTCCAGAGACAGGGTCAATACAGCCTGCTGAAGCACCCGCATCAAGCAGAAAATCGATCATACTTGGGGTGCCTGAGAAACAAGCTGTTGCCAGAGGACAATAGAATGTCGCCGGGACTATCGTTCCGACAGATGCCCCGGACCGGACGAGATAACGAACGACGTTTTCCACCGATGACATGATATCGCCACGCACATACTCACTCGGTAGTAACGCTGAAATCAGCGGTGTCTGGTCCCATGTACTGGGCGATATCAGGTTTGGATCAGCCCCGCGTGCTAACAGAGCGTTCACGCAATCTGGGTGTGATCGACGACATGCAGAGTGTAGCGGACTACCCAAATAGACAGAGACACAATTCAGCTCAATCTCGGGTTGGGATAAAAGCAGATCACGGAAATTCACTGTCTCAAACTCAATCGCACAATGAAGCGACGTTTCCCCACGGCTGTCCACCAAGTTTATATCCGCTCCGGCTTCAACCAACAAAGCGAGAGATCTAATGTCTCCCTCATCTTTCGCACACAAAAGTGGTGTGCAACCCTCAAAATTCCTCTGGTTTAAATCCAACTGTTCTTTAAATTGCAAAAGGAATCGCATAACGCGGGGAGCACGTAAAACGGCCAAATGAAGAAGTCCATCTCCAGTGTCCGTGCTGGTGTCCATTAAATTAGCACCACCTTCCACCAAGGCTTGTAATATTTTTTGGTCGCGTTCATATTCGACTGCAACGAAAATTGGAGTCCGTCCGTAGTTATCTCGAGTGTGCAGATCAGCACCGCTAGCGAGTAGGATTTGAATGGCTTGAACGCTGCCAAACTTTGCAGCATAAAGGATCAGCGACCAGCCTACCTGATCAGGTGTATTGATATCGGCATCCGCATTACGCAATAGACGTAGAATATCGGGTTTATCGAAGGCGGAAACAATGAGCGCTGGCCTCTGTAAGTCAACATGGTTGAATTGAGGGTGATTGTGTAACAGTTCTTCGACGATTTTAGCACGTTCTAATCGGATTTCCTGATCCAGTGCAGGCTGTTGTATTTGATCCGCGGTATTTACATCAGGTTCATGCTTGTTGCAATTATCCGGTAGTTCTTGGTGGTCAGTCTCCATGGCGCGCAATTCTCTGGATTGTCCACGGCGACAGTGGTGGAGCGTTGTGCCGTTGGATTTGCTCTTTCTCCAAGGAATTTATCTGAAATCGATGCTCCAAAGATCTTTATCTGACTAAAATTTGTCAAAAGAATGTTTATCTGAGCTTTAGTGCACGTCAGCAAAAATCAAGCCATCGCTCGTATAGAAAGCGCCACGAACCTCATGACCCCGCCACGTCCTCTCTCAAATAATTCATTTCAATTCCTGAGATACAGCGTTATTATATTCCCATGCTTAACAGCTTGCTCGGAATGGTCGTCTCAGTAACTGGTTCGGTCGTCAAAAGCTGGGATGTGGGATTCCGTGCAAACATGTACAATCTCGTCTAGCAATAGCTGAGCGTGATTCGCTGTAGACTCACACAATAAATCTGCAAATATAAAGGGATATTGTATCAAAACTTGATTTGATACATTTGTTTGATATTAATCGAGATGATACACAAGATTTCCAAGTGCAACCATCCGGGTAGCCCTATATCACATAAAGAACCGAAATACAATCAAGTAAATTCTTCAGTCCAAGTCTGCTCGGATCCAAAGCAGTTCATTTCGAACTGATGACATCAACACCATCATACAGAATGCCGAATTCCTCGAGCAGATTGATTGCAGCGGTTTCGCCTGTCTTGAAAGCACCATGCACGCAGCCATTACCAACAAGAGTACAATGCTCACCAGCGAACTGCAAGCGACTGGATTTGTGGTTTTCCAACGCATCAACCAGCAGCTGCGGGTCATCTCCAACCTTGTCGGCGGAGTAGGTTCCATACCCGGCCAGCGGGTCCTGGGTCCAATGTGTAGTTTCAACATTGATCAGGCCGGGCAAAGCCTTGTAGGGTTCTGTACGGAATAGTTTGAAAAGCGGTTCAAAAAATAGGTATATCTCCTTGGGATCTTGCATGTTCTCGATACGCTGCGTCAGAGGCTCGGCAATCTGTACGCACAGCTCTTTGCTGCCCGTCATAATCCATAGGTTGATTGTCACGGTGGCGTAGTTGAGGATGTTATCCTTCTCCCCGATGGAGTTTATACTGGGGGTGGACTGCACAGATGACCCGGATGAAGCATCCGATTCCTCTGGTGGAGATGGGTAGAAGACGAACTGGTCGTTTTCCTTTGACCAGAAGACTTCCTCGAACTCGAAAAACACTTTGCCTAGGGCGCCGTAGCTGAACCTGGACATGCCCTCTTGGATGTCACACGGCAAGGGCGGGTTGAATGAGATGAGGTTGTGGTGGTAGACCCCCAGTGGGCTACTCATAATAACTGCGTCTCCCGCAATGAAACCGATTTCTCCAGCAGCATCCTTGTACCGGATGCGAGCTGGCATGGTCCCGTCTTCGTTCCACTCTACCTCCTCAACGTGGTGGTTGAGTCTGATGATGCCATCGCTTCGGAGAGTCTCCGCAATCCAGTTCACGATGCGATCATAGCCACCCTTCATATATAGATTGCGCTCGGTGATGAAATAAGAAAGATGTTTGGACGATGCTTGATCCGTACTAGTTCCAATCCACAGTTCTACCTCACGGACAGCCTGTGGAGCCCAATCGCGCTCATCTTCGGTGATGAGCTGATGTTGGAGGACAAACTCTTTGGCGAATTCGTGGACAGGACGGTCCTCGGCCTCCGGGTTAGTTTCGTAAAACCACTCGCAGTAATCCGCGAACTCGTCTGCGACTTTCTTGGCTTTGAACTGGGATCCAGCTCGACCCTCTCTAGTGAAGTACAGAGGAACGCCATCGTCATAATAATATGGGATAGATAGCTGGGGAATGAGTTTCACCAGGCTGTTCTGGGAAGTTTCATGCATCCAAGCGGCGCCTTTTGACTATCAGCACATTTTCTTTACTCTCTCTTCTGTTTGAATCTCTGTGTGAGGCGCTTATCTTTATCTTACCAATATCTCGGACATGGTCACCCTTTCGAGTGGTTAGGATTCTTCCACCAATGCGATCGCGTGCTTCTAATACCACCACTTCACAACCGTGGCGGTGCAGGACAGCCGCGGCATGTAGGCCCGAAACGCCAGCTCCCACCACAATCACCTTCTTGCGCTCCGACCTCGCTGCGTGTGTTCCCTCGATCAACTCCTTCGGAGTCACATCGAGCGCAACCAGGTCGGAGCAACAATTACTAGGTTTTATAGGACTAATCCCTGTGATAGGAGAAGAAATGTGGAAAGATTGAGCCATTCTGAGTTGACAAGTTGACATTCGAGTTTGAAGATTTGGAGTATTGGAGTAAACAAGGATTACGTTGAACGGAAGTTGAGGGGGTTTAGGTTGTGTTATCGCAGTGCATAGTGACCACTATGGACTTTGGTCCTATTGGCTTTTATTGCCAGCAGAAATTTGGCTATCTACGTCCACGGGGTGATTTTTTCAGTTATTATAGGGTAATAATTAATTGAGCACTTTTAGTCACATGGATAGATTGGTATCATATACGGAAAGGTAATTTTTGTAGGAATTATGAATTAGTTCGCGGGTTTTATAGAGATGCCAAATGATATCTCAAAGGAAAAGATATTAAAAAGCCAACGTGATGAATCGTAATTATAATGTCTATATCATCTTTCACAATAGTGTTCAAATTATCCAAGTCCTCTATCTTTAAATATAGCGTATAAGCGGGCTATTCTGTTTCTATATGAATGGCTAAATATAAATCCCGCGGTGTATAGAATACTTATCAGATATAAAACAATTAAATTATAATTACTTTCAAGGTAGAGATTCAAGCGGTGAATCCTCAAAGCCAATAGGACCAAAGTCCCCAATGGTCGCTATGGACTGCGATAGGCTCTGAGGGGAAACGAAACTCGCGCAGTTCATTGTCAGCTCAAAAAAAAGTTTGTATCCACTTTATTGAAAGAAATACAGCATTCTACCACTACATCATAGCAAAAAATAAGTATCTTTTTATGGCCTACAACATAGGGAAACTATATTCTCTGACGCACTTTGTTTCCAAATTGGACTGGACCCGCATCTTTGCCCGCATGTACCCGCATCGACCTGCAAATCAGATATGAGATTTGGCGCGGTTGGATAGGATTGCCCAGGTCAGGTGAGCCTCGAATAGCGTCCAATCAGACCAACTATGTAGATAGCCTTGGAATGTCCCAATATCGTGGATTTCACCGGGGTTACCGATGACAGCCTTCCAGAACGGATGCCGGATTAACGTTGCAGCTTGTTGGTTACACATTTCGAATAGGAAAAAGTCAAAAAGCAAATATATCGTTCATTTATGAATCTAAAGGATCGGAATAGACTATCGGAAAGAATCGAGAGAGGGAACAAGGAGAAAGGCAAAAGGCAAACAACATTCCAATGCGGGTGGGAGGGGCGTGTGACTCGAAGCTGCCAAGCACTTAATCCTGTACGAATCCCTTGTACTTCAACGGTTTTTAGATCATTGCACAAGAGTTTGACATATACCTATGTAGTAGACCTCTGAGAATCATGTTCCTGGGACTCATAGAAAAGGTCCCACCTTGGAAAGCCAAAGTGAATCATCACAGTTCGATATTTATGCCCTATAAAAGCAAGATACTATGAGAAAACAGTACCTACTCTATCAATATATCAGTAATACTAGCCTGAAGTCTCTTTCAAATACTATTCGAGGATCGATCACGAGATCACGGTCTGCCAAAACCCTATACCGCAGCCTCCCTTGATGGATTCGCATTCTCCACCGGGCTTCCTCGCCTACTAAGCTAGGTTCTAGATCAACCCATCTAATCAGTCAGCCCCTTGGTCGATGTTGGCGTAAGGGCAAACCAGAATAAACCATGACGTCTTCCAGAGGCAAGGTTCCCAGCCCTGTGTAGTATAACGCCTCAGGGGGGATTCCAAACTGAGTTCTATGATAAGATCTTCTCATAGCAAGCTGACGATGAACAAAATAAAAGTTGTAAAAACCGTAGCATAGATAAGACCTCGGGACATTGGCCATTTGATATACCATTTTTCCGCAGGGCCCTGACCGTCTTTGTTCAGATAAACTGTGAACTAGATAGAGATGATGGATTGGCTTCTTTTAAAAGTTTGGTCAACATAATCGCGCTGTGTGAGGATGTCCAACCAACAGGATCCGTACTGTTGTGTTGTTCCGATGTCTCAAATTTTCACCCGAGGTACTCCGGACATGGGCGGGAACCTTGAAGCTCTCCTCCCAAAACGCGTTACATACGACCTAGATGTGTTAGTTATATAGGAAGTGAAAACATTGAGCCATTATCAGTTGACGAGTGGCCGAATTCTAAGTGTAAACACGCATCACACGACCAGAAAGGGGATTTGGGGCTATAATAAGCCAAGATCCACGGTCGCTGTCCGGGCACTGGATGTGAATCTTCCATTTCATCATCCTCATATATTCAATCTCAAATGTGAATATAAAAAGAAGATGAAGTACTTAAGTTTCGGCGTAGTCCGTGAGCAAATGCTTAGCCTCTTATCTGCCCCACATGGAAATCGAAAATTCTTCACGATTTTCCCTTCCTTTTTTCCCCATTCTCATAGAGAGAACTGACAACCCTCTCTGTAAAAATGTCTCCATGACGGGCTTGCCAGGCCGGGTACTTATCAGATTCCAATTTTGAATTTTAGAAATGGAGGACCTATTGCTCAATGGCACCGAGCGCATTTGCGTTGACGGGGAAGTCAAATTGATTCCTGCGCCCACCAATTCTCCAAATGATCCAATGAATTGGAGCACCTGGAGACGGTACTGGCATTCATTTTTGGTCCTTGTGTTTGTCGCTCTGACCGCGGCAACCGCCAACGATGCCGGCAACGCTGGCAACGGCATGAACGCTGAGCTGGGTATCACGTGGAACCAGATCAATACTGCCGCAGGTGTCTTGTTTGTCGGTATTGGATATACCACATTGCTCCTCGGCCCAGCACCTTTCTTATATGGAAGACGTATTTCCTATCTGATTTGTCTGATGTTTTCCATCATCGGCGCCATCGGGCTAGCCCGCACCCAAAATGTCGGAGACAACATCTGGAGTCAACTTTTCGTGGGAGCCTCCGAATCCTGCGCGGAGGCACTTGCCCAGCTCTCTCTTTCCGATCTGTTCTTTCAGCATCAAAGAGGTCTGGTACTAGGATTGTACATTCTTGCCACGAGTATCGGTACCTTCATGGGACCCATGGTGTCTAGCTTTATCACCAACTCTCCCCTGGGATGGAGATGGGTAGGCTGGCTTGCTGCCATCATATCTGGGGGCTTGATCTTTGTCTTTTACTTCACATTGGAGGAAACATTCTTCGATCGCAACAACCCTATTCACGGACACGATGCGCCTGCTGGCAAGGCTGAGGGCTCATCGAATGACGTCCTGGATAAAAAAGATAAACCCATCGCGAGCGTGCAGCCGACACCCTCCGACAGTGAGCTCGACGAAGAATGTGGGCGGGAAAAAGGAAAGACTTATTTCCAGCGTATCGCCCTGATCACCCCATCGCCAACCCTGGTCGGGACGGGCTTCAAGCAGTATTGCCGTCGCCTCTTGCACACACTGCGCGTCTTCACCTTCCCGGCAGTCATCTACTCTGGTCTTCAGTGGGGCGCCCAAGACGCCTGGCTGACCTTCTACCTCACCGTCGAAGCGGACAATTGGTACGGGCCACCATGGAACTACACCGATGCCGCAGTGGGCATCATGAACGTGCCGACGCTAATCGGGTCGGTCCTCGGCTGTATCTACGGTGGATGGTTCTCCGACTTCTTCGTTATGTGGATGGCCAAGCGAAACAACGGCATCTTCGAGGCTGAGCAGCGTCTCTGGCTCCTGTTGCCTGTTGCGATTATCGGTCCTGCCGGTCTCATGCTATTCGGGATCGGCTCGGATAAAGGCTGGGACTGGCATATGCCGTATCTTGGTCTGGGATTCATTGGTTTCGGCTGGGGTTGTGCAGGCGATCTTAGCATGGCGTATCTCATGGATGCGTACCCGGATATGGTGCTGGAGGGCATGGTCGGTGTCGCTGTCATCAACAACACCATTGGTTGTCTCTTCACGTTCACCGCTCAAAGTTGGTTGGATGCGCAGAGTCTCGCGCAGGTCTTCATTGCGATTGGCGTGTTGAGCTTCTGTTTTATTATGACTACTGTTCCGATGATGTACTGGGGCAAGAAGTGTCGGCAGATGACTCGGAAGCAGTACGAGGCATTCCTGCTGCTTCGTGACGGACCTTCTAGTTGACGATGTGTCTACTAGCCATTATCATTCTATGTTCATGTCGTTCCTTTTCTCGATGTATATGTACGATTTTGCAATAATCTCTGTGTTTTATAGCTCTAATGAAATAAGAATGTCCCATGTGCTCTGGATTTACCATTTCTGTTTGTACCTTCACTAGCTAGTAGTTCTACTCCGCTTCCGAGCCAGCTTGCAGTGTTGTTTTGCAGTAGGAGAGAGAAAAGAAGAACGGGAGTTTCTTTCTCCGGTCATTCGGGACACTGTTGCAATCGTATGAGTACCAACCAGCTTAGCGAAATCTTCGATAGGTCATGTCTGAGAATAATTTGGAGACGTAACTCAGACATAACACATTAGGGCACTTCTAATGCCCCACAAAAGAAACTAATTCTCAAGCCCTCAAAATTTGTCTGAAAGGTAGTATATTGAGTCAATGTGCGTAGGTCGTTCGTCAACACTCTGATCTGATCGGGACACAATCAAAATGTAAGCAAACAACATTTGTCATATTCCATGCAATAAATAATGGAGTACAGAGAGAATATCGACTAAAACTCGCAAGATGCCAAAGTCGGGGGAAATGTTCTCAGGCGTACGTAGCCCTCCCGCTAGCTCCCAATTTGGGGGCAACCACGCAAGCTGCCCCGTCATCCTCCATCCAAGCTTTTTCAGGTGGATAGCCAATTAATTCCAAAGCCACGACTGATACCGATATTCTACCTGTCTCCCAAGCCTGCTCCACTATGGTTCCTATCAACAGAACCAATCGTTATCCCCCAGTATGGTGGCTGAATGCGTGGTCGATGTGATGTTCCAAGGTTGCATACCGACATCTAAGAATAAAACTAACGAACCCATGTTCGTGTATCTGCTGCTCTCGCTTGCTCGCCGAGGCTAAATCTTACTTCCTATAATTCCTGGGGATTCGCTCGTTTTTCTCAATTCTTGTTGATCGTTCTGTGCATCTATTACTTTGTTCGGTCACTCTGCTCTACCGGCTTCAATATGGCTTTCAAGTCTTACTACCAATGGGCTACTCTCGCCCTGGCTGCGACTGCTGCTGCTCAAACTACCACCAGCTGCAACCCTATGAAAAGTATGAACTATCTCATATAATTCGCCGCGAAACCGCACTGACAATTCCTTTCCAGAGACTTGCCCAGCAGACACCGGTCTGAACAAGTACCGTCTGAACACCGACTTCACCTCGGGATCCCTAGGTCGCTGGAACACCACCGCCGGCACCGTAACCAGCACCGACCTCGGCGCCAAGTTCACTATATCGGAGCAGGGTGACGCGCCCACAATCGAAAGTGAATTCTACATCTTCTTCGGCCATATCGACGTCAAGATGAGAGCCGCAAACGGCACCGGTATCGTCAGCACCTGGATCCTAGAGTCTGACGACCTAGACGAGATCGACTGGGTGAGTCTACCGACAGTGTTCCAAACCACCAAGAACCACAACCACTAATCCCAAAAACAGGAACAAGTCAGCACCTGGGACACAGAAATCCAAACCAACTACTTCGGCAAAGGCAACACAACCTCCTACGACCGCGGCACAACCGTAACCGTCTCAACCCCCGAAGAAACATTCCACACCTACTCAATCGACTGGACCTCAGAGCGGATCGAGTGGCTCATCGACGGCGAACTCGTACGCACACTCAAATACGCCGACGCCCTCGACGGCGCAAACTACCCCCAGACACCCATGCGCATCCGCATCGGTATCTGGGCCGGCGGTGACCCAGATAACTCCGAGGGCACGATCGAGTGGGCCGGCGGCGAGACTGATTACACAGAAGGTCCTTTCTCCATGTATGTTGAGTCGGTCAATATCATCAACTACAACCCGGCTTCGGCGTACAAGTACACCGATAAGACTGGGGATTATACGAGTATCAAGGCTACGAACGCTACTACGTCGACTAACTTGAGTTCGTCGAACTCTAGCTCGATTGTTGCTTCGAGTAGGACTTCTGCTTCGGCGAGGGCTAGTTCGTCTTTGGTTGGTTCTTCGTCGGCTTCGGCTTCGGCTTCGGCGGCGGCTTCTTCTAGTAGTTTTGTCTCTGCTGCTCCGGTTTCTTACTATACTTCTGCTTTTGCCATTGCTGTGGTCTCGCTTATTGCTGGATTGGTGCAAATTTAGATGGTTGTGTTAGTCATGTTATAGGTCTGGGTGGTTTGTTAGTGAGACTGGTTTGTGGATATACAAATCACTTTTGCTCTTTGGCCATTTCTTTGTGTTATAGTGCTCATATTACATATAGGAATGCAGACCCAGCGGATACTCACTGACTGACTGTATGAATACTCAATAGCCTTGAACGACTATAGTGGTAGCGAGCCAAAAGAGATTGCAGCCATAATAGAGCGTTCATTTAGCGACTTTTTTTCAGGTCTATTTTCAAGTTACTCTTCACTCTGTAAGATTTTCTAACAAGATGACTCTCTACACAGATTTGGTGGTGGAACCCAGAATCATTGGGCGTAGATTCATTAACACTAGACGGGATTACACAGGGGTAGTAGCCGTGTCAACGCGTCAACGTCAACAACACACCGACTGTCAACTCAACTTCAATGTGCTAGAGCTTTATACCAACCCATCTAATGATATCTTTAGTAGGAAGAAGTTTGAATGCTCGCCTGCGTGTGAACACAATCAGAACACAGCCAGGGACAAGCCCCGCTTATCGCATCCCCAGGGGAGCCTCATCAACAACAACAACCCTTCAATTGAGAGACTCATCAACACTAGACCCTGTCTCTGTCAAAGAGAAGCCACGTTCTTTTCCAACAGAGGGATTCCCAATTATCGGACCAGACCAGCCAGCCGAAGAAGAACAATTGTTCGACTACAGCGTCCATCGATACTACCCAGTATATATCGGTGAGCTCTTCCAGGACCGCTATCAAGTATGTTCAAAGCTAGGCTGGGGTAGTTGTTCAACTACCTGGTTAGCCAAGGACCTCAAGTTTGTCATAATCAAGCTATTTCTTCTTGTTTCAATAACTGATAGTGTATTATTGCAGAGACGGGAAATATGTCGCATTGAAGGTCTATATCCACAACTCGGTATTTCACCGTGAGCTCCCATTCTACAAACACATTACTCCCCTCATGTCGAGTAATCATCCAGGGGCAGGGAGTATTCGGCGGTTCTTCGATTCTTTCACAATCACGGGCCCGGACGGCAGGCATATCGTGCTGGTTCAAGAACCTGCCGGCGTGGATCTATTCGAACTCAAAGACAACATGCCCGAGAGCAGAATTCCAGAATGGACAGTCAAAGATGTCCTGAGGGAGTTACTCCAGGCCCTGGATTTCTTGCATATGGAATGCAGGGCCGTACACACTGGTCGGTTATTATCCCATGTCCAACTATTTGGCGCACTTATCTACTTACTTACCTTTGATAGATGTTCACATCGGTAATTTGCTAGCATGCATGGAAGACATCGAAAATGCCAGCTTCAAAGATGTTGAGGAATCCGAAATGACCAACCCGTCAGCACGCAAGCAGGTATCGCATGATCGAACCATTTATGCCTCGCGAGCCATCTTTCCGAAGGAGGGACCGCTGCGTCTTTCTGGCTTCAGTGAAGCTAGGATCGGACCTGGTCCGTATGATTATCCTGCCATGCCTATGCCATATCGCGCACCTGAGATAACGCTCGGGGTGCCGTGGAGCTATCCCATTGATATCTGGTGTGTTGGGCTTGTGGTTCGTTCTTTCTATATTTCACTTCTGATGGCTTCTTCTTAACACAAATGCTGGTTTTTCAATATAGGCACGTGATCTTCTTGGGCTGGGTAGGCCTTTCAATGCCGACCACGAGGCCGGCGATATGTATGAGGCAGCTCATCTTGCAGAGTTGATTGCTGTGCTAGGTCCGCCGCCTGCTGCGTTTCTGGCGCTCAATCCTGAGAAGGCGGCTCAGTTCTGGGATGAAGAAGGTATGTGTTGATTTGCTTGATATTTTTGTGTTTGACGGGATTTATTGCTGATTTGGTTATCCAGGGAGATGGAAGGACATTGTTCCCATTCCTGAGAGGGGCATGCTTGAGTCGTTAGAAGGTCAAATGGATCTACCTCTTGCGTTTGTGAAGTTCATGCGCAGAACTTTGACCTGGATGCCTAATGAGAGAGCGACTGCTAAAGATCTTCTTGAGGACCCTTGGTTGAACGACTGATGTTCTCCAATGCTATATATGATATGGAGAGTGCTTAATAGAACAATCTCTACTTAACATATTCCTACCAGTTCATTTCGTCTACTTTTTATCATTAGATTCAGATGTAAATAAGAGACTCAGGGACAAATTAGATATGTTCTTGATTTCAATTGAGGTGCAGGGATTGACACGTCTGACTACATACCCATAGCTTTTATGCTTCGTCCAACTATACTAAATAAAAACCACAAAAAAAAAGAATTCAATTCAATTTAACATCACATTTACCAAAAACAAAAAAGAAATTGTTGTGCATCATCCGTGAATCGAACACGGGCCTCGTCGATGGCAACGACGAATTCTACCACTAGACCAATGATGCTAGTTGATGTGTGGAGACTCGGTTGTTCGCTATATGAGCTGATTGTGCAAGTTTTGTGTGAGATCCACTATTTCTGTTAGATGCCATGTTATTTCTTTGATAATAAGAGACAATGCTATGGTGGAATGCTTCTTAACTGTCATATTGAATGCAAATTGGCTGTATCCTTCATATGCAATATATTATTTAGGGGCTTATAGTATTTTCGTCGCTCCATTTATTCGGAACTACTATACCCGAAGATATATATGTGGGATACATCTCAATTATTCATCAATTCCCATTGTAATCAATACAGGATATTCGCACATCAATTAACAAACAGATTTACCGAGACGATGCCGACGAGATAACAATGAGTTGGTCATTAAAACATGGATAGATGGTAGGTACTTCGAAATGTAAAATCTGCCACCCCCAGTGAAGAAAGGCAACAATATGCAACAGAAATAGTATATATAGAAAAATCATTGTTCATCAGTGAACGGAGGAGGAGGGTTGACGATATCTCGTATCGCCGGAGAAAAAGGATACTGATCGTCAAAGTGATCCAGCTCGCTTCCGTCACCACTGTACCCAATGCTATCACGATTGTCATCAATGATGCGTCCGTACTCGAGGAGAAGAAGATAGAGATAGATGTCAAGATCTTCGTTGCGCAGCGCATTCTGCGCCCATTCCCGACTCTGAGATGCGATCACCTCGGCCTCAAAATCATGGTTCTGGATGTATGGTTCGCTAATTGAGAACGCATCCACAGGGGTTGCTTGTGGATCCAAACCGAGGAAGTAGGTCATTAATCCGTACAGGTCATCGTAACGATTGTCCATGGGGACGAAGTGACGCCAGGGGAAGAGCCGGGAGTCATGCCATTCTCGGAAAATAGTTGCCTTGATCCCCAGGGATTTGCTGAGCTGAAACGCGCGCCATCGGCCGGAGAAACTGTGGCCGTCGATGTCGACGAGGTATTTTGCCTTGAACTGCTCGCTGAAGTCCTTTGGCTTTTTGTAGGTCCAAACATTATCGTAGAAGGAGCAGTTTGGAATGCAGCCCCAAGCCTCAATGAAGCCGACATCAAAGTGGTCCAATGAAAATTTATTTGGGTAGAAACTGGGGTAGCTACGATAATGCCCCAGGCTGGTCTCGGAGAGGATTGAGACCGTCTCCGATATCATCTCAGTGTTGTTGGTAATGTGCACAAAGCGTTGGCGGTGCATGTGCTGCCAGTTATCCGCAAGCTGCACACCCCCGGAGGTGACCCCACGCCAGAGGAGAGTGTCCGCTTTCTCTTTCCACTCGTAGTCATGTCGCGAATTGTACACGTACCGCTTGTCGTTTAGGAAATACATATTTGCAGGAAAAAGGATGTCATTGTTGACGCTGACCTTGCATTCGCTGAAGACTGGGATCAGTTTTCTTGTGATGAGGTTGCTGGATGCCGAGAACAGAAACCCGTGGTTCTCCCCAAGAACGGGACCGACAGTGCAAAGATCAGAAGAAGCAGTAAAGTTAGTGACAAACCCACCCAAGGGGGATTTGTATAGCTTATTGGCGTCCTCTACAGTGAGATTTTCATTCCGAGCGGGAGAGTGAGGGTCACAGGACTCTTTAGCGAAGTCCATGTATAGCTTTCCAGCGATCGAGAACCAGGATGGGTCAACACGTTCCTCGACGTTGAAACCTTTCTTATACAGATAGTCCATGCCTGGCGTGAATCTATCTTGCGCATTGCTGGGTAAGCTTCTGGTGAGAGCTTCGGTGCGGAGGTATTCCTGAGTATCCTCAAATGAAACCATGACTCGCGGCTGATCCATAATATTAAGCGCAATATCCATGTCCGGAAGGTATCGAACAATGCGATTAATCGACTTCCTCAGTGTTTCGATTCTCCACCCCTCAACGGGGGAATAAACAACCTTCTTATTGCGAATTTGCACACCTGCAATACCGTCGCTGGATTGTAGCTCGGCTGCCATCTGTCGAATTTCCGCCGGAGGAACCGCCCAGAAAGGCCGCAGATCGCCTGTAATCTGTTGGAAATCGTCCACATTATGTGCCTTCTTTTTGCGTGCGAACATGTACCATTCCTTAAAACCGGGAGGTGGGTGTCGTCCATATGTTTCACGGTATTTGGCGACTGTTTGGCGGAAACTCGTCGAGCGACCATTATCGTATGCTAGCCATTGTCGGTTCGATTCCCTCATTAGGTCGCCGATAGGGTGTTCATCACGCGCATACTCTCCGATAACGGGGTTCGTTGTTGCGGTGAAGAGATTCAGATTAGGGAGGCGGATCACGGAGTTGTCGACAGCATGGGTGAGGAATAGGAGGTTGATGAAGCATATCGAAGTTACTGCGCAGACCAGTACCAGGTATAATAGCCTGCGATTCCGAGGGAATGGGCCGAGCATTGAAAACGGTTCCCAGGGCCGAGAGCTAGGTCCGGCCGCACACTAAATTTGAACGATCTTGCAGGGGTTGAAAGGCCAAAGCACAAAGGCTATGAGAAGGACGTGGAAAAGGACATGATTGTAATAAACATGTCAAGAGTTGAGAAGAGGGAAAAAAAAATAAAGAAAAAAGCCGCCATAATGCCCTTAGCCCAATGTCCAGAAGGCTGTTCCAACGCCAAGGGTTTACACAACAAACACCGTACGAAGAATAAAGTTCTTGGCTTATCTTTCATTTTAAAAAAATACAGGTAATATTTTAGAACTGTAAAGGACCTATCAGACGAATGTATACCCTGTTATTGACATTTATAAAGCATACATATAGAGCATGTAGATCACCCAAAAGGGGTTGGAGATCAAAGATCAAAGGAACGTGGGCGAGTTGCCCAATCAGGAGCACTCGGCGTGGATGCCCGTGAAGTCTTTTTGATTCGGATACGGCCGGGTCTGCCAAGTTTTTACAAGAGATTAATAAATTACCAAACTATTTCCTTTGGTATCACTATTTTACGGTGAAATTTAGAGAAAGAATTTCAGTGATCTATAAAATATTAGACTAACAACATTAGGGTTATTTTCTTCACGGGTCAGTGAGACATGGACGGGTAAGATTTCCGCTGACTCAGATGTTATGTAATCCAAACCTTTGATGGCCTCAGGCATTAATTTACAGCTAACTAAGAGCTGTCAAATGCGACCCTCACAGATCTTTATTACAACTTCTTTCAGCGCACACAATTTCTCTCATGCAGATGACGTGATCAATAATCCTCATGGGTGACTGTCCCATCCGAAAATCATGGCCCTAAAACGTACTCGCGCCGCACTCGAGGCCGAACTTCAAGCAGAGCAATCCCCATACGCCTTCTATGGAACCCCGTTACCACCACTTGAAGAGGGGGTTCGCGATGATGGCTCTTTTGTGCCAATATGGAAACAAGAACTGAGGGATGAACATGGAAGCAAACGTCTTCATGGCGCCTTTACCGGTGGATTCAGCGCGGGGTGAGTAGCCTCTAGACCAATGACCCTTAGACGGACAACAGCTGACGTCTTCTAGGTACTTCAACTCCGTCGGCTCGAAAGAAGGATGGACTCCCGCGACCTTTGTCTCATCGCGCCAGAACCGTGCCCAGAAGGCCGAACAAAAACGACCCGAGGATTTCATGGACGCGGATGACTTGCGAGAACAGGAAGAAGCCAGACAACTCCAGACCGCCGATGAATTCGCCGGTTTCGGCTCGACTGAGCTAGATGCGACACGCAGAGCAGGACTCATGGATATATTAAAAACCGGCGGAGAAACCATGGGAGTCAAGCTCTTGAAAAAGATGGGTTGGCGCGAAGGTCAAGGGATCGGGCCTAAGGTGCGACGCAAAGCTAACCTGGATGAAACCTCTCCAGGTGGTGATGCGGAGGAAACATACCTTTTTGCGCCTGAAAACCCACCCATGGTTGCCTTCATTCGCAAGACCGACCGCAAAGGTCTTGGGTTTGAAGGCGAATCGCGCCTAGAGTCCCACAATGCTTTGCAGCCCATCCCAAATGGCGAGGAATCAGATTCGTTCTTTGGGGGGCGATTGGCCATTGAAGGGAAATCTCAGCCCCCAAAGCCGAATGATTCACGGCGGGGAGGACTCGGGGTTGGCCCTCTCAATGACACTGGATCGGACGACGAGGATCCTTATTCCCTAGGTCCACAAATCTCATATAACAAGACCATTGGAGGGGATAAGAAGAAAAAGAAAAAGGCCAAGCCAGAACCAACAATCGCATCGGCCAACCCACTCCTGAATCTAAAGCCCGTGTTCATATCGAAGAAGGTGGCCGCATCACGCGGCACTGGAGGCTTCAGAAAGTGCCGCGATGGGCGCCTACCACTAGATGGATTCATTCTTGCCGATGGGATCACAGGACTGTCGATTTCAGACAAGAAATACGATCCTCCTGTGATACCCGAGGACTGGAAATCGGCCAAAGAAGTCTCGTCAGAAAAACGGGAGAAATCGAATTATATCTCTACAGCTGATGCCGCAAAAGCCTCGTTGCTTAATCCCACGGCTAGAGCAGCACTTCTGGGCGAAGCTCAACTACCTGGGAAATCTATCTTTGATTATATGACCCCCGAGGGACGAGCGAAGATTGCTAAACTTACGGGCAACGCCAATTTACCTCCGGCTTTAGGAGAAAAGGCACCCGAAGGATACCAACTCCCTGAATCACAAAAACGCAAGGATCTTTGGGACCTTGTCCCAAAGCTCGACAAACAGATTGCCGCCCAAGCTCTAGCTCGGGCCGTAAGTGGGTGGATGCCTTACCAAGAAGATGAGAAAAAGCGTGCGCGTTACCAAATATTCCTCGAAGTAAGTGCTGGGACTCGATCTACCCTCCCAGAACGAGTGGAAGGGTCCAGCACCGATGAATGGGTCATAGAGATGCAAGAATTTGGCCGAGCTGCAGAGGTCTTCAAACCCATGTCCGGAGTTATGGCATCCCGATTTACCTCCTCATCCGCTGCGCCTAAGATTGTCTCGGATGCCCCTGATTCAGCAGAATCTGGACTCAGCAGACCCACCGAAAAGCCAGACGATCCTGCAGTAGCAGCTGCCAAAATTGGCATGTTCGGCCCAATGACCCGAAGCACAATACCCTTTTACCCAACTCGTCTTCTATGCAAGCGATTCAACGTCAAACCCCCAGAGAATGTGCAACTCGACCCCGGCGAACGACCTGGAGCTACTAGTTCCGGGCCCAGCACGCGTTTCCAGTCCGCTGGATTCCAAGCTGACACTGGCCCAAAGCAATTGGTGTCGCAGGATATCATGAACCAACTTCTCATAGACTCGTTAGGCTACCTACCTACAGCTGATGGTCTTGATCCATCTGCAAGTGGTCAGTCTGCTAACGCGGCGCCACCGGTAGTTGTTGAACCTGAGCGCAATGATGCCCTGGAGGCAGAACGGCCCGGTGATGCTGTTTTCAAAGCTATCTTTGGAAGTGACGATGAAGATGACTAGAAGCCCATTTGTATAATCCAATGAAAATTCATGTAATTTTTTTTTTTGTTATAGTTGTGTACTCTGTACGAATCAAGCAATTATGCTCTGTAGATCATTGTGTGACTGTTGGAGTCGTCCCAAATGGCAATAGATCGAATGAGAGAAATTGTGGAATGTTACCCTTGTTTCTGTATGTTTCTGTTTCTGTTTGTTGTTTCTGTTTCTATTTCTGTTTCATTTTCATTTTCATTTTCATTTCCTTTGGCTGCCTCCTTTTATTGCCTCCTCTCTCTTATTAGGTCTGTGCTCAGCCTTAATGATCTAGTCACTTTAGTTGAGATCGCCACTACTCCACGCAACCCCCGGGGGCCCCTCTCAAACTATTTCCCCTCCTCATATGGAGCTCCTTGATTGCTAGCATGGTAAGAACCAGACCTCAACTCGCAAGATCCTATACATATATCATCATCATTAAGACTGGTCACATTGCTTGGCGCTGTCACACGACTTAAAGCCCCGGCTCTCATCTCCATACTACCAAAACCCGCAATGGCACCATAAATCACAACTAACAATCCCTCTTCAATACAGGGCTGCTGCGCATCTGTGCTGTCGCGTAATATCGACAATCAACCCCAAGAACACATCTCACATACAACAGCTACGAGGGATACCAGCGACCGCTCCACACAGCCGCGGCAACGAAGTCGGCGCCCCCCAAAACCTCCCCCTAAACGTGCACTACAACCAGCCAGTGCGTAACCATGTATGGCGCAGCAAGCGACGAACATGGACGCGCGCGCAGCTGGACCGTGAGCGCACCGAGTTCTTCGAGACGCGCGTTACCGGCAGGCCGGAGATCTGGGCTGCTCTTTCGACGGTGATATCACTGATTCGAGGCGGTGACTTGGTTACTGCACAGAGTATTATTGATGCCGCGGGAATTACTATTCCCACCGGAGATCTTTGTGAAGGTTGCTATGATGAGCAGGGTGTGCTTTACAGAGTTCCGCAATGTGTTGTTAGTGATCCGGAGAACATAGTTCTTTCGTCTTCACGGACGGCTAGTGAAGATGGTGGTCCTGCTGGATACGAGGAGGAGCCGGATACTGGGACGTTGTCGGATGGTAAGCTCGCTACGGATGATGCTTCCGGGGACGAGTTGATTTCTCAGGATCTTGAACGTCGCCGTGATGAGAAGGGGAAGACGAGTGAGCGGGATTTGATCCGTGTATTTGCTCGTTTGAGTGATCGTGGAGGTCCTGATATTGTGCTTTCTATTGGTAAGGATCAGACTGTGGGACTTTTGGCGAGGAAGGTGCATCAAGAAGCTAAGGTTGGTTTTTGTTATTGATCTGTTCGCTTCGTTTTGTGGATTACTGCTAATTTGTTGTTTAGCTTGAGGATGATAGACGTGTTCGAATCGCTTACCTGGGTCACTTGCTGAATGAGCGTGCATCGCTCGTTGATCAGGGGTGGAAGACTGGGCATGTTGTCAATGCTTTGGTCGTTTCCCCCGTTGATGATCTAGGCCTTGGACACCAATCCTAGGAGGACTTGCTACGGGGCTTTTTGAGCATCGCCAATAGCCCCGTCAGTATCACTATTTTCTCTCTCTCTCTCTCTCTCTCTCTCTCTCTATCTCTCCATTTGGGCCTCAAGCGTTCTGGCGTTGCTGTCATCTGATCTCTTTTTGCATAATACCCCGAGTCTTTATTTTACTTTTTGCTCAAATCTCCTCTTCATTTTGCCATGATCTCTCGCGTGGGGGTATACATACTTGATGAAAGCAAACTGGCTCTCAACACGTATCATTACCCTTGTCAAATTCCGTGCCTCTAATTACTTCATCTAGCTATGACCATGCAACGTCTTCATTCTTCCAAGGCCCCAGCTGTGTCATCCTCTTATGTAAACCTAACCTAGCTACCTAGGTGGGTAACAATGGTTCTCTACCAATATACCCGAGATACTTACTCAGTTCCCGAAACCCCATTACGGAACCACACCGATCAAAGCAGCCATTTTCATCTGAAACACAAGCATTTCCAAGGTAGATCTGCCTATCCCAAGTTCCCGCTTGTTTTAGCGAGCTTTTTCTGCCAATGAACCACCCGCGATCGTCATATGTAGATCGTCACGTGCCGTGACGTACGTGGAGAACCCTATCACAACCCCAAACTTCTTTCGCATCTGGTAGCTCTCTCATCCCGCGTGTTAATACCCCACATTCTCTTTGGCGTGGTGGTTTATAGACAATACCTATAACTAGACTATGGACTACGAAGCAGACCGTCAGACGCGCGAGGTATATCGGTATTTCCAGCCCGAAAATCCAGCGGCGCTGAATGCTACACTTCTCCAATTTGATGAACATGTGGGCTCGATAGCAGATTTTTCAAGAGTGACGACCCCTTTTCTACTGGATGCCTCTGACTCAGAAACGAGTTTCGTTGAAAGAAGCTCTCCGTCAAGTCCAAACACAACTTTGACTTCTTTTGCACAACTGGCCGCTCTACGTCTGAACGCACAGCGTGCTTTTATTACGTAAATCACTCTCCTGCTCTAGCGTGGACCATGATCTGACTTTGCCAAAGTGTATTGAACACCGACTCTCAGTTTATATTGGCTGAAGCCACAAGGAACTCCAATCTTAAAAGCTCAAAGTCATCCGTCGGAGAAGGAGATAGACTCTTCGCTGGAACGACGACATTATCAGATACTTGGAATATATGCCAGGTAAGCCGATACTTCGAATATTGCCACTTTTTACATATTGACGCTTATTCCTTCGAACAGGAAACAGTTGCAATTGACCCAGACAACGAAGATGGATTATATTCATTTATGGTTGTCAACGATCTTCAACAGGAAGAACGATTCAGAGACTTGCCTTTTGTCGCACAAGAGCCACACTCTCGTTTTTATGCCGCAACGCCTCTAACCAGTGAGAGCGGTATCAATTTAGGATGTCTTTTTGTATTGGATCCTGAACCCCGCCAGGGGCTATCTGACACCGAGAAGGATACATTAGGGAGAGTGGCAGAGCTGGTAATGGACTATCTAATGGTTAGTCGCCAAGCTGCAGAAGGGCGACGCGCCTCGCGGCTATCGCGTGGTCTCCATCTTTTCGTCGACGGCAACTCTAGTTTTCCCAGCAACGCTCGCATGTCATCTCGGTCGAACAGCTCGGCACATTCAGCACACTCAGCACAGAGTTTGTCACCGCGGGGATCACCTCACTTGAGAGCCAGCCGATCAACAGGCTCCCAAACCAATGAACTAGAATTTCCCTCGCCACGTTCTGCGCCAGGAAATGGTTCTCAAAACGGCAACCCACGACCCTTGAGCCCAATTTCCAACCAGAATGACGTGCCTGTTCCCCCTAGTCCAACACCATCATTGCAAAGCTCGCGATATGGCGAGAGTAACTCGGAGGACTCCTCGAGTAGCAACCGCTGGCTTTTCCAACGTGCTGCGAACCTTTTACGACAAAGTCTGGACTTGGACGGTGCTGGTGGTGTCATGTTCATGGAGGCAAGTGACAACTCCTCCGAATATGTCGCAGCCGGTCATTGTGACTCCACTCAATCTACAAATCCTGCCCCTATTCTTGCGTTGTCAACCAGAGGTGATCCATTTTCATACCAGGCAAGCTCGACATTGTCAGATCCAGCTGTCAATCTTGACAATATCTTCCTGAAGCAGTTGACCCATCGATATCCCAAAGGGAAACTCTGGTCATTTCACCACGATGGAACATTCTCAACTTCGGAGGACCAATTAATCGACGAGTCTCGGAAACAAAGGAAGAAGTCCAAGGCTTCAGAGACCAGCAAACTGAATAAGTTCTTCCCTGATGCATCTGAAGTCATGTTTGTCCCACTTTGGAATGCCACAGATTCCCAGTGGTTCGCTGGCTGTTTCTGTTGGACTCCCCAGCCAACACGGGTTTTCAGTCCTGCTGTTGATCTGAGTTCAGTATTTGCCTTCGGGTCCTCTATTATGACTGAATATAGCCGTGTTGAATCAGTTATTGCAGACCGCCAAAAGGGGGATTTCATAAGCAGCATCTCCCACGAACTACGCAGCCCGTTGCACGGTGTCTTGGCTGCGGCCGAGTTTTTTGGAAGTACTAGCTTGGACCAATTCCAGGAGACCCTTCTCGATACGATAAATGCTTGTGGCCGAACTCTCTTGGATACAATGAACCAAGTTTTGGATTTCAGCAAAATCATGTCATTGGAAAGACACAAGAAAGCCTTGAAGCATGGAAAAGATCCGTGGAAACCCAAAATCTCCGAGGACACTGTGACGCGCCTGGATACACTGGTCTTGACAGACGTGGCTCTCTTGACAGAGGATGTTATAGACAGCGTGTGCTTGGGACATTCCCATATGCAGAGATCGGCCATATCCACCAATCACCACACGGATTCCTATTCAACCTCTTCTTCCAACTCAGCAAACGGTGGCAGCCAAGTCGATTCTGTCCCACAAGTGGAAGTCATTGTTGACATCCCTGATAATGACTGGATGTACAAAGTCCAGCCAGGGTCGCTGAGACGCCTAATTATGAATATTCTTGGCAATGCACTAAAATATACCAAAAAGGGTCGGATATCCATCTGTATGGAGGCCACTGAGCGCTCCAAGGGTCGCTCTCGACGTCAAGGTCTGGAAGACATGGTGACATTGACCATCTCAGACACGGGTAAGGGTATCTCGAAGGAATATCTTCGGAAGCACCTGTTCACTCCGTTCTCACAAGAAGATCCGCTATCAGTAGGCACTGGTCTCGGTCTGTCAATTGTTCGCGGTATTGTGAAAACTCTCAACGGGAAAATTAATGTTCGAAGCCGACAGGGCGAAGGCACTATTGTCAAGGTGTCGCTTCCTCTCGAACGTCTAGTGGGAGATGAAAGCCCACAATCAACGTCTCGTATGGAAGATTCAGACCACAATAGACTTGCACCATCTTCTCAACTCCGACGTGTTGACTGTAGTGGAAAACGTGCTGCTATCTGGGGAATCGATCCGTCTGATATTAGCGAGCACCCGTTCTGGGCTTCCATAGCCCGATATATCACGGATTGGTATGGTCTGAAGCTTGTTCCTGTGTCAGCCAATGAGCCTGTTGATATTATGTTTGTGAATGAAAGGGATTTGTCTGCAAAAGAAATGCAAAATTTCCCAGCAGCATTGCCAAGCTTGCTCATCATTTGTAGCCAGACAAGCAACCATGGTGATGCTAGGGCACAATGGTCGCACCTTGCTGATTCTTTGACAATTCTCCATCGACCTTGTGGTCCACGAAAACTTTCCCGCGCTATTTTGAGCTGTCTGTATGCAAAGCCGACACAACCTACGTCGAATCCGCAGAATCTCCAGGAAGGCCTAGTACTTTCAGAACGACCCGCTCTTACAGTCTCGCCTTTACCAGTCGAGGATCCGAACCCCTCATCACCAGGAAATCTACGATCACCAGCTCCTGAACCACAAATTCTCACCCCGGAGTCCAGCAATGAGACTATCAACCGCACGGAACGTAGTGATTCTGCGTTGACATCGCGTACCGACAGCTCTGCTCGGACATTATCCGGGAGTACTGATTCCACCAATCCTACGTCTTCTTCATCTGCTCGACCCTCCTCTCGTGACTTAGGTCAAATTAGCACCTCATCTGGGAGCGAAGGCAGACCCCGGGTCTTGGTGGTAGATGACAACAACATCAACCTTCACCTCATGATGACTTTCATGGAAAAACGAAAAGTGGTCGTCCTAGGTAGAGCCGAGAATGGCAGAGCAGCCGTCGATGCATTTGAAATGATGCCGCAAGGATACGATATCGTTTTTATGGACATGTCTATGCCAGTCATGGACGGATTTGAGGCGACGCGCGCCATTCGCGCAATTGAGAAAGAAAGAGATGGCTGTATTCCAGCAACAATCATCGCTTTGACAGGACTCAGCAGTTCACTCGATGAGCGCAGAGCCTTGGACTCGGGGGTGGACCTTTTCCTTATGAAGCCAGTTTCTTTCAAGGAAGTATCAAGGCTCATCGATGAATGGGAAGCTAAACCGCCAAATAAAACATGGCGATGACAGTTTTATTTGATACAGGCTTTCCACCCAAATTCGGAAGAGCATTTTCATGATCATGGTTAAATTGGCGTTTTTGGTTTTTTTTCCTCCATACCCTTACTGCATTCTGGCTGGACATATCATACATGGATGAGGGATGATAGCGAGATGCGATGCATTATCTAGCTTTTTTATTGCGCCCATACATATTATAGGGCCATTATTTATACACACAACGCTCATTGGCGGTAAATTGGACGCCGAAAATGGCTACTCTTGATGCCATTTTCAGCCTCCTGTTTACTAGGACAGTTGATCATCGGGATCCTGTTATTCGGACTGACATTCACCAGGCGTTTATTGGGCACTGCTTACTGTGCGATTATCCTTGAAGCAGTTTTGGGGAGACTATAGGCATAACTCTCCGATCTTGGTAAGTAGTCACCCATATCTCTCCACCTTAGAATATATGAAGGGCCGCATAAAGCAGATGTATAGACCACTAACCCTTAATCGACACTTGGATATGCTCAAGCGTCACCAGAAAAGGACTTACAGATTAACGGACTATTTGACTGCTGGTTAAATATGTAACATATCTATAATCAAGGCATGATGATACTCCAACACTTTTCATACTTCCCCTCTTTCAGCGGACTATGCGCCTTATATATCAGGCTACAACATCTTACCTAATCACCAATCTGGAGCTTCCAGACAAACAATGCAAACAACTCTATCGCAAAGGAAAAAAAATAATTTATCGCAATCTTCGATCTGGATTTTGAATCAAGACAGTTCGATAGTCTCGAACTTTTGATTGAATTCAACCCAATTACATACCTCTCCAGGGTAGTCTCTGTATACCACCACTGAGATCAACGACCACCTCCACCCTGATATCCAATCTTCTCAATCGCTAGTCTCGTCAATCCTTGAGATAAAACCGTACCAATGGACGGCCAAAAAACTCCCTTCGTGAGAGAGCTCGGCTCGAGCGGTATGAACATTATTTTTTCCATTGAAAAACTATAACGCTAATTGATCTCTTTAGACCGGAAAGTCCGCGACAAGGCTCTCGAGTCTTTAACCAAATTCGTGCAGTCTCGCACCGATCTGACCCTCGTGGATCTCCTCAAACTCTGGAAGGGCCTGTTCTACTGTATGCACCACCGCTATATTCGCCCAAGACAAACCGAACGAAAACTAACCTTCATCTAGGCTTCTACCACTCCGACCGACCCCTCACACAACAAGCCCTCGCCCGCGCACTTTCCTACTCTCTCGTCCCCTCCCTCCCCCAAGCAACTCTCCACCGCTTCCTCCGCGCCTTCTGGATCACCATCGGCCGGGACTACCACTCACTAGACCGCATCCGTCTTGACAAGTACCTGATGCTGATCCGTTTCTACGTGGGCGTGGCATTCGAAGTTCTCGTGAAGAACAAGAGCTCAACAAAGAACGACGACGGGAAAAAGCGCAAGCGCGAAGACGCAGCCAAGGGTCGCGGCAAGAAGCAGAAGAAGCAGGTTGAGGTCGAGACCGCTGCTGAAAATGAGGAGAAGGATAGTGCCGAAGACGCCGAGGCTAAATTCCCCGATCTTGCGGCTTATATCTCCATTATCGAGGAGGGTCCTTTGTGTCCGTTGAACTATGATGAGGATCAGGACAAGGATGAGGGAGACCCAAATTACGTGCCTATGCCGCATGGTCCTGACGGGCTGCGCTACCATCTTATTGACATCTGGATTGATGAGTTGGAGAAGGTTCTTGAGTTTGAGGAGGTTGCTGGTGATGACGAAGAGGAGACCCCGAAGCGGAAGATCAAGGGCGATGTGCCAATGGAGCTTATTTTGAGGCCGTTGGAGAAGCTGCGCGCCGAAAGTGCCTACAAGCCTGTTCGGACGAGGGCGGCTGAGGCCTTGGAGGATGAGCGGTTGTTCGAGTGGGGCGTTCGGACGAGAAAGGCGGAGGATGAAGATGACAGTGAGGAGGAATGGGGTGGCTTCGACTAAATATTCTAGTTAGAGTATGTGAAAGGGATTTGTATAAACAGATTGAATTCATTGCACAGCGTGCTAGCGATTATATCCATCAGTCCATCACAGATTCTATAAAGAAGCTGGTGCTAGACCTACAAGTGTAAAGGACTACGAAATGTATTCACATGTCTCCTGTTTCATTTTGGGTTTACTGTACAGGCTGATCACAGAGTACCAAATGTCTAATTTGACTTATCGACAACACAGCTCTTCTGTGCTAGGGTATCATGAGTGGATGCAAAGACCCGGCAAGCAGTGGGTATATAGAAAGCGGACTTTCAACAATGATAGGACGGACGGTAGCCAATGGCGACTTTTGCCCGGGAGGCTGATTGAAGGCACAATTTAGCGAGGACCTTCCGCCTCATAGAAACGGCCCGACTTGGTGAGTATCGTGCCTAGCCCTTGGTGGATCTCGGCCTGGAATGCCTCGAAGGGCACCCGTTCACCGTCAATACTGATGTAGCCTTCGTTCTGGTGGGGAACTAGACGGAATGCAGACGCTTTGCGGAGATTAAGGTCTGGCATGTCGAAAAAGCGACCACTGGAGATTTCGGTCATCATATTAAGCGCTGTACCACGACTGACTGTTCCGTCGATAGTGACCACATCCATCAGGCCGTCGTCCGGCAATGTCGCAGGGAACATATTTGTGTCTTTCGACATGATAGCCATATTTCCCGCGTAGAAATTGCCCATAGTCTCTCCCGAAATTACTTCCCACCCCTCGGGCAGCTCGTCCGTCACTGTGCCGTACTTGAGCTCTGGTAGGCCTGGGGACTCTGCCGCGATTTCGAGACGTTTGCTGTCAGCTTCCAAGTCCTGTGGACGTGCACACCACGCAGCGTAGTGTTCCTTGATTCTCTCCTTGTCGCCAATTTCCACCTTGATGGCTATATCACAAGGCCAGATAGTCTGCCGCATCAAACGGACCAGGAAACCGTATGTGAATCGCTGAGCGCCCATCCAGCGGATGTTCTCAGTACCCAAATCACACTCGGCGACGATGCCAAAAGATTGCGAAAGGAAAGAGAGCGTGCGCGAATCTTTCTGGGAGATCGAGACTAGGTCCAGCGGAGTTCTCAGCCCCTTGACAATTGCCAGCGCCGCAATAGAGACGCTACCAGTTCCGAAAGCATTCCATGTCAGCCCATTTCCAGAGCCACATGGAAGCAGCGCAACGGCGGTTTGCGCTAGCGCTTTTCGAGCATCTGGTCGCTTGCCCAATCCATTAAACACCTCGTAGGGCAAGCCATCGCCAGAGCAGCAAACGACCGCATCGTAGGCGTCGAGATCGAGATTTTCTGCAATTTCAATTGCATGACCCCTGTATTCGGTGTTTTGTACATCCACCTGGCACTTGGCCGCGGCAAAGACCGGCGCCGCATGTCGCTGGTACAAACTCGCAGCTGTTCCCTTCCCACCAAAAGGGTTGACCAATACCTTCAGTCGTTTACCGCGCAGTGCCTTGCCATACGCCACATCAAGTAGTTGGCATACCCATGTTTCGACGACTCTCTTTTCTTTTTCAGAGATTGGGTATTGGACGGTCGTCACGGAAACATCGTCCTTGGCAGCAGTCTGTGCATAGGCGATGACGAGATTGGAAGCGGTGACTTCGGCGCCCAGGATGTTGTATAACGAGATGGAATGGTTGGTTTCTTGTTCTAAAATGCGCGCACAGCTTGGTCAGACCATTTCCATGAACAGTGGCGCTCGGGATAACACGATCGCCAGAGGGGCCAGGATCAACTTACTAGACTGGAGTAATCCGCAGCAGCGACGATCTGTTTTGGCCGGACGGTCATCTGCATGGGTGAGCATATGCCCACGCGCCGGGTGTGGAGCAGTGCATACCAAGTATGAGGAGCGAGTCGGTGCCGATGGTCAAAGAGACAGACTGGTCGACAGTCAGCGTGTCTTGTCGCACCGGCTCCTGTGAAGCATCGTCTTGGGATGACATTTTGGATAAGGATGGAGATTCAGGACATTACAGATAAATAGAATCTAGGGGAAAGTGAACAATGAAAGTGCCCATATGCCGCGGAGTTCCGGTGGGCCCGGGTGGTCCCTGCATTGAAAATATGACAACATTTCAGTCCTATACAGTATGCATATGTTGAAATACTAAGACATTTATATATAAGTAGACAGCTAAATAGCTGTTAATTGTTTAGAGCTTACTATCTTGGAAATATCAAAGACATTGTTCTCTATCCACTACTCCCGATGAGACATTCATCTCATCTACACAATAAAGAGACATATAAGTAAACAAATTCGTCTCAAATAAACAGAAACACAATAAGAGAGGGGGAAAAGGATGAAAATCATATAGACCGCAAACCGCTGGAAAAATATTGACTTATGCAGTCGCTGCCTTGAGACCCTTCAGAGAGCCTAAGCTCAGTGCCAGACCCTGAGAGCGACTTCTTATCCGCACAAATCCTGTAATCGGCCCATCGTCTCCCTCTTTTTCGATGCTCAAGTTTGCTAGTGCATCCTCGCCTGGTTAAATAGTCAGTTATCATATCAAGTAGAAAGGGGGCGGACAAATCGGAGGGTTGAAAACATACCAAACACACTGCGCGCATACAGGTTCGCGCTCAGGAAGCTGCAATCACCCTTGAGCGAAGCATCAGGTGTCAAGCAGGCCATATTGGTACTCTCCATCAGCTGCTTGAGGAAGTCACGCAGAGTTTTGGCCTTGGAATTGATGTTGACCTTGTTCTCCCATTCAAACTCAGTCCACATGGTACGGAACTGAGTCTCGGTACAGTGAGCAGGCTGGATGTAGTCCATGATGTCGGCATGGATGTCGTTGAGAATGACTACATGGGTCTCGGTAGAGCTGGCGCCGTCATAGACAATGTTACCAAAGATAACGCCGGTGTCGGTTGACGAAACCTTGACCGTAGCCTGGACATTCAAGAAGTCGCGTGGGCCGAGGTTGTTGGTGGATGGCCGCTCAACGACCTTGAGGTCACCCAGAGTTGCGAACTCCACGCACAGGTTTTGCAGAGTTTCCGATGTTTGGTTAACCAACAGGACATCAAGAACAATGTCGAACTGGTGAACAGTGACATAGGCTTCAGCATAGACCGAGTCGGAGAAACCGGTTAATTGCACCACCCGGCTCAGCTTCGATGAGGCCTCCTCCACGGTCGAATCGCCACCGGTTGCCTTGACAAGATCCATTTCGATCTCCTCCCCGCCCTCGACGGTGTTCTTCTTGGTGAATTGGCGAATGGGGATAGCATCGTCAATCTGCACAGCAGTCTTGGCCTTCTCCACTGCCTCCTTGGCAGCCCTCTTCTTATCCTCGACCTGGACCATGGCGCGGAACGCCTTTCGGGTGTCCTCCAAGAAAGAGGCTTCGAGTTCCTTCTTCTCAGAGAACTCGGCCAAAGATCGCACACAAGTTAAGATACGATCCACAGAATCTTCATCAATAGGAGCCTTAACGAAGTGAGATTGACCAACGCGCATGATGGAAATCATGATAAGCATGGCCTCGGCACGGAGAGCGTTGGTGCGGGCAGTATCCTGCGACACCTCAGAATGGCGCATGACCAACTTGGTCAGAGTCGAAGAAAGAACCGTTGCCAGGTAGTAGTCGCCGTCCAAAATGAGCTGGCGGAGAGGAGGCTTCTGTGCGGCCTTGACAGCCTCGAGACGAGCAGCTGCCGCGGACTGGCTGGTGAGAGCACTTTCGGTGGCGTATGTGCCATCTGCAAGCACCTTCCGGGATCCAGTGGGTGCGGCCTTGGATTGGCCATTGGCCTGCTCCATCAGCAGGGCGTTATCATCCGGAACCTCATCCAGGAGTCGTTGTTCGGATGCCAAAATTGGGATTTCACCAAGGCTGGCTCTGATTGTTTTCCAGGCATCCCGAATATCCTTCTCCTCCAGGGAGTATTCGCCAACAACCCAGAGAACTCCGCGGTAGACCTTTCCAGCTCGGACCTCACTCAAAGTCGAAACCAAGCGGGCAACGATCGACCCACGCAAGTCAGGGAATTTCTCCACGACCTCTTTGACGAACGAAATCACATCGACGGCGGAATTATTATTGAAGTCGGCAATAAAGTCCATCAGGAGATCAACCACGCTGGCAGCAATTTCAGAGAACTTGATGGCGCAGGAGTGTATTGACTGCACCAAGATTTGGCGATACTCGCTATTCTGTGGGATTCGTTAGTACTGCTTGGTTGTGCAAAGTGACTGTACAACCTACCTGTTCATATTGTTCGTCGACGGTCTTGGCAAGTTCTTTCTTGAGCAGCATGATGATTTCTTCGACATTCTTGCTCGAGACCATCTCCATGGCAAGGTTGAGGGCCTTTCTCCGGACATCAATGTCAGGGCTGCTGAGAACCCGCAGGGCCTCCATGGTCAGGTCGTCTAAGACACCCTCATTGCGAATTCTAAGCTGGTTCACGCGTTCCAAACAAATGAGCTTGACGTTATTGTCGGCCTCCCGGATCGCGAGCTCAATCAGCTTGCCTGCAGCGGCTTTGACAGCAACAGGGTTGCTTGTGAGGGCGGTAAGAGATGTTGCGGCTTCGTAAACAACGGTGCTGGTGGGGGCGTCGAGGAGCTCAAGCATGAGTTTCAGGTATCGCGACTGTTGTTCGTTAGTGACCCCGACATTATTACTTTGAACCCTATAAACCCACCTTATTCTGAGTGTTCTGCACTGCGTCCTTCCGGAGGAACTCCAACTCGGCTAACTGGAGCAACTCATCTGTGTTTGGAATTGTGTCAAACGTGGTGCGCAGATACTCGAGCGCCTTCTGGTGGCTAATGGACATGAGCGCCGCAAATGCATTGCGCTTGCAGGTGCTGTCGGTCTCCGATTCGAGGAACAATTGAAGCAACTCTGGTGCGTCGGGGATGAGGGACTCGGAGTGCAGGAAAATAGATGACACAGCCCATACTGCATTCTTGCGAACATAGACGTGACGATGTTGCAGACACGAACGTGCGGAGGAAAGGAGGGGCTCAATAAGCTCTGGTTCGCGGAGTTTGGAGAGGAATCGGAGGGTATTGCCTCGAATGTATTCGTTGGGATGTTGAAGATCATTGCGAATGCCGTTACTGCCAAAGAAAAACTTGTCAGACAGAAAAGACCATGTAGCAATTGCTAGGGGCACCCTTACCAGACCAGGATCATCTCTTGCTTGAGCTTGCCAGTAGAATCATGTTTGGGGCAGATCTCATAGAAGAAATAGAGCAACTTCTTCAATGCCTTGCTTTTCGACGGCATCACGAAACGAATGATGTGCATGAGGATTTGCGGCATAGGATCTCCATTCAGCATGATGGTGACAATTGTCCGCATTGTTTCCAACTTGGTCTCATCATTTCCTTTCTCCAGCTGCAGCTTCAACTCCTGCACCGTCGGCTGGTCAGCAGTATTGTCCACATGGAGCAAACTGTAGGTATTTTCGAGAAACGACGCCATGGTGGTGGATTGGGGGGAATCGGGAAAGAAGAGCTGCAAGTTGTCAGTTCCGGGGTTGTTTTGGGGACACATCAGCATGTAGGAATCAACACATACAGTAGGGGTAATTCTCCCAGGAATAGGAGTTTGCGCCAGATATCAAGAACAAGCAATTAGTGTAAAACAACACCCCTCGCCAGCCCTGAAATCATTAGATGTTATATGAGCAATGGGGAGGGACCATCAACTTGTCCCTTAATCTGGCCCCCCGGCGCGGTCTGTGTGGATGACTAAGCCACAACCCGCCGCTTTTCAACTGCCAGTTTGACGTCGATTGCTCTCCTCATACACCGACTACGATTGAGATTCGCCAGGATGTCGAATGAGAATTTCTACCTCCGATACTAGTAAGGATAATATGAGCGAGCCCAGGTTTCCTCGGCTGCTGACAGTCCTCACAGCTCAGGTCACTCTGGGCGGTTTGGACATGAGTTCCTAGGTAAGTCTACGTGCCGGTCATGATCACTTTCTTTTATTCAGTCACTAACTTGCACGCAGAGTTTGATCTCCGTACCATTTCCGAAGGTAGCAGCGCCGCCGTACGATATGCGAACAATTCGAACTATCGCAATGATTCCCTCATCCGCAAAGAAAGTGAGGAGCATACATACCCAAAGGAGAAAAACGGACATGAGCTGATAGAGTGATAGTGTGCGTGAGCGATGCGCTGGTAGAAGAAGTGAAGCGCATTATCAAGGATAGCGAGATCCTCAAGTATGCACTCACATTACTCCGGCAGAAAGAACACCCGCGCTGACTCCATCTAGGGAGGATGACTCCAAGTGGCCCCAGAAGAACAAGGACGGACGCCAAGAGCTAGAGATTCGGATCGGAAATGAGCACATTTCTTTCGAGGTAATTGACCGTGGTACCTTATGGAAGGAACCATCATCTAATATGGAGTGTATAGACCGCCAAGATCGGCTCGCTAGTCGACGTGACTGAATCGGACGACCCCGAAGGACTCCGGGTCTTTTACTATCTTGTGCAGGACCTGAAGGCCCTTGTCTTCTCGCTGATCTCTCTTCACTTTAAGGTATTGTCAGTCTTTCCCCATGCTTGGAACATTGTTTGACCATTCCCTGCTTTACAGATCAAGCCCATCTGAGTGTTAAGCGCATAAAAGAAAATTGAAGAATAATTGGGGTTTTTGATTTGATGGTACTCACCAGGCGTTCATTGAGGGTTTCTTGGGGTGCGAACTCAACTATAGCGCAAAAACAATGAGATTGATACCCCTCAGACCATGTATATTCCACATCATTGGTTTACCTTTGGTAGTTTCCGGACAGTTTATCTGTCCTGCATGTTTGTAGGCTTGGGCTAGTATAAAGATGTCAAAGAAAGATGTTCAAAAAATTGGCAGAAGATTAGTACATGTTATTTTGTTGCTCGCATGCCGAGGTCTTGACGGTGCACGCTCGGGACCTCTTTGGACTCTGTGTGATTAATGACTTTGAATTCAGCTCCCATACCACCTCAATAATAGTGGTCACCGGGAGACTGTCAGGCTGATATTTGACATTCAAATCAGATGTTGATGTCGGGAAATATATATTGGGACTAAGGCTTCACCTGGGCATCCAAGTTGGGCTTGTATAAGGGAAAATCAAAGTTGTTTAGGCGTAATACCAAAAACAAGAGTATCCTTCAACTTGTGAAATGCCCAAGACTGCCCAAGATTGCCTAAATGTAGAAAAGATAGGTTATACCATTGATCTTTACAAACAACAACCAAAGTATAAGATGGAAGGCGTTTGATTGGCTTACCTAAGGCATGCGCATTACATAATTGATATTGAAAGTGGCGCCGCGCCAGGCGCAGAAACAGCTGACCCACCTCTAGACTGTCCCCGCATTGCTCGTTGCTCAAGGCCTTAAAAGACTTAGTTCGCTGATCTTGAATGATCCATCCCCCTTGCTCTCTTTTTCTTCGTCATTTTGCTTCGGAGCGTCTTGCTTCGATTCAATGTCCCCTCACCTCTTTCCCTGATCTGCAATGCCAACCCCGAGTAATAACTCGATCGCCTCGGCGATCGCCGCCCGCACGACATGTCCACCGGAGCCCGAGAGGATATCGGCTTGGCGAGACTCTTCCGAGGCTGTATCGACCAGCGATTCTCTCGAGGTTCTCTCACCTGATATTCCAATTGCGCCCTCCATGCTGAGTCGATCTGATGATGGCAGCACTCCTGAACCGATGAAGGCGGAGGGAAAGTTGACCGGAGTCGAGGAAGATGACCCAGTCCGGGCTACCTCACCGGCCGAGTCAACTTGCCTTCGCAGCCAGTCACCAGTAGCGCCCCCGGGATCTTCACTTCTCAACTGGGAATTCTCCAATGTTCGCGTAAGTATCGATCTCGACATTATCGGAGTTATTATTCCACATTCTAACCATCGTCACAGCTTCTGCCGAATCACACCTCGTTTCTTCGTTCAGGCAGCAAGTTCGCCGGCACCCAGCAATCAGACCGTCATGTATACAATGTCGATGTCGAGATTAAGCATGTGGATATGGCTGAGTCCTATCTGTGTGGCTATCTTAGAATCCAAGGTATGTGGTTCGTGCGCATCGGGGACGTGCATTGGGCCTATTAGCTCAACTAATGTTTGTTTCCCACAGGCCTCACGGAAGATCACCCTACCTTGACTACCTTCTTTGAAGGAGAAATTATTGGGACCAAACACACTTTCCAGACTCGCAATGAGGAATGGGGCGCCTCAGAAAAGACAGACCTGCACCATTGGTCTCGGTTTCCTGCCTGGCGTCCGCTGGCCAAGCAAGCCAAACGAGCGGATTTCACATACCGGAACTTCGCCCAGCGTGAACACATATTTATGAGATGGAAGGAATCTTTCCTTGTTCCCGATCATAGAGTACGGACGATCTCCGGTGCTAGCTTCGAAGGGTTCTATTATATCTGCTTCAACCAAATCGAGGGAACTGTGAGTGGCGTGTACTTCCATGCGAAGAGTGAGCGGTACGTGGATATTCTGTTTCTGAAAAATATCAATTTCGCTGATGCTAATTCCATCATAGGTTTCAACAGCTTGAACTCAAGCATGTCGAAGATCGTGGATGTGCACCAGCAGTCGAGTTCCGCTAATATTGCCGAATTTGCTTGCTGGTGCCTAAACGATCTCACATAAGACTTCGTACGTGCCTAATTTGGTCCTCGTGTGTCGCATATGTATCCCCCTCTTGTTGTTGTGTCTGGTACTACATGGCTAAGCAGCGCTTCCTGGTCACCATTCCGAATGAGAAGCTTGGTTCTCTCAAAACTCCATTGGGCTCACTATCCCGTTTGCTTTTCCTCGAATACCCTCTTTGCCATCCTCTATTCCTCTCCCTATCCTCCCTCCTCTCTTATGCGTTTTGATCATCCTTTCAACTGCTCATGTCATTTGAGGATCTCCAAGACCATATCCCTCTTTCAGGCAACGCCTGGATCCAACTCATCCTCAAATTGACCCTTATGTCTCACGATATTGCAATCTACGAAACGGCGTTTCCGTCCCCACTTCCGGCGACCTTGTTCTGGTTATCCTACACCCTCTTGTTTGGAGTCATAATTTCTCATCTTTTCCCTTCTTGTTTTCTTATTCCTCACCTATCTTGTGTTAACTTAGTGTTATTATCTCCCATGTGAGCTGTTGGCTGACCAGCCTATTGAAAATTTTCCATGTTCTTGGTAATCGTATATATGCTCCAAGGCTCCAGAGCTATATTGATATTTTGCTATATACATAGCTCCTTCGCTGGCCTACCCACACAATAGAGCACACCGCAGAAAGCAAGGCCACCGTTAGGGACTGGAGTCGGGTCACAGTTGAAACAAGGTACGTACTCCGTATTAGTATGTGGATTGTGAAGACTTGGTGTATCTAGTAGGGCCATAAGTACTGTACTAGGTACATAAACTCCACTCAGAGCCAAAGGATCTGACCCCGAGATCTAGCGATATAATCAAGTAAAAGGTGGATTCAGAACAATGCACAAATGCAATTAGCGCGTATATATGTGCTAGAAATGAAGTATGCAACAAAACAAAATACTAGAAGACCTGGCCCCGATTCGTTTACATCCGAGAGCCATAGTGAGAGAAATGCCGAAAGATCCTCGCGCCGAACATAGAAACCCACGCGTGAAAACAAGATAAATAATCGAGGAACCCCAAATATGCGTTCATGCGAGTTCCAGGATATAAATGAAGAGATGACTGCAGTAACATGAGATGGCGTTATGGTATGGCTTCGGCGAAGAGTTAAAGCAAGAAAAAGAGGCGAGAGGGGGTATCACATGCGATGCCAGTCGAGGGTGGCGAGATCGAGCGAGTGTGGGTGGAAAATATGCTTTTAAGTTCCATGAGATTCAGGTTTCAGATGTCGTCCGCGTAAAGAGGGCGACATGATAGAAAGAGAGATCAGGAAGAAAGGAATGGCGCGAGAAAGAGAAAATCACATATATGCCGAGTTTTGACGAGAGCTTGAGTTGGAACCGCTGCTATAATCGCTGCTGGTCGGAGTAGGGGGCTCTAAGACGATTTGTTGACGGATGGAAACGATCCATTCGTGCTGTAGGAGTTCGGCGGCAGTGGCGCGGCGAGCGGGATCGCATTCGAAACAGCGACGCACAAAGTCGACGCCTAGGTCACTGAGTTGATCGCGAGAGGGAAGCGCGGGTGTTTTGCCTTGCGCGATGTTGTACATAATTGCCCACTCGTTGTCCAGCGTCGACCATGGCCGGCGGCCAGTTGCCATTTCTAGAACCACGCAGCCCAGAGACCAGATATCCACAGCGCCTTGGCGGTTGTCTAGATTTGCAGCGTCGCCACGGATCACTTCGGGTGACATGTACATCGGAGTTCCGGTGGTTGTCTTCTGGTTTTTGCGCTGGTTCGTGGGGTCTTTGGCCGGCTCCTTGAAGCCGGCTCCTTGAGGATTGTCCATTGGGGCAACTGTGCGGCCCGTGCCAGCGATGATCTTGGCTGCACCGAAATCAACGTACTTAATGACACCGTTGTGATCAAGCAGGATATTCTCTGGTTTGATATCACGGTGCACGATATGGGCTTCGTGGAGATACGCTAGACCCTCTAGGAGTTGAAGAGCATAAACCATGATGACCGTTTCGTCCTCGATACGCCCGTGCTCTAGCAAGCTAGCGAGCGAGCCACCTGAGCAGTACTCCATGAAGATGTAAACCTTGTCACGGTGTACCTCGATGCCATGATAGGAGACAATGTTCGGATGATCGAGCACTTCAAGCACGCCCATTTCGTCTCGGATCTGCTGGGCGATCTTTGGAATGAGCTGGGGATCTTGCAGGCGGATTTCTTTGACAGCCATCAAATAGTTGCTGTCCAAGTTGATAGCCACATAGACAGACCCAAAGGTACCACCGCCGATGAACTGGCCTTGCTGCCAGCGCAGAGTAACGTTGGTAGCCGATGACGATAGCACAGTGAGTGACCGATCAGCCTCATCAGATCCTTCTAGCACTTTTCCTAGAGCCTGGCGCTTTGCATCTTCCTCAATTCTCCTATCTTCAATCTCCAAAATACGTGCCTGCCATGTATCACGAACGAGTTTTGATGCTTCCTCGTCGCTAGTGATCCGGCCAGCGCCAATCTGCCGGGCGCCATTGCGTTCCTCCATGCGCTTCTCGTTCTTCGCCGCAAGGGAAGACCGCGCACCCATGATATCGAAATGAGAGATGAGAAGGGACATGCATCCCGCCACTTTCAATCTGAAATCACTGAACTGTTCTTGATCCATGGACAGAAGATGTCGGCTGGATGTGATCGCCATCGCAAACTCAAGGGCTGCCACAGCCCACTTGAAGGTTTTTCGGTCCGCAGCGTCACACTCATCGCAGATGAACGCGACCCAGTCGAGGGACAACTCCACCAGCCGGGCACTGTTCATAGCACGCCTGTTAGCATCAACGTAGTTGGAGGACCGTTTGCCAAATTCTGTTGCGAATGCATAGCAGGCTTGGATCAAATCATTGTTCTCCCAGTTTCTCTCATGTAGTTGATCTTTGATGATAGCCACACTATCCATAATGGTCATGGACAGTTTGAAAGAGATCTTCTTGATCTTGTTCAACTCAACGTTTACACGTCCAAGGTTTGCACGTTGTTCAATGACCATATCAAGCTGGATGCCCGTGAGTCGCGCGAGCTCCATACGCCCATTTTGCAGTCGTTCTTGCATGCCTCCAACAACGATACGTAGCTTGCCCAGCCGCACATCCGTCGGATGTTCCAAAAACTCCATTTGCATTTCCTTTCCTGCCCAGGCAAGGGGTCTTTCGGGTCGGATGGCCAGAACATAGGGGACGTGGACATCCTGGGTTGGATCATCCTCTTTGAAGGAGGTAGACAGGATACCCTGGATATCAGCAGGACGGTTCCATAATGCATGATGTGCAATCAGATAAACTCCTTTCTGCCCAACAGATGTGGTAGAGGTGACAAGGAAGTGGTCGGAAATTAAGAGCGCCTCAAAGAAATCATACGCGATATCGGTCGTGATGTTGTATTCGGTAGCGTTTTCGAACAACTGGCACAGAAATTTGGAAAATCGATAGAGCTTGCGCTGACGAATGCGCGTTGAATCCAAAATGCTCTTGTACCGTTTGTCCATATCCTGTACAGTTTCGGTGGGTCTCGGAACGAGCTCACGTTCGAAATGAATCATGAGACGCTGCAGTGATCTGGCAGTGAGGGCACTATTTTTCTTGTTAGTATTGATAACGTTGCAAAGCATGGTAACCTTACCTGAATTGTTCGGCCACCTCAATATCTCCACCGTCAAGCCGGCAACCGATATCATAGGAGAATCCCCATTCCTGTTCCAGAATTTCGGCCTCCTTGAAAGTGTTCTTGTTGGCATTCAGCTTCCAGTTGAGGAGCCGGAAATAGTATTTCATAGCATCCAAGACGGAGTTGTCAAAGTTCTCATCGACACAAGGCGGCAAATCCCAGCCAGGTTCTGGCCGCGAGACATCAAGGTAACGGAACTTAATATCGACCGCCACTTTCATCAGGATTTGGAATTGGGAAATCATCTGATCAATCAAAATAGGGGCTTGCTGGGCTGGGTCTTTCATATTCTTGGCATAGGATAGACGAACTCGAATGATTTCCTGGATCAACCGAGAGGGGAAGTTAATCAGTGTTAGTAGTTCTTCGATATATGGCGGCAGGTGTCGCGCGGCAAACGCTTCCGAGTTCTCGATCAGTGTGCTCTTCGCTTTCTGAATGACGATGAGAATGCGAAGAAGCATGCCGTCCTTGTCCTGGAGCGTCTTCAAGCCATCTTCCTTCATAATGCGATCAAGGAAGGACGACCCATCCGAAAGATCATCCTTAGCAGACTTGATCCTCGGTTGGCTGAAATCAAGAGCCTCGTTTCCTACCCAGCTCTGCAGTATAGCCAGCTCGGTGTTGATGAGAGCCGTGATGTTGTGCCACGCAAATATGGCTGCGCGGCTAGAGGTGAATTCCTCCGAGGCAACACGGGGGTTTGCGAGTTCCATTTCCTTATGCGAAGAATAGAGAATTTCGCATCGCTCGACCTTCTCCACGACATCCTCGACTTGCTGCCTTGCCGGTTTCCCGATCTCAGTCTCGCCTTTAATCTGGAATGCGATGATATCCTCAATTAGGGGACCCAGATGTGACCGCGCATCCTCAATTAACTTGCGCTGCAGAGGAATACTTCGGCCGCACGTCCTTGCCCGAACTCCGATCCAGAGCGCATAGCTCTGGGCCGCCGACCGCTTTGATTCCGCAGATCCGATGAGTCGCTGTTTTTCTTGCTTCACTACATCTCCCTTCAAGACCGACGCCAGCATAGAATGCCACTCAAGCCGCTCTTGATTCTTGGGATGCTTGAGTTCTTCTGTACTTGGTAGATTGTCGTCCGGGAGGAAAAGTTGAGTGTCAGGATCGTAAGAATCATCTTCAAACGCAACTTCAGAGGAAGGAGAGGGCTCCTCTAGGTCGCCATCCCCTTCTATCATGACGCTGGACTGTGCGTCTTTGGCGTGGTGATACCAGGCTTGTGGGTTCGCGCGAATCCGTTGGACGTAGGCTTTTTCTTGGGCACGGTATTGCGCGTTCGGATCGCGTCGGGTGCCTCGCTTGGTTGATGATGATCGCTGACGGTCTTCCTGAAGGTTGATGTATTGTGGTGGGCGCCGCTGTGGGGCATATGTATTTGACGGTGTTCGTGCCGGGGCGGATGGGCGCTGAGGTCGCAAATCGCTGGCCATAACAAGCCCATCGGACTTGTCAAGGAGAGTGGTAGCACTGAGGCTAACTCCACGGGGCCGTGTCGGTGGCGCGTTAGACCATGAGGTAAGATTGGGTGAAATGGACGGAGGGGAAGATGTGATGGTGCTTGTAGGTGTTTGGATTTGATCGTCGATGGTCTCTCCAAATGATGAATTAGTCCTCACAGGGTACTGGGGGAATTCATCAGAAGAGCCCGAGCCATCCGAATCAGGACTGGGAATTTCCGAATGCTGCATAGTGGTTATACCGTGCGATGGTCTGGGAGAGCAGGTCTGTTGGAGATGATAGGGAGGCGGATCCTGTGGCGGTGCGGTGTGGCTAACCAGATGACCATCTCCACTTATTTACTGTTTGATCTGCTGGGCATCTTTCCTTTAATTGCCAGCCACTACGTGGCATCAATCTTGATTCTGCATTTATATTGAGTCCAAGCCCTGATACACGCGTACAACTTGTGTCAGCTGTTCCATTGCACATATTAATACGATGTAGCAACATGCTCCATCCTTGTAAACTTCTACTAAGCTTTGCTTTTTCTTTTTTCTGACTCTGTTCTACAATTGTACTCGAGGTTGTAAAAAAACAGTATGCAATGCGCAAATCAAGGACTGTATAACTTCTATCAGTTTCACCACCATCTTATTCCGCACCGTCAGGGTTTATGCTTCAAATTTGGTAACGATATATCTTTGCTGTAAAACATTGTACTCGAAATCAGTTATTTCTTACCAGCGGGAAGGCTCTCTTATTTGCTAGTCGTTCTCCGGCATCTCGTAGCCCAAGAAAGATACATAGTATATGAAATGGAAACTTATAGTGATAGAGCCAGACAAGAATAATATGATCGATAGAAATAGCACTGCCTACGCCGAATCTTCTTTTTACCACGGCAAGCATTCAAATTTCCATCTATATTGTACTTCATCCAAGTGTCGCACGCCAATCACAGAGGCGAGAACTTCACTCAGTAGCCTGCTGCGAGTTTCCCCAGGAAGACAGTCTAGACCTCCGCACAGCCCACAAAGCCTAAGGCCCAACCCAACCCAACCCTACTAATGGGCTGGGCTTTAGGTCTATCTTCGGGCCCACCGTTGGATGCCGCGTTGACCATGAAACCCCTGCCGGATCATTTTGACGCTATTAGAACCATAAACTGTATGCTTCGAGCGAAGCTTTTTTATCATGCATAAGCTCCCTGGGAGGGAGGCTCCGTCTCGTTGAAGTATGCCATGTTGTAGGTCCTTCAGAATTGGCCTATATCGCTGGATGGAGGAGCATAAAAGAGATCTGTTAAGTGTCTAGTTCACTCTTCTGAGGAAGAGGTGCAGAAATGTCTAGAAGATCATCGCCAAGAATAGGAGAAACTATAGGAACTAGGCGAGATAAGGGATCTAATCGGGACAGATGCCCTAGGCTGGGTTTCAGACGAGGATAGGCTTAAATAGGGCAAGGCTGTTATCCAGAGCATGAAGGATGGTTTGATGGAATATTCAAGCACTGAGATGGAGAAAACTGCGGTCCTCTCCCATTCGGTGATCATGAAGAAAGTGTATGATATCTTTTCACAATATTTATCCCTTCAAATACATAGAAGCCAATATTCTTCTGAAAATGAGCTAGCATTGCTTTGTCTATTGCTACTTTGAACAGTAGTGTGGCACCATAGCGGACACATTTAACACGTGAGCAGTCGTTTTCGGCGTAGAACTATCTGTGAAATTAGACGCCACCTACATAAAACATATGAAACTAGAGAAATGTATGTGGCATGATTAGGCATGGTTACTTCTAGAGCTCGAAGAGATAGTACACCTATTTTTAAACCATAGAGGTTTTACCCCTAACTAGAGTACTATTGCGTTAGGTACGGAATACACACGGAGTATTCCGTACACGATATAGGCACATCGTAGATTCACATCGTCGATCAGTGGATCAGTGGATCAGCGGGTTCGACAATAATTGAGGATCATTGACGCTTTCCTAGGCTCTAGAGAAATCAGACTTTGAATACAGAAAGGATTGAAGTCGCTACATATCCACTTTCCTAGATCGAACAGGCACAAGCCACTCGATGTAAAGCATACAGCATGCACGTACGGAGTATAACGCCCGGACTGATGGAGTACTCGTGGGCACATAGGATTATCAAGCCTCCAATGTTGCCATTGAAAAGAACTAAAGCAAGAAACCCAATAGCGCAAGAGTCCGCATATATCTATTCACAGATCTATGTACGATCCATAAGGTGAGGTATGGGGCCGAGAGTTCGCCAAGGTCCAAGTCGGGATGCCGAATCAGCCTCTGAGAATTCCCGCCAATGGAAGACAGGGTGCTTATCTTGACTTGACATTACTCCGAACCCCTAGACCGCGTGGCAATGAGTTTAGTTTTCCCGCCCCATCCGTTCTGCATATTCGTGTGGAACCGGGTGCGACAGCCCGGAGAATGGGGAATCCACAAACGATGTGGAGAGAATATGCCAGGGCTAGAAGTATGTCTGGGGCAGTTATGTATATGTTGTATGCAGATTTCTAAAGAAACTGTTCACTATTTCATTACAGCAATTCCTTCAATTAATGATATTAGTGATCTATATATGGCCTCTCCGACAGAAGCACCAGCATCGGGGGTTCTTGGATAGTGGAAAGGAGGTTAACAAAGTTCGAAACGAAATCACTCCTCGCATAGTCTAATCTATATGCGTGTTGAGTATAAGATAAGGGAAACTGAATTGTGATTGGTTGCCGCAACACGAGATTTTGATAAGCCAACGTCCTTTTGGATGTCAACAACTTCACGTTTAACACATATAGTTATGGATACTAATAATATGTATAGGTACCGGGCAACCTTCCATGGATATTAAGAAAGAATGAACTAGACGTATTAAACAACGAATTAAGCGACAAAAAAAAAGCAACGTCTGAAAATGATAAGCAAATGATTGTGATTGGCTGCCTCCAACCTCATATCTACAGCCAGTCGTTGTCCAATTTCGATTTCGATTATTTCCTATTATTCTCTTCTGTCACTGAAATGACCCAATCTGACTATCACTTAATAAGTACGGAGTACGGGGTATGCTGGACATCCCCCCCCCCCCGCTTATCGGCGGTCAATGTCGTGAACTTGAAACATAAACAACCTCCTATGTATTAGATCGTTGTTAAGGAAAAAAACATACGTAGAGACTAGTAGTTACACAGTTTAAACATGGTTCTACGAGTAGCTATCCATACAATATCCAAACAGGGCTGTAAATGCAAGGACCCGTAATTCCCCGGTTTGGGTCTATGGAGTATAAGCCCATCCGCCATGAACCCGAGATGGCTGAAATGGGGGTCTTGGCTGACTGCTATCGGTCGGTTCAGATGAATCATATCAAAAATCAGAATGACCAGCTGCCACTATCGGGGCTAAGATCGATGGTCGGGTATCCTTCTAGCGTCTGATGGTGGAGCATTGTTGGTTGTCCGGGACTGTGTCAGTTATTTAATTATCAGGGCTTGTCCCTGCAGATTAGACATATCACTTCTCTCTCCTTTCACAGCCTGGTGGTTGAAAGCATTTCAAATTCTTTTTCTTCATCTGCATCATTCCATATCAGCTGCATTCCAACTGCTCACACTTGCAATACCATTGGCCTAGCCTACCTCGCTCACCATGGCCGAATACCCGGTTGTGTATAATGGCACCATCGCAACTGGTGGTGACTCGCTCACTGAAGATTTGAACATCTACTATAGTGTATGCCATGTACTTCAAAGAGTCAATTGAGGAGCTTCCTAGCTAACGGTGCTAATAGTCCGGTGATATCGGATTTGTCATTTTCTCAACAGCTCTAGTGTTGCTTATGATCCCTGGAGTTGGGTATGACTTGACCAAGACCCTTAAAACACTTGAGGGCTCTCACTCATTACTTGATTATAGATTCTTCTACTCCGGTCTAGCTCGTCGAAAGTCGGCACTCTCATTGATATGGCTCTCCATCATGTCGGTGGGCGTGGTTTCATTCCAGTGGTTCTTCTGGGGTTATTCGCTGGCCTTCTCCCACACAGCCGGTAGTTACATCGGTAACCTCGATAACTTCGGCTTCAAGGGTGTTCTAGCTGCGCCCTCTGTGGGAAGTGCCAAGGTTCCCGATCTCCTATTCGCTATCTTCCAGGGCATGTTCGCCGCCATTACGTGAGTCACTCCCATCATACATCCATCAAGCCAATCCCAAAACACCAACTAACCTTTCCTTCGCCATTAGTGTTGCTCTCGCCGTCGGTGCAGTTGCTGAGCGTGGTCGCATGCTCCCCTGCATTGTCTTCATGTTTATCTGGACTACTATCATCTACGATCCCATCGCCTGCTGGACATGGAACGCATCCGGCTGGGTCTTCAAGCTCGGAGGTCTCGACTTTGCTGGTGGTACTCCCGTCCACATTGCTTCTGGATCTGCTGCCCTCGCTTACTCCCTGATGCTGGGCAAGCGTCGCGGTCACGGCACCCACGAGCTTAACTACCGCCCCCACAATGTAACCCACGTTGTCATCGGAACCGTATTCCTCTGGGTCGGCTGGTTCGGATTCAACGCCGGCTCTGCTCTATCTGCCAACCTTCGTGCAGTCATGGCTGCCGTTGTCACTAACCTTGCTGCGTCCGTTGGAGGTGTGACCTGGTGTTTGATGGATTACAGACTGGAGCGCAAGTGGTCTACCGTTGGCTTCTGCTCTGGTGTCATTGCTGGTCTTGTTGCCATTACCCCCGGCTCTGGATTCGTCACTCCCTGGGCTGCATTTATCTTCGGTGTGGTTGGTGCTGTTGCATGCAACTATGCTACTAAGCTCAAGTTCCTTCTCGGTGTTGATGACGCTCTCGACATCTTTGCCGTTCACGGTGTCGGTGGTGTCGTTGGAAACCTCCTGACTGGAATCTTCGCTGCGTGAGTCGACCTAGTTCCTGATAATATGGTCCGATAAACTAACTTGCATTGATAGTGATTACGTAGCGCACCTGGACGGTGTCACTGAGATCGATGGCGGCTGGATCAACAGGAACTTCATCCAGCTGGGATACCAGCTTGCCGACTCGGTCACTGGAATGGCATACGCCTTCGTTGGAACATGTCTCATTCTCTTCCTTATGAACCTCATTCCCGGTCTCAGCTTGCGCGCACCCGAGGAAGATGAGATCATGGGTATTGACGACGCCGAGATTGGCGAGTTCGCTGTAAGTTTGAATTGTT